GTTTAAGATTATCACTAATAGAGATTTTAGTTTTAAATTATGATACTGTGAAGAATTATTTATCATATTAGATTATCTGAACTAATCATTATTACTAAACTACGTTTCAATGATCGGTTTAGATTTTTATTTCGGATGTTATGAAAATACACTTAGTATTGTTTATTTGAATCTTCCCAATGATGTTTAGGATTTCAACTGATCAGTCTCTGATTGGAATCGGTGCATACTGTGCGTATTGCCTGGATATAGCCTTAATTCACAAGCATGGTAAGCAAAGATGGATAGTGGCTAGGACGCGCGTTTTGTCGTAATAAGAGACTGATCAGTTGCAATCCTAAACATCAATGGGAAGATACGAACAAACAATGCCAAGTGAATTTAAACTGCACCCCATTGCACAAACAAGTGGCTATCAGGAATCAGTAGCTCAGTGGATAACGCGATGACGTTTGAAGCGAACGGTACTGTGTTCGAGTCCTTGAGTGAACATCAACTCTGAGATGCAAGTACATCCAGCTGATGAGTCCCAAATAGGAAGAAACGCGCGTCCTGGATTTTTTTGCTAGCCACTGTTTATCTTTGCTTGTTATGAAAATAGTTGTAATGTACCTGATTAAATTGATTTTGAATAAGATATATAAATGAGTTGAAGATTTATAACATTCCTATGACTTAGGGTGATCAAATAAAAAAAGAGGGTGAACTAGATTTTTTTCGATTTGTACTGTTGACTGCTGTCAGTCAGATAATTTATTTCTTGGTGAATGTGTCGCTCAATTTCGTAGATTGGTTGAAGTTAGACATTAATATCTTTGAATGCCATCCGGCTCAGTAGTCTAGAGGCTAAGCGATCGCATGCGAAACTGATAGGTCCTGGGTTTGAATTTCACGAGGCAGGATCGTGGATGCACGCTGCTGAGGAGTCCCACATTAAGACGAATCGGTTGACAGATGTTTGGAGTTCCATATGTTCTTTAATTGTAGAAATGCGGTCCTTGCTTAGCCAATCCTCGCCTTTACATTTGCATCCGATCCTCCTTATTCATCAATGATGCTTCCACCTCTTCCAGAGTTGTGTTGGTGTTTTCCGTGTTGTATGTGAGAATCTTTTTTTCTGGTTAGCATTTTTATAGCTAGTTAGTTTTCTGCGGGATGGGATCACTAATCCCATGCCCAACCCTCCCCCTTTACCCGTGCTTGGGACTGGCAGTAACTCTAGAATAGTTATAGGCGAAGTTTTCCGTAAGACTAGTTCAATAATAATAGTTTTTTTATACAGTACTATAAAATTTGTTACGATAAAAAAATTCGCACCATCCATTGAGCGATAAAGAGATATATTGCTATTTAATGTAAATTCTAATTGAAAGTTCACTTAGTATTACTTGTTTGAATCTTCCCACTTGATGTTTAGGACTGAAACTGGTCAGTCACTTATTGGCATATGTACATACTGTGCGTATTGCCTCGATATAGCCTTAATTCACAAGCATTGTAAGCAAAGATGGATGAAAATATTCGAAAATGTTCGTTTAATAATGGTTTCCAATGACAAAATATATCATTCATTTTTTTGTCCTGAAAGCTTTTTGACCATCTTGGTTATTGCATCTATTATCATTATCAATTATATATCGCATATATATGAACTTAAATATAGTTATCTCTTCTAATGATAGAATTATACGTAAATTTATAAAGAATTTTATTGAAACAAAGGCTTAAATCAGTCATCAACAAAACTTATTGTGCTGTGAAGATGATTATCAAAGAAAGAATGAGGTCCATGCTTCATTCAAAATTTAAAAGACATGGAAATGATTGTGTCACATCCCATTGTGGGTAACCATTTCAATGTACGTGTGGTCACATATACATAGGGAGGAGCAATCGTGATCTCCGAATCAGGGTGTGTGAACATGTACCAAAATGGTTGTAGAAATAAATAAAAATCAATTGACCCATTAAGAGTAAAGGATAAACATCTATCATCCTCTATTGCTAAACATATAATCGAAACAGGCCATAAGATTGATCTTAACTCAGCTTTTGTGATGTTGTATAAAAGTGTAAAAGGGAGTATACTAAGGTTTATTGAAGACTTTGTCATACGAAAATGCAAACCCCCTTTGTTTATCCAAAAAACAGTTTGATCTCACCCCTAAACTACCCTGGTAATATTAACTTATTATCCAGAGTGATTAGGTATCACATATGTATGTCCGATTCACTTCCAACGTCTTTTCCTAATTTCCTCTTCAGCTGGAAGCCTGAAGCTCTTCTAGAGTTACTGCCGGTCCCAAGCTTGGTTAAAGGAGTAGGGTTGGGCATGGGGTTAGCGACCCCATCCCGTAGAAAAGCTAACTTGCTAAAAAAACGTGACTTTACTAACCTCGACAGTTATTCAACTTTTAAACCCATTACTTAGAATGTAATACAGACTTACTTCAGCATCCAAATCAATGATAAATATACTAACGAACGTCGGTATATTGATTAAGTGAGCAATATCATGGCTTAGATAATCGTCCTAAGTGTCTCTTTATCGTTGAATATAAAGCCACCATGTCTAATTATGGCCACTTAAAAAAGTGCTCTACAATTCCACTCAGTCATCCTCCACAAGTCAAATAGATTCTTTAGAACTCATGACATAGAAAACATCCAGTCACTTGAAAGCTGATTTCTTGATCAAACAGTCCTCCCATCAACTGAAAATCCAGGTGAGTTCTCAGATTGATACACCTAAATATGGTGAAGTCAAATCATTTGTCCTCATAGGAACCTGTTCGAGGATCAAAGAGAATATATGCATCATACCAATACCTCTTGTTTGCTCATTACCCACAGTTTGTTCTCACCGTAAACCTACCCTGGTAATATTAACTTATTATCCAGAGTGATTAGGTATCACATTATATAGGAATAATATATATTTGTAAAATCTCAGCGAATGAATTGGTAGTAAATCCAACGTTTCGTCTGGCAATCTGGTCCAAGCTTTTTCAAGGAATTATAATCAAACATCAAAATTATCGAATATAAATAGGTACATGGTTCTCCGGGTTCATTGTACACTGAATAGGTCATCCAATCACATTGCTTTCACATTATTATTATTATTATTATTAATATTTTTATTATTGTTATTATAATTATTATCATTATCTACTCTTAACCCCCTCTATAGTCTAGTTGACCTTTTATTTTTATATATAAATGTGCTTAACAAGTATATTGCGTGTGATCAGATTGTCCGAAATGTATTGCGCTAAATATCATCACATTAGAGACTGAATAGTTGCAGTCTTAACAAATCGATGGGAAGATTCAACCAAACAATACTAAATGAATTTAAACTTCACCCCATCGCACAAGCAAGTGGCTATCAGGACTCAGTGGCCGAGTGGATAACTCGATGGCGTTTGAAGTGAACGGTACTGGGTTTTAGTGTCAGAGTGAAAATCAACTGTGAGATGCAGGTACATCCAACTGACGAGTCCCAAATAGAAGGAAACGCGCTTCAAACTTGATTCCACTGCTAGCCACTATCCATCTCTGCTTATCATCATATAGTTCTGATTATCTTCATCGTCTTATTACACTATCGAAATTTATCAAAGGGACTAATTGCTTTAAAATTCTAATGTATTGCTTTGAGTTTACTACTAGTTTATATTTCATTGAGTAGTGTTTTTTTTCTTAAAGCTAATAATACATGATGATAACATTCTTAATTAGTCATTCATAATTAAATTAAAACAAGAATATCAAATACAACACTTGGTCTGTTGATGGATAAACACTTTAAATGTAACCCTCTATTATTCTAATACTTATCTGATTTTGGATTATTAACTTTATCAAGCCTAAGGTTATCTTTTAGGGTCAGTGACATTTTAAGTTTACGCGTGTTACCCCTCATGGAAAAGCATAGGCCACCCACCAACATTCTCCATTTAACTCTGTGCTACACAATTCTTTCCAGTTGTTATTCATCCTTTCCATGTTTGCTTCCGATTCTCGATGCAGTGTAGTCTTTGGTCTACATCTTTTCCCTCTCGCTTCAGGATTCCAAGTCAGGGCTTGCCTCGTCATGCACTTTGATGATTTCACAAATGAATGTCCGGTCCACTTCCAATATCTTTTCCTAATTTCCTCTTCACCTAGATGCTGGTTTGTTCTCTCCTTCGGTAGGGTGTTGCCGATGGTATCTACCCAATGAACATTCAGTTTCTCTTGTAGACAACTGTTTATAAAGACTTGTACGTCTTTGATGATGGTTGTGGCAGTTCTTCAAGCTACAGGTCCGTTTAACTGAACTGTCATAACGATTGTATTGAAAATTCTGACTTTAGTGCTGATTGACAGTCGTTTTGAGTTCCATATGTTCTCCAACTGTGAGAATGTTGTACTCGCTTTCACATCTGCATCAAATCTTCCTTGTTCATTGATGATGCTAACTAGGTACTTGAAACTTCAAGAGTTTCTCCACCAAGTGTGATTGTGTTGGTGTTCTCTGTGTTGTATTAAAGGATTTCGCTGCTTCGTTTGCGTATGTTGAGGCCTACTGATTCAGAGGCTGCTGCTACACTGGTTGTGTTGACCAGCTTTTGTTTGTGTGTATGATTTAGTATAGCTAAGGCACTTGCAAAGTCCAAATCATCTAGTCACATACGCCTTGTCTATTGTATTCCGTGTTTCTCCTAAGACATGGAGGTCTTCATAATATAGTCAACCACCAGAAGAAAGAGAAAGAGGTAGAGTAATTAGCTTTGTTTAACTCCGGTTCTCACTTCAAATGCTTTCGTCGGCTGTCCTCCACGTACAACTTTACAATGAAGTCCGTCATATGAATTTCGTATGATGTACAGCATTGTGTCGAATACGTTTCCATAATATTCTCCAATCCATCTCAATTTACTACCCAAGAATAGAAACATTTTACACATCATAAATATTCATTTGATCCATTATATATTTTTCTTTTTCTCTAGAAATATGCTCGTCAGTCGAAATTTGATCGTTCTTTGAACAATCTATCAGATATGGTCGATCAAAGAAATCCTGGAAATATGTCTTATGAATGTCAAATGGAAAAAACTCTACAAGTAATTTGATCTCATTTGATTACATAATGTTTTCACCATCATTTTTTTGATTGTTTTCTTTTTTTAAATGTTATTCATAGAAAAATACAGGTATCATTCAAGAATAGTTGCTATCATGACACTATAAAGTTACTGATTTAGTTTAAGGTAATAAGGTAATATCTGTAAACAATAAAAAACTATGACTGTAAGGGAGGTGCAGAATATTTGAACCATTATTTCAAACTAAATGAAAACATTAGTTGAAATCATGAGTCAATTGAAACTAGACAACCATGGAAAACCTATCGGTCTGTTGGTTAAGTGCACGGGCGCTAGATTGGTAGGTCCTGGGTTCGAATCTCGCGAGGCGAGGTCGTGGATGCGCACTGTTGAGTAGTCACACAATAAGACGAAACAACCGTTCAGTGCTTCCTGGTTTTCCTTGGTGGTGTAGCTTCATTTGACTCATGATTTCAACTATTAAAATACCGAAATCTCCACAAAACCCCTTCTGAAAACATTAGTATGAGGGGGTTGCGGAGATTATCGTGTTTTTGATTATGATCGTGAACTGATTGAAAGATAAGTTGCACAATAATCATTAAGTTATGTAATAAGCATGAACACAAGTGTATATGAATACAAAATCACAGAAAAATCTGAGAAACACACAGTAAATAAAACATCTATAAAATGTCAATTCATTGTTTCGGGTTTAATGATTCCTTCATTTCCACAGCAGTCATTCACTGTTCTTGTTCTCTTCTATTCGATCTACTTAAACTTCTGCTGACAAGTATTTCACTTTCGATTGATGATACATATTACTTATATCAGTCGACATCAGTAGCACACACCACAAATTCAGGTTCAAGTCTCGTACGCTTGTATTGTTCAGGCATTTTTATACTAACTAGCTAAAAATAAAACAATATAAGTTTCTAGTTATTTTGTAGCTAACTCTGAATTTACTCTCAAATTCTTAAAAAATTATCTGATAAAAAATGATGAATTGTTTTCATATCATATATGCTTAGACTCATACAGTCAGTCAATCAATCACAACGTAGAACTTCGTACATACGTACATCAGTTCGAGTTGACATACCACAATAGCACAGAGATACAATTGTCCATTCAAATTCCATAGTGGTAGAAATAGTAAGAGTATATCCAGTAATCCTAAAAATTAGGGTTTAAAGATCTTATTCAAGAAGTATACTTACTTACTTACTTACGCCTGCTACTCCCAATGGAGTATAGGCCGCCGACCAGCTTTCTCCAACCCACTCTGTCCTGGGCCTTCCTTTCTAGTTCTATCCAGTTCTTGTTCATTCTTCTCATGTCTGTCTCAATTTCTCGGCGTAATGTTTTCTATGATCTTCCTTTTCTCCTTTGACCTTCAGGATTTCATGTAAGGGCTTGTCTTGTGAAATAAATTTGAAAAGAGGAAAAAAAGGGAGGGACATGAAGAATTCAGAAGATTAGAATTTAGTAGAACACAAAGAGTGGATGCAATTTAGCCATTGCAAAACATTTTGAAACATGTCATTCAAGGTCTCTAACCATCGGTTGCTGTCATCTCGCGAATCCCAACCAGGTAGTCTACACCTACCAACATGGCCCAGTCCACTTGTCAGTGACTTCATTGATTTGTGCCACGTTTTGGTCTGGCCGCCTCTAGCTTTCTTTCAACCTACTCTTGCGCCATAAAACATCACACATCGGGGCAGTCGGTGGTTGAGCATACGTAACACGTGTCCCAACTATCTCAACTGATGAGGTTTCTTTACTTCATCAATCGATTTTCTATCCCTACCTTCACAAGAATTATAGGCAAAGATGGTTAGTGACTCACAGTGCAATCCAGGACTCACGTTTCGTCCTATTCGGGACACGTCAACTGGATGTACTTGCATCTAAGAGTTGATGTCTACTCTGAAACTCCAACCCAGCACCCTTCTCCTCAAACGCCATCGACTTATCCAATTAGCCACTGAGTGAACATCAACTCTGAGATGCAAGTACATCCAGTTGACAAGTCCCAAATAGGACGAAACGCGCATCAAACTGGATTCCACTACTAGCCACTATCCATCTTTGCCTATAATGCTTGTGAATTAAGGCAATATCAAGGCTTATAATTAACAGTTTAACTACAAGTAAACTGTTTGAATCCTAAATTTAACTTATTTAGTGTTTTGTCTCTTTGAATATTGTATATATAGAAATTACATGATGTCAATCAATTAAGACAAAAATTACTTCTTGAACGTGCTACATTAAAATCTCAACTTGATAAATTATTACAAAGATCTGTAAATGATGTAGATCTTATTGGTGGGGATGAAGATGATGATTATGATAATGATGGTGGTGATGGTGATAGTGGTGGTGGTAATGGTGGTGGTGTTGGACAAACACAATCAGACAATTGTCAACTACATGTAAGTCAGATATGAAAAAAAACTTTATAAATATTTTAATTTATTTAGTGAAGTAATTGGAAGGATGGCTTGTTGGTAAACTTTAGGAACCCTTAAGAAGCTTAAAAAGAGCAGAAGACATTCCATTCAATCACTACTAGGGGAACAGTCTAGAATGTCGACGTATAGTTTCCCTATTGGATGAATAAGAAGGACCCTCTATGTGCCTATGGGCTGTCCGAAATGATTATTTACTTTCAACCAAAATTATAAATACATGACAATTTTGTACTATGTTTTGACACTGTGTTAGGGAATCAAATTCCTACTTACTAGTCTTCTGTCTTCTCTCTTGTGACGTTGCGGGTTCGATCGTTCAAGTAGTCTAGTGGTACGCGGCATTGTAAGAATCAAAACTCTAGATATAACAGTAATAAAGAAGGATTGATAAGTTAATTGGATGTTTCTCTTTAGAATTGTGTTCTTTAAGCTGAATGATTTAATCTTGGAATTTTGATTGTGATCTTCATGATAATCGTAGGCACCAACTTCAGGTGAAATTGAATGCTTTTAACTACATTAAATACATGCTAAGTCAGTCGGTTTCGATAACTTTATGGGTGGTCAAAATTCAGTCATTTAACATATTGACATTCAATAATGTTAACCCATCATATGATCAAAGGGCAAATGAACTGAATAACTAATGAGAATGTAAGGACACATCTGATATAATAAAACCCAGAATACAATGAACAATAAGTAAGGTCAACTAAAAGGATCCATTTAGTCCTTTTTTCTCTCTCAGAAACCGAACTTTTAATTCTAGTAGAGTGAACAACATCGTCCAAAAAGACAGTGAACGTTCAGTAAATTCAATCATCCATTTCGGGTGATATAATCCCAATAAGATATAGTTTATTATTATGAGATAATTTATAACATATTCCTAAAACCATACTGTTGTATTCCTTAGTATTTAAGGTATTCTTCAATTATTTAATAGATGCTTTGTATCAGAGCAGATACTGCAAGCATTACAATGATAGGTTAGCTGGATTCATGATTCAATTAAAGCTACACCATTATAAAAAGCCTGAAAGCACTGTTTTAAGGCCGTTTCTCTCCAGTATTAGACTCCTCGGCAGTCTGTGTTCACGATCCTACCCACAGGGTTCGAACCCAGGATCTATCGGTCTTGTGCGCGAACAATTAACCTCTAGACCACCAAGCCGGCATCCAGTCGTGTTAGTGCTTAACTCCATGGATACGCACTGCTGAGGAGTCCCATACTATGACGAAATAACCTTAAAACAGTGCTTTCAGGTATACCATGGTGGTCTAGCTTTAATTGACTCATGATTTCAACTTTAAAAGTAGTAAAAATCTCCATAAAAAACCCCTTCTGAACATATTATTTTGTATATATATATATATAGATGTATGAAACTAAAATGTATAAAGATTCAATGAACTATCAGCTTGTTTAACCATGAAGTATCAATTAAATGTATGTAACATAGATGTTGTACTTTACATTCACTGAAAATGATACCCAACAAATTGATCCTTCAAATTATATATTCTCATTATATTGAGTTCAGGTTTTTAATAAGGTGAACTATATAATGGAAATATACAAATGCTTTATTGATCACAATATTCGATGTTCATTGTTAGTTAAAAAATTGTTTAATTAAAGTTGATCATTGAAAATGGGGAAACAAAACAAAACAATCAAGCTAATTTATAATACAATTGAAATATTCTAATGAAGTGTTATAACCCGAAGAGAATTATGAATGGTAAAGTTTGAGGACTATATAAGCGCCAATATGATACGTATACTTCCTATTGTATCATTGTTAAGTAACTAAACTATTCGTATTCGTGTCAGTCAGTCAGTTACAAAGTAGAACTTCGTGCATACCTACATCATTTCGAGTTGGCATACAATATTACCACAGAGATGCAGCTGTCAATTTAAATCCGATAGTGGTAGATGTAGTAAGAGTATAATCAGTAATCGGAAAGATTAGGGTTTGAAGGTGTTATGAAAAGAGTATAATCCAGTAAAACAAATTTGGAAAGAGAAAAAAGATAGGGATATGAAAAATTCAGAATATTAGAATTTGGCAGAACACAAAGAGCGGATGCACCTTCGCCATTGCAAACGACTTGGAGCCATGTCATTCAAGGTCTCTAAGGTCTCTCTCTCTCGATTGCTATCATCTCGCTGATCCCAACCAGATAGTCTACACCTACCAAAATGGTTCAGTTCATTTGTCAGTTACTTTACCGATTTGTGCCATGTTTTAGTCTGGTCGCACTTAGCTTTCTTCCAACCTACTCGCACACCATGAAACATTGCACGTCCGGGTAGTCGGTGGTTGAGCATACGTAACACGTAACACAACCATCTCAACTGATGAAGTTTTACTAACTCATCAATCTATCTGCCATACTTACCTAGTACCCGTTTCCTAACAACTGCATTACTTACTCGGTGGTCCCAGGATATACGAGCAATGTTTCGAAGACACATGTGATCGAATACTAGTAGACTACGCATATCCTCTACTCTTATCGGCAGATAGTAGGACCGACATGTACTGTAGAACTGCTCGTACGAGTTTCATGTGTCACTGGTCCGACAAATTAATCACTGCTCTCTAATATGCGGATACAAGATATAATATGAAGACAACATTAGAATGTTTTCATTGTTACATATTATCTTTAATACATAGTCTTATTGTTATATCTCGAACTGTAGAACTCGCAAAATGAAAAGACAGAAGACTGGTAAGCAGGAATGATATTCCCAGGAACAGTGTCAAATATAGTACAAAAATCTCATGTAGTTATAGTTTTTTGGCTGAAAGTAAATCATCATTTCGGATAGCCAATAGGCACATAGGGGAGTCCTTCCTATTCATCCAATACGGGAGCTACACATCGACATTCTAGAATGTTCCTCTAGCGATGATTGGATGGAATGTCTTCGGCTCTTTCTGAGCTTCTTGAGGTTGTCAACGAGCCATCCTTACACTTATAACTTTTATATCTAAAATAAAATACTTTGGAATAATATGAATGGATTATGATTATGATTTTTTTCTTTCATTGTTTCTTTTTTTATTTTAGGAGACTGAAGATTTTAAGTCTAAAGATACTGTAAAACAAATCCGCGTAAGTTAAACATGAAGTTCTTCTTATTTTTCTTTAAAGAAATCCCAATGCTTTGTTTTATGGGTTAGATCATTCAATTATGAAAGTTTAATGGTCTTAGAAATTAAAACAATGATCTTAAAGCCATTTGAAATCTATATTATTCAAAAAGATTATGTAATCATTTTATTCCCTTTTTTATGTAGAATAAGATAACAAAGAAAAGCAATTTGAACATTCCCTTCGTATTGTTTGTTTGAATCTTCCAATTGATGTTTAGGACTGCATCTGGTTAGTCTCTTATTGGCATATGTGCATATTGTGCGTATTGCCTTGATATAGCCTTAAGTCACAAGCATAAAAAGCAAAAATGGATAATGGCTAACAATGGAATCCAGGAGGCGCGTTTCTTCCTATTTGGGACTCGTCAACTGGATGTACGTGCATCCCAGAGTTGATATTCACTCTGGGACTCGAACACAGTACCGTAAGAGACTGACCTATTGCGGTCCTAAATGTCAACGGGAAGATTCAACCAAACAATACTAAATGAATTTAAACTTCACCCCATTGCACAAGTAAGTGACTATCAAGACTCAGTAGCTGAATGGATAACGCGATGGCGTTTGAAGAGAAAGGTACTGGATTCAAGTCCCAGAGTGAACAACAACTCTGAGACACAGGTACATTCAGGACAAAACGCGCTTCCTTGATTCCACTGCTACCTACTATCCATCTTTGCTTGTAAGTTCAACACCGTTTATAAAAGTGTTTGCTCCAAATATAAGAAACATTATATTAGACACAACGAAAACTCCTTTCATCTAACTAAGCAGTAGTATATAATACCTAATGAGCCAACTTGATACCAAGCCATATGATTAATAACATTGATTATAAAGCATTGAAATTTTGGATCAAGAAAAATTTAAGAATTCCAAGGGAACTATTTTAAAAGTAAGGGATTCAGATCAAATAATAATCAATTGACTTATCAACATAGATCCGATCTGTACATATTATTGAACCATATTGTTGACCAATCATATGCTTTGTAGTCGATCAAGAAAAACAATCAAACACAGAAATATAAGAACAAATAAACAACAAATAATCATAAACAAGGTCATCGGAACAAAATGATGAAATGATAAGAAAAAAAGAAACTGAAAAGTTTACCTTTATAGAAACTAGATATTCATTAAACATAGAAACTATCTAACTCATAGCATACATAATCAAACACATCCACTTGATAGTTGAAGTCATGAGTCAATTGAAGCTAGGCCATCGTGAAAAACCTGAAAGCTTTGGACGGCCGCTTCGTCCTATTGTGGGATTCCTCAGCAGTGCTCATTCACAATCCCGCACTCGCGAGATCGGAAACCAGGACCTATCAGTGTCGCGCGCGAGCACTTAACCGATAGACCACTGATCTGGTCGGCATCCAGCGGTGTTAATGTCAAACTTCAACCAATCCACGATGGTTTTTTTAAGCAGCCGTTAACATCAACTTGAGCATAATATTCCCTGTTGATCTGTTAACAATCTTCACTAGTTTACTTAGTATATAATTTATATCCTTCATAAATCCTATAGGGTGGATTAAAACTAAATAAAAATGAAACGATGCTTTTTTCTTGTTCATCGCTTAGATACTAAAATTCTCATAAATAACTTACTTACTTACTTACTTACGCCTGTTACTCCCATTGGAGCATAGGCCGCTGACCAGCATTCTCCAACCCACTCTGTCCTGGGCCTTCCTTTCTAGTTCTATCCAACTTTTGTTCACTCTTCTCATGTCTATCTCCATTTCCCAGAGTAATATGTTCTTTGGTCCTCATCTTCTCCTTTGGCCTTTAGGATTTCAAGCGAGGGCTTGTCTTGTGACACAGTTGGGTGATTTCCTTAAAGTGTGTTCTATCCACTTGCAGTGTTTCATCCTGATTTCTTCCTCCACTGGAATGTGGTTTGTTCTTTCCCACAGTAACTTGTTGCTGATAGTGTCCGGCCAACGGATCCGAAGTATCTTGTGTAGACAACTGTTAATAAACGCCTATATCTTCTGGATGATGGCTTTCGTAGTTCTCCACGTCTCCACCCCATACAATAGAACTGTCTTGACATTTGTATTGAAAATTCTGATCTTGGTGTTGGTTAACATCTCATAAATAAAATTGTAAATTATTCATCTTATAGATAATTAAGGGGAATTTGGACAAGACTATTGTAAAAATTCAATCTACATATTCCATCTAAGTCATGTATTTAAACTTATAACAAATCATGTTTGTACTAATTGTTTAAATCTTCCCCATTGATATTTAGGATTGTAATTGATCAGTCTCTTATTGGAATATGTACATTCTGTGTGGATTTCCTCGATATTGCCTTAAGTAATAAGAATTATAACTAGAGTAGGATGATGACTAACAGGTGGAATACAAGAAGGGCATATCGTCATACTTGCGGTTCATCAGCTAGATGTACTTGCATTTCAGAGTTGTTGTACACTCTGGGACTCGAACCTAGAACCGTTCGCTTAAAATATTATCGCGTTATCTACTTAACTAATGAACCCAGATAGCCGATCAAACTGACCACATTATACCATAAAATAGGAAACAACATTTGTATAAGATTCAGCCAAACGTAGCTGTGAATATGGGAGGCAGTAATTAATGAACTAGAGATAACTCAAGAAAGGTAAATCGTATATTAATAATCTATAGATCAATATAAAGCTTATAATAAGAGGAATATGAATATAAATAGTTTAGTTATTTAACAATTATACAATAGGAAATATACGGATCATATTAGTCCATACATAGTCCTCTTCGGGATATATCCCTATTCAATTAAAGAAATGAGAATAATAATATTAGATTGATGAAATTGTATCCATGGAATAGAAGATTAATTACTTGATGTTAGAAATCTTTTTCCAAGCTAAATATACAATAAAACAGAAAAAAATTAAATAAAAAAGAAAAGTAACTAAGGAGATTAGAAAAACAGTAATTTCATAATAACATCTAATCAATTCCAATTAATATGATAAGTAATATTAACGTTTCGAATAAGATACTAAATTCATTAGACGTTAACATTTACACCTTTAATGTCCTGTGGTATATGCTACTGATGTGGACAAATGTAAGTAGTATATAACATCAATCAAAAGTAGAATACCTGATGACAAAAGGTTAAGAAAACCAAATAGAAGAGAATAAGAAAGAAGAGTGATTGGTGTGAAAACGTAGGAACAATGAAGCCTGAGACATATAGTTGTCCCCACTTCTGTTTTCATTCACTACAATACAAGTCAATTCAATGATGATATATACAGATAATTAGATGGTGTACCAATGAGTTTAATACTGTTTCCTTATTGTTAACTAATATCTTTGTAACCAGAGTTGAAAGTAGCAGCCTTAAATAACAATTAATAGACCGTCTTTGTATAGGCAATATATATACATGATAAAAAGTTTGATATCCAAGATACCCTCAACCCCTTTACTAACTATCATCTTTCAGTTTAATTCCAGTGGAAATTGGTCGAGATTGGGTGGATTGTTAGGCCTTCCTTTACACTGTGTAACTATTTGAATAAGTAAATTTTCGATAAATGGTGAGATCTTAGATTCCATCAAAACTTTTCTTTTGACCAGTTCAAAATTGATAGTTCATTGAATTTATGACATTTTTAAAAATGAGTTTGATATGATCTGTGAAGGAATTCATCAGTAAAGAGAATACTTTAAGAAAAGTCTTTTTAATAATGACAAATATACAGTTTACATATCTGAATCAAATGTGTAGTCTGATGGCAATTTAAAAAAAAACAAGAGACCTAATATATGATATTGCTATACCTAGAGTTTTGATTCTTGCTATGTCGCATACTACTAGACTACTTGAATGATCTAACAGAAGATTAGTAAGTAGGAATGTTATTCCCAAAAACAGTGTCAAAATATACTACAGAAATCTCATGTATTTATAGTTTTTGACTGAGAGTAAATCATTTCGGACAACCAATAGGCACATAGGGGGTCATTCTTATCCATCCAATAGGGAAGCTACACGTCGGCATTCTAGAATGTTTCTCTAGCAGTGATTGAATGGAATGTCTTCTGCTCTTTCTGGGCTTCTTAAGGGTTTCTAAAATTTACCAACAAATCATCCTTACATATGTGAATAAGTTAGCTACAGTTCAGGACACAATATATCAGGGCCACTTGTTTATTTGTTTGAATAAAGTTCCTTCAAAGGAGAATAGGGTTACATCAAAGCATAGTTTAAAGAATTACATGACTGAATATCTGATTTATTTTCTTGAATTATTTAAATTTGCGTTAATCTAATCCAAACGTTTTTACCATCAATTTTTACTGAATAATCAATTTAAAATCCGACAGCCATCAATAAATAATACAGAACTATTCGTATTCAATAATATCGATAAATAACCGTGTTACTGACAAATTTTGGTTAACTGTTTAACTCCGGACAAAAGTACCTACAATATTCACTGCTTATTTCGTTAACAAACAATGTTTATTATTTACTGTTATGTCCTGACAAAGTCTATGGGGAATAATACCTTCCAGGACTAGTGTATGGAGTACTGTTGATGGTTTTATAATTCAGTCACATTTACATACAGTCAAATTTTGACTTGATAATGTATAATTGCTATTTTTATTTAATAGTATTATATGATCTGGTCTTTTATGCATGTCTGAAATATGATTACGATCTAGATTTGTTGTTAATTAATTTTATAATAGAAACTATTTCAAAATATCTACAATTAGGAGACTTAATAAACGAAACACATAAGCGGCCTGCTTGAATATCTGGGCTACCTGGTCCTGCTATCTAGATAAATCAACAAGTTATATATTTTCTTGTTTGTTTTAACATATCATTATGCTTATGTTATATCCCGAGGAGATTGATGAATGGTAATTTCTGAGGACTATTTATGGACCAATATGATATGCATAATTCCTATTGTATAATTTTTTATAGTGAGAAGCAGTGACCAGTGGAGTTCAAAACCACGTCTGTTGTGAGATAGGAACTCACTGAAGACAATTGGTGAATGGTTGCTCAACTTCGTGGATCAGTTGAAGTTAGACATTAACACCGTTGGGTGCCAGCTCAGTGGTTTATCAGTTAAAGGCTTCGGCTCGAGACTGGTAGGTCCTGGGTTCGAATCTCGCGAGAGCGGGTTCGTGGATGCGCATTGCTGAGGAGTCCCATAATAGGACGAAACGGTCGTCCGGTGTTTTCAGGTTTTCCTCGGTGGTCTAGCTTCAATTGACTCATGCTTTCTACTATGAAAAATACTAAATCTCCACAAAAACCCCTTCTGATAATTAATATTGTAAAATTGTTAAGTGACCAAACTATTCATATTCGTGTCCCTCTTATTATAAGCTTTATTTTCACCTATAGACTATTATTATACGATTTACCATTCCTTAGTTATCCCTAGTCCATTAATTACTGTTCCACAAATTCACAGCCACATTTGGCTGAATCTTGTACAAATATTATTTTCTATTTTATGGTAATATGTGATCAGTTTGTTTGGTATATAAACTCAGTATGTTTGAGAATAATGATTCATATTGCAGAGGCTGTTATTTGTGTTTTCGATTTAACTGACTGAGCTACACTAGACAGATAGCAGGACTGATAAGTACTCTAGATTGCTCGTATTGTTTTTGGTGTATCATAACTCTGATCGATATTTCACTCCTCTTTGATTGGCGGTCTTAAAACGTCATATATTAACGGAGCACACACTCAGACAATCGACATAACAGCTTATTAATCGCATAACTTACTCAGGTGCGTTTGTACAAAGTTTACAACCTTCCAATAAACAAGTTGCGAAAGAACCCAATCAGAGACATCGTGATAACCGTCAATATGCATCGTAAACAATATACATTAATCAAAAGTCGAGTCCTGAACTGGTAACATCCAACTGGCAACCACTTAATACTTATCACCAATATCAATTAAGAAACAAGAAACGGAAACTTGCTTAAATACTTTGTGCTGAGGATTCTATATTATGCTGAAAATATTGTAGTGAATATAGGGCTCTAACAATAAAAAAATTGGATGCCGGCTCAATGGTCTATCGATTAAGTGCTCTGGCGCGAGACTGGTAGGTCCTGGGTTCGAATCTCGCGAGTGTGGCATACTGGATGCGCACTGCTGAGGAGTCCCATAATCGGAAGAGTTGACCGTCAAGCAGTACTTCCGGGTTTTCCATGATGGTCTAGCTTTAATTGACTCATAGTTTCAACTATAAAAATACTAAATCTCCACAAAACCCCTTCTGATAATAATAATAATAATAAATAATAACCATTATGACCGCTTACGATACATTTAGTCGACATGACAACATAAAATTTATCCCCCCCCAAAAAAAAACCATTATCTTCGTTTTTTTCTCTTTCATTCAATTCTTCTCTCCCTCCCCTGTTTTTCTTTTTTTGTTTTTGTTTTTCTTTAGTCAAAAATTAAAGAATTAGAAAAACGTTGTGCATTACAATTATTAAAACATGAAGAAATTTTATTAGAAATTGAAGATGTTCGTAAACGTAGTTTTAATCATTCCAATATTAATCATAATCATAATAATAATTCATCAATCATTACAACAATCAATACAATCAAAAATCAATTAAATGATATTGATTCAATCAATCAATTATCCTCATCAACATCATGTTTAATTAATAATCAAAATCAGAATCAAAATAATCAGAATAATAAAATTTATGGTCGTTTATTACAATCAGGACAACAACAACAACAACAACAACAACAGCACCAACATAAGTTGAAACAAGATGATATACAATCAACATATGAAATGGATTCATTATTATTTGATTCATCTGCAATGGGTATTATAGAATTAGATAAACAAATGACGACTAATACTACTAATAAACAAGTTAAAGGTAGATTATTTCGTAGTAATACGGATTTACAAATAACAGGTAAGTTTCTTGAATAGATATTACCTTTATTTTTCTTATTGTATTTATAATTGGTATTGTGGTGTGGGTTACTTATATCCATATTAAGTAGTATATATGATGATTGGGTATTGAATGTATTTCAGTAGAAGATCTATAAGGAAAGAATGGAAGCAAAAAGCTACTGGTATGAAAATGCATGAACAATGAAATTAGAGACGATGGACTGATTTTCAGAAAAGATGTAGTACATTGAATTCACTTGATATTGTTTGAATCTTCTCATTGATGTGTTAGGAATGCGATTGATCAGACCTCAAATAACCTGATACGGCTGAGAGTGGGAAGATTCCGCTCTCTCTCTCTCTCTCTCTCTCTCTCTCTCTCTCTCTCGAAATGCTCTCACATGGCCACGCGTATATAGCCTCTGTCAGGGGAGTCCTACTAACTGCCTTCTCGTGGCATTATTGTTGTTTACGAAATTGAGAGGACGAAAAGAGAATGTCCGGCTCTTTAACCGCGTTGGTGGTGAACACGAAAAGTTCACATAGGGGAGTTGAAAAACCCTGATTCCAAACCAATAGTGCACATGGACTCCAGTATCCTGAAAGAACTAATGGCGCGTGAACCTTTTGTTGATCACCGGCTACCATGGGACTGCATCTTTTCACGATGCTCCATTGCCTTGTGGATCAGATCTTTAGCTCAAAGACTCCGAGTGTGGCCCCCTAGGAAAACCATCTGCTTCAGTTTGAGCACCTGGGTAGTATCACAGTCCTCTCACAAATCAAATGAAATTTGTGTGGTGCATATATATCTGGTTCCCCTTTATGTTTAAATAAATAAATGAAATAAGTCTCTAATTAGCATTTGTGTATACTGTGCGAATTGCCTTGATATAGCCTTAATTTTTTAAAGCATGAGTCAATTGAAGCTAGACCACCATGGAAAACCTGGAAACACTGGACGGCCGTTTCGTCCTATTATGGGACTCCTCAGCAGTGCGCATCCACGAACCCGCTCGCGCGAGATTCGAACCCAGGACCTACCAGTTACGAACCGAAGCCCTTAACCGATAGACCACTGAGCTGGCATCCAACGGTGTTAATGTCTAACTTCAACTGATCCACGAAGTTGAGCAACCATTCACCAATTGTCTTCAGTGAGTTCCTATCTCACAACAGACGTGGTTTTGAGGAGTCCCATAATAGGACGAAACGGCCGTCCAGTGTTTCCAGGTTTTCCATGGTGGTCTAGCTTCAATTGACTCATGCTTTAAAAAACTATGAAAAATACTAAATCTCCACAAAACCCCCTCTGATAATTAATATAGCCTTAATTCACAAGCATTATAAGCAAAGATGAATAATGGCCAGCAGTGGAATCCAGGACGCGAGTTTCTTTCCATTTGTGACTCGTCAGCTGGATATACCTGCATCTCAGAGTTGATGTTCACTCTGGGACTTGAATCCAGTACCTTTCGCTTCAAATGTCATCGCATTATTCATTCAGCTACTGAGTCCTGATAGCCATTTGCCTATGTAATGGGATGAAGTTAAAATTCACTTAGTATTGTTTGTTTGAAACTTCTCATCCATCGTTGCTTTCTGTACTAGGTATTACTTTTATTTTTCTTATTGTATTTATAACTGGTATATTATTTCATATAAGGATAAGACAATAATTTATAAGCGAATTAATCAGGTTTAGGATAATAAGTCTTGGATTTTGGCGTGATATTTATTCATCTATTTGATTAGGAAAAGTTTTGGCATTATAGTTGAGGTAAAGTTCGTGACGAACAAACCATAAATCTGATTGTTAACCGTAACAATCAATTGTAAATAGTGATCTTTATTCTTTACACAAGTTTATAACCCTCATTTAGTCCTAGGTATTAGGTGGATATTTTCGTATGGATTACTTTAATGTTCCCATTGATATATAAGACTGTAATTTATCAGTCTAATATTGTACAACTCAGTGGCTATCTGTATTCAGTAGCTAAGTAGTTAACACGATAGTATTTGAAGTGAAAGAAACTGGGTTCGACTCCTGAAGTAAACATCAACTCAGGGATGTATGTACATCTAGCTGGCTAGTTCCATATAGAACGAAACTCAGTTCCTGAATTCCACTGTTAGCTATTATCTATCTCTACCTATAGGTGTTAAAAGATTTTGAATGATTACTGAAAGTGAGGCAGCTAGTTAAAGTTGAAATTAGTTGAGAGATATGAAAAATATAACTAAAGTTATCATCTGTTTTATTCAATGAATTGTGCCTACTATGAAATCAAAAGATTCTGGAACTGATCTTTAATGAATTCAAGAGTATGAAAAGCTGGAATGTAATAACCCAACAGTTTTCTATGGCTTGAAATGGTATCTTAATTGAAAAAATTGAGTGATTAAAATCAAACAACAATATGCTATAGCTAATCACTATCTCTAAAAATAACGTTTTTGTTAAATATTCATTGAAACAGGAAGACTTGTATTCTTAGAATAGTTCACTATCAAGGGTCACTATACCATTGGTTGTCATAGTTAATTTACTAATCCCATACCATAAAAAAATCTTACTCTGAGAGTCTACCTTAGACAAGTTGTCTCCTTAAGATCATTTCCGTTGGATAAAATTAAGGGCTCCGGCTCGAGACTGATAGGTCCTGGGTTCGAATCTCGCGAGTGCGGGATCGTGGATGCGCACTGCTGGGGAATCTCATAATAGGACGAGTTGGCCATCCAGTGCTTCCAGGTTTTCCATAGTGGTCTAGCTTCAATTAACCCATGATTTCAACTATGAAAATACTAAATTCTCCACAAAACCCCTTCCGATCTAAAACTATTTACTTGAAATAGAAGAAACGTACGAGAAATCACTGAATAGACATTAAACGTCTGTAGGCTGTGTAATAATATTATCATAGCTAGACACATCAGAGATTTGTGTCATGCAATATACCTACTTTTATTGTTTCCAATAATCGATTCACACAAAACATTTCATATACTACAATGGTCAGACATAGCACTGATATTGCAACTTCAACGTTTATGAAACTGATCAACGTAGGTTCCAATATAGTAGATTGTCAATTGCCTGAATGTTTCAGGTATATCTTAATGATGAAGTCCCTTTTTATATCGATTATTTGAGTGCGTACGTGCGTGCCCTGTTGATATATATTACGTGATGAACCCCGCCAATTAGAGAGGAGTGAACTATCGATCAGAGTTATGATACACGGAAGCCGTATGAACAGTCTAGAGTACTTATCAGTCCTGCTTTCTACCTAGCCTAACCTAGCCTAGCCAATTAGGTCTAGAATACCAATAACAGCCTCTGAAATATGAATTATTATTCTCAAACATACTGAGTTTATATACCAAACAAACAGACCACATAATACCATTAAAAAAAATAGAAAATCACATTTATACAAGATTTAGCCCAATGTGGCTGTGAATGTGTGGAACAGTAATTAATGAACTAGGGATAACTCAAGAACGACAAATCGTATAATAATAGTCTATAGATGAAAATAAAGCTTATACTAAGAGGGATACGAATATGAATAGTTTAATTACTTAACAATTATACAATAGAAAATATACGGATCATATTGGTCCATAATTAGTTCTCAATAGTTACCATTTATAAATCTCCATGGGATATAACAGTCTCATCTTACATTACAAGTGTTTTACTCCAACTATCTAACATATTAAGCACGTTATCCAGAAACAACACTAGATGTATATCAGTATATATATACATATTGTACGGTATAGATAGGAGAAATAAGAATTCAAGTGTATATTTTTGTATTTTGTAAAATGACAATTAATCAATGACAAATTTTTATCTTAATGAATCAATAAAAAAAACAGGTAGAAAATAGTTTTCCTAAAAATAAAAAAAATTTTTTTTAGTTTCTAACGTGTTTTTTTTAATAATTTTTAATCTCCATTAGTAACAAACAAATGATATCGTTTCCTTTCTTTGTAGTTATAAAAGATAAGATTATTCTAATCTTCTCATTGGTATTTAAGATTATCAATGATTAGTCTGTTTTGTTAGCATAGTTACATCCTGAATAGATTGTCTTGATATTGTCGTTAAGTCACAAGTGTTATAAACAGTGTTGGATAATGGTTAGCGATGGAATCTAAGATGTATGTTTTGTTAGATTTAGGATATGAAGTACTGTGATATTGAAACAAATTGATATGAATCTTATTTCCATCATACTAACTGTGGTCTGGTAGTTGAATGGAGTAGAAAATCACATTTTATGGAACACTCATAATCATAATATCAATAAAAACAACATACAATAGTATCAAGATGAACAGAAGGGGTTTTGCGGAGATTTCAGTATTTTCATAGTTGAAATCATGAGTTAATTAAAGCTAGAACAACATCGAAAACCTGGAAACACTGGACGGCCGTTTCGTCCTATTGTGAGACTCCCCAGCAGTGCACATGCACGATCCCACACTCTCGAGATTCGAACCCAGCACTTAACCGACGCAATGGTCTATCGGTTAAGTGTTCTGGTGCGAGACTGGTAGGTCCTGGGTTAGTGGATGTGCACTGCTGAGGAGTCCCACAATAAGACGAAGTGGCCGTTCAGTACTTCCAGGTTTTTCTTTGTGGTCTAGCTTCAATTGACTCATGATTTCAACTATGAAAATATCAGTATGAAGTTGAGGAGATGATTAAGTTTTCGATTAAGGTTTGCAATGGTGGTCTAACATCAATCGATTGACGATCTCAATCCAATACAGAAATATAATCAACATGAGTATTTGGTGGCTAATAAAATGTGTATAATACCTAAAACTTTAGAAGAGATCTACTGCCACTTTGTAAACGAATTTAGAGAAGTTAACTATAATTTTCGTACTGTAAGATAGTTCATGTCAGTCAGTCAGCTACAATGTAAGACCAGGCACACAGATGCATCGGTCCAAGTTTCCATACCTTGTTAGTACAACAAGATGAACACCGAATTCATAGAAGTAGTTAGTTTAGTGGTGGTAATATATGATATAAAGGTTGTAGATAATGATATAGTGCAGGAAAAAAGACAGGTATGAAGCGATTTTAATCTCAAGGTTTAAGAGAAGATAAAGAGTGTATACACCTGCGCCATTGTGATCGATTCTGAGCCATGTCACCTTGAGTCTCCAACCATTGATCACGATAGTCACGCGGACACCAACCAAGTAGTCTGCTCAGACTAGAAGTTAGTGACTTTATGGACTGATGCCACGTCTTGGTTTGGCTGCCCCTAACTCTCTTCCAACCATCCCCAATACTAGTCAGCATAGCGCGTCGTGGTAATCGGTGTTCAGGCATACGTAACACGTGACCCAGTCATCTCAGTCGATGAAGATTCATGACCTCATCAACTGATTTACCATCAGGTGTTGACGCAGGCTAGTCCTGTAGTAACAATTTACATTTAGAGGGTGAGAAATGCATCCCAAACATCCTGGAATTATTACTCAGTTCTAACAGAAGACTCTCCATTTTGTCAGCGTCTTCACTAAACTGGACTATGTCAACGGCGTATTCTAAGTTGATAAGTGAACCTCCTGGTAGGAGATCAATTCCTAAAAGTTCAGTCGAAGAGAGTGTTATTTCCAGCAATAGGTCTATGATGAAGTTAAACAAGAATGGGGATAGTGGACAGCCTTGACGGACACCACTTGAGGTTGTAAAATGAGATGACAGTTCGCCATAAGCTCTTACTCGACTGGTAGTGTTCGAGTAAAGAGCATACACAAGGTTTATGTACTTCTGAGGTACACCTTTCAATGACTGACACTGCCACAGAGCATCTCGGTCTACAGAGTCAAATGCTGCTTTCAAGTCAAGAAAACTATCATTGTCGGACGCCAATAAGCTTGTTTGCGCTTTAAAACCTGACGAATAATGAATATGTGGTCGATGCAGCCACGACCAGGTCTGAAGCCAGCCTGATTTTCTCGTGTTTGCAGTTCACGAGTCTTAGTTAGGCGCCCGATAATTATTGAGGCAGGTATTTTAGATGTTATGTTCATGATGAGTAAAGGATTTGTTTATCATATTTTCAAGTTCTAGGACTGTGTTTGAGTCTTAATAGGGTCATTAATACTGACGTGTAAATACGTGCAGGTGATGAGTTCCAAATCAGAAGAAACATTCTTTCTATACTCCACTGCTAGCCGAAATCCATCATTTATGAAGAGCAGTTAATTCGGATAGTTTTATGAATATTTAAGTAGAATCTTCAAACAAACTTCAATCTCCTATCAGCTTCAGTTAATGGTATATGGACTACCATCAAAGATCTTACCAAATATTTTACAAAAGTTCCATGTTATAAAGAGACTAATTTCAGCATAAATCGAGACAGTGTATGTCAGGATTTGATTAAAGGTGAAAACTATGAATCTAACTATTCCGATGTTATAGTGTAGATGATATCTTACTTCTAGATACGGTCAAAGATATACACTACCGGGGAGTACTTTATCGAACTGAAATGACTACTGTGTGTAATTGTTGCAACACATTTATATAGGAGAAACATTTAATTGCTTTTTTTCATTCATTTTTTTCACAGAAGGAGATGATCCAAATTTAGTCGAACTGTTTCAAGTTATTGAAGAATCTAGAAAATCAACCGGTAAGCTTACTTCAAATTCTCTTCGAATAGATAATCTGTTCTTGAAAATAATTGATTATAAATCCTATCTACATTTTCTACTTCCATCAAAAGTATCATTTCCAGATAGATTTTCTTAGTCTCATGTTACTTTCTCATTTGAAACCTGTGATCATGTTGTTAACAGATGAAAGATAAAGTTGTTTAATCGAAATCCTCGAAGGATCAAAACATGCCCTTAGGTCACTTCATTATCTCTTGTAATATATTTCATAGGGAGCATTTATCGAATGACTACAGAATTCTACTAATTTATTTGGACTAAATTTCCACCGGTCATACCGGATAACACCAAAACAACTGTGGTTTATAATTACTATTCCGACTAACCTCCTTATTGACGAATAAGTTCCTACACCTTCCATTCTTCGTACTTTTCAAACTTGGTGCACAATAATATTGATAATTTTAGAAATGATGCTACCAGTTATTCTTACTTACTTACTTACATCTGTCACTCCCAATGGAGCATAGGCCGCCGACCAGCATTCTCCAACCCACTCTGTTCTAGGCGTTCCTTTCTAGTTCTATCCAGTTTTTGTTCATTCTTCTCATGTCTGTCTCAATTTCTCGGAGTAATGTGTTCTTTGGTCTTCCTCTTCTCCTTTGACCTTCAGGATTTCATGTGAGGGGTTGTCTTGTGACACAGTTGGACCAGTTATTCTGCTATCTTATAATGAATATGAAAGTCAATAATTTGTACAGTGGTTGCTTTTTTAATAAGAATGACCTTCAGTAATCACGTTATCAATAGTTTAGATTTAATTTAAAGCGTAGTTACAGTCAGAAGTAATAATTTTAACTAAGGATAAACTCTACTCTCATTCTTAGTTTCATATTGAACCTGGCAACCAACAAAATGAAGAGTAAATAATTATCAACATTATCGTAGTCCATGACAAAGAAACTATTTCGTTCTTCGTCTTTTTTGCTGACTTACATCAAAAATGTAAAGTATTCCTTGACGAAAACGCCTATTTATGATGCAATGTACGTGTCAAGTGTAATGATAAACGGTAATTTCGGTAATCAAATGACTTGTAGACTTTGCGCAGACTACCCTGATGGTGTCTTTCGATGTAATATATGTTGGAGGAAGATGTCTGCTAGAATAGGAACCTTTTTCGCTCTATCCAGATTGAGACTAAGGCAAATTATGATATTTACCGCGAATTGTATAATAAAAGCGCCAGTAACATTGGCAGCAAAATTCGCAGATGTTACTGAAGCTTCGGCTGTTCAATGGTATGAGTATTGTAAATATATATAAGTAATGAAAATGACAAGCTTATACAATCGGAGTACACAAAAACAATATTGAAGCTATGCGGTCGAGTCTGAAAGAGTTTTTGCGACCTTATCAATGGCTTCAGAGACCGACTATTATGGAGCTATATGGATGAGCTCCTCTACCGTATGTATTACGATTTTAGAACCTTTGAACTTCTTTCTAAAGTCGACAAGGTTTTGGACCATGTAAAAAAGAACTTTATCCACTTTAATTCTTTGGTTTTTTATAATATATTTTCTTCAATACTAACTGTTTCCTGATTGGCTAATATTTCTCAAGGTCACTTGGAGTTCGTTCAAAGGTCGTTCATAAATCATAGTCTCACCGTCTAAGAATAGAATCGAGAAAATATTGAATGTTCAATGTCTAATAAATAGAATGCTTCTGAATTTCAATGAAAATTTAACTATTTCCCCTTGATATAATATCTTTAAGTTATCGGACAAAGAATACCCTAAACTTTAGAAAAGTCTCATCTTAATAGTCCGAATAATGATATTATTTGTTAAAAATGAGTTTAACATTCAATAAAATGACTAGCAGTGGAATCCAGGAAGAGCGTTTCGTTTTATTTGAGATTAGTCAGCTGGACGTACCTGCCTCTCAAAGTTGATGTTCACTCTGGGACTCGAACCCAGTACCTTTCGCTTCAAATGACATCACATTATCCACTTATCTACTGAGTCCTAATAGCCACCTGCTTGTGCAATGAGATGAAGCTATGTGGATAACGCGATGTTGTTTAAAGTGAACGGTACTGGTTTTAAGTCCCAGAGTTAACATCGACTCTGAGATGCAGGTCCATCCAAATAAGACGAAACGTGCTTCTTGGACTACCTTTGCTTGCCACTATCCATCTTTGCTTATAATGCTTGTGAATTAAGGCAATGTCGAGGCATATATGCGAATAAGAGACTGATCAATTGCAGTCCCAAACATCAATTGGGAAATTCAAGTAAGCAGTACCAAGTGAATGACGTACCTATATCTTAAGGATCAGAAAGTTTCCTTAATAAAATGATAAAGAGAATATCGATTACTCTGTAATACTAATTTCAGATTTCCACCGGGAACTGACTATGTAAAGCAAGACAATAGTCGGAAGGAGTGTAAATTCATTGTGAAGTTACAAACTATTTACATAATGCAAATAAATAGCCTTGAATCGTCCATTTGGATCTTTTAGTGTTTTCTACCATTTGAACTATTTTCTCGTCTGGTCTTTAAGTGTTCTTCCAACGTTGTACTGTTGATGCACTGAAACTCTACACTCCCTTTGACAATTGTTGCAATTTCGATGACACATTCCGTTACACACTACTTACAAGCATATTTGTGAGTAGCATCCACTAAAACAGTAGTTAGTTTCATTTTAACTGTTCCGTTATAATGGAGGGACTGGAATCGATGCATATACCCCCAGGTTCTGAGTTATTTGACTAACTGTCAGCCAGTAAACCTTGTGTTATGATTCAATTTACACACTGATTCTGAATTCAATAAAGTGAGCACTTTTAACCTTAGTTATTTCTTGATATCTTATGACAATCACTTAGTTGCATCATTGTAATCTGTATCACTTCTCACAAAGTCACTAATATACATACTTTGACCTACAGTCAAAGTAATTTCAAAATTTTATCAACTTTGGAAAATCACCATTAAGCGAAACAAACTTAAATTTTCTACTAACTTGCTATTTGATATTTTTATTACCTTTGTTATATGTTGGTGAGCGGCCTATGGTCCTCCATGAGGGGTAATAGGCGTAAGTAAGTAAGTAAGTAAGTAAGTTTGTTATATCGAGATGTATACCCGATAAAGTTAAACACGCAAGTAAGGGATGACTAAATATAGTGCACAAGAACACAGAAGAGAAAAACCAAATGTACTTGAATACAAAATTACAGAATCTTTTAATAAAATATAAAAACCATTAGTTCAATCCTTCAATAGCAAAATGGTCATCAATAGTTTAAGACTTTGTTTTCCCTTCATTTCCTTACTGATCACTCACTGTTCTCCTTCTCTTCAATCTTTTCAACCTTCTGTTACTACCTTCAATCGATGATACATACTATTTATATCTGTCGACATCAATAGCATACACCACAAAATTACCAAAAACATTAAAGATATTGATGAATTATTACTCCATTGAACATAATAATACTTAACAGTTAGATTCATGAGTCAATTAAAGCTACACCACCATGGGAAACCTGGAAACATTGGATGGCCATTTCATCCTAGCATGGGACTCTTCAGCAGTGCTCACCCACTATCCTGCTTGCAAGACTGGAATTCAGGATCTTCAGTCTCGCTAACGAACACTTAACCTCTAGATCACTGAACCAACTCCCAACAGTGTCAGTGTCTCCACAAAACCATTTTTCTAATACTAATATTCATTTATTATTATCTAATACCTTTAGCGTCTATAATTGGAATCATTTAATTCCTGTCATATATATAACACATGTCTATTTACACTTTTATTTTAGATGTACCAGCACCAAGAATGATCACATTAGAACGTCAATTATTTCAAAGTGTATTAATTAGTTGGAAATCACCAGAATTAAATGAGAATAAAATTGTATCTGCATATCATATTTATGTGGATGGACAATTTCGTTTAGCTGTTATGGCTAAAGAAAAAACTCGTGCACTTATTGATAATGTGGATGCTGATAAAGTACATTATTATTATTATTATTATTATTATTATTATTATTATTATTATTATTAGTAGTAGTAGTAGTAGTAGTAGTAACATTATTATTATTGTAAGCAAAGATGGATAGTGGCTAGCAGTGGAATCCAGTTTGACGAGCGTTTCGTCTTATTTAGGACTCGTCAGTTGGATGTATCTGCATCTCAGAGTTGATGTTCATTCTGGGACTCAAACCCAGTACCTTTCGCTGCAAATGCCATCGCATTAACCACTCGGACACTGAGTCCTGATTGCCACTTGCTTGTGCAATGGGGTGAAGTTTAAATTCAATTAATATTGTTTGTTTGAATCTTCCCATTTCACTGCTAGCCTCTATCCATCTTTGCTTACCATGCTTGTCAATTAAGGCTATATTAAGGCAATACGCACGGTATGCATATATGCCAGTTAGAGACTGACCAGTTGCAGTCCTAAAACATCAATGGGAAGATTCAAACAAACAATGATAAAAAGTGAATTATTATTATTATTACTGAATAATACATTCTAATTTAACTTTCATACGTAATGAATGTAGATTTTGCTACTTGTTACTTTTCAGCAAGGTTTACCTGCAACCTTAAGGGAACTGATGCTTCCTGATGAATTCGGTTTCATGTCACCTAGCTTCACAATCAGGAAAGTTACCACCGAACTATCCGGGCAGCGATTGACCTCCAGTAGGATTGAGATGTCCAGGATTTCCCTGTTGGCTACCTCCAACCACCATCTTATTTCAACATAGCGCACGCAATGTCGCGTCACCTAGACTACTGGTCACATTCCAACTTGGTCGATAGGATTCGATTTGTACTAAAAACGACATGACATACATGACATTGATCACCACCCAGTGATCAATCAGTTGTGATGTTTTATAATGAAACTATTTAATGTCTTCAATCGGTAAAAAGAGAGATAAAGTATTCGTTTGCAAGTCATCAAATGTTTTCAAATATTGCTAACAGTTTTCTTTATAATCCAAATAGACATGTTTATGTATATACGACATTGTAGAACTAGTGGGAAGTAACCAAGGTTATAGCTTCTAGTTTTCTAATCTTAAAAAAAATCTTTTGAGGTTATGAACTGATTCAAACTAGAAAACCCAGAAAGCAATGAATATCATTTTCGCTTTGGATAAGAACTCCTCAGCCGTTCGTATCCACTATTCGCGTTAAATCATGTCGAGTGTGAGGCAATTACCCATCAAAGGGAATAAAATATGGCGGCACAATATCATGCATTGATTACACTTAGACATAAAGAACATTGGATTCTGGCTCAGTGATCCAAGAATAAAGCGTTCTTGCACAAGAATGAAATTGACGGCCTTAGTTTTCTGGGGAAGGGTCATGGTTGCACACTTCTTAAAACTTGCACACTAGGATGAAACATGTGTCTGTTGCTTCAGGGTTTCCAAATGTTGTCTGACTTAGATTGGCTCGTAATCTTAACATGATTCAACAATGTGCACAGCCTTTTACTGATATTTTAATTCTGTTGATCATTTGTGTGCTGTAATATATATATGAATAAACAATCGTAAGGTCATTTGAACATAGAATTTTACTTATGGGTACTTGTCCACAGTGAATCCGAAAGCTATTGATTTCGTCCTTTTGCTAATTAGTCACAACGAGCACGAAATCAAGTTTAAGACTTCCAATTAATGACCAATCATTTAGTAAAAGTATATTTCATTCGATGTTTATAGCTCAATATTGCGTATGTCCATATAGATCTGGAAACTTATCTATACATTTCTTCACCATTACTTCCCTACTCCTATTCACTCTTTCTAGTGTTGTGTTTAACATTCAAAACCACCCCGTTACTTATTTTTCTTATTTATTTTAGCCTCATCGAATTTCAATTCGATCTATTTCTTCACATGGTCAATCCAAAGATGCACAATGTACATTAGTAGTAGGTCGTGGTATGACTGCTACACCTGCTCGACTGAAAGCTACACAAATCGGTACTAAATCAGCTAAATTAAGTTGGATTCCAGGAAATAGTAATTATTATCATCGAGTTTACTTAAATGAAACTTCATTACATGTATGCAAACCTGGTGTATACAAACTACACTTAACTGGTAAATCCTTGTTTAGTAATTAAAATAAACTTCTTAATGATTAGCATTAGTCAACATGATGTTATTATTACCTACTACTCGAGTTAAGAACTTGCATCTGTCATAATTGTGAACACTAGGTATTCAAGCTGTGACTAACTTTTAGTAATATTATGATGTTCATGCTAATAAACGTGTTTAACCATAGGGATTGATGACCTACGTTTAAGTATCTTGAGAGTAATTGATCCTCTCAAGATTGTGAAAATTTGTTAGAGATGAATACCAGTTGTCATGAGATCATATAACCGGTGATAAATTTATTAGTTCAAAACATCAGGAAACATTTGTAATTTAAATGATTATAAGAAACAAGTGAGCGGATGAACAGAATAAAATGGACAGCTTGGATGCAAGTTGATGATTTGGACTTCGCAAGTGACCTAGCTATTCTAAATCATACACACAAACAAATCCAAATGAAGACAACCAGTGTAGCAGCAGCTTCTGCATCAGTAGGCCTCAACATACACAAAGGAAAAAGAAAACTCTTTAAGTACAACACGGAGAACACAAACACAACACCGACACTTGATAGAGAAACTCTCGAAGGGGTGGGAAGTTTCAAGTACCCGGTTACCATAATGAATGAACAAGAAAGATTTGCAGCAGATGTGAAAGCAAGGATTGACAAAGCAAGGACAACATTCTCACAGTTGGAGAACATATAGAACTCAAAACAACTGTCAATCAACACTAAAGTTAGAATCTTCAATACAAATGTTATGAAAGTTCTATTATACGGAGCTGAAACTTGAAGAACTACCACAACCATCATCAAAAGAGTGCAAGTATTTATAAATAATTGTCTACACAATATATTCAATGTTCGTTCGTTTGATACCATCAGCAACAGCCTACTGTGGGAGAAAAAAAACCAAAATCTAGCTGAAGAGGAAATTAGGAAAAGACATTGGAAGTGGATAAAATACTCATTTCTGAAATCATCAAACTGCATGACGAGGCAAACCCTAACTTGGAATTATGACGGGAAATGGAAAAGAGGTAGATCAAAGAATACACTGCATCGGAAATTGGAAGCAAACATGGAAAGGATGAATAACAACTTGGAAGGATTGTGGAGGACAGAGTTGAATGAAAAATGTTAGTGGATGGCCTATGCTTTTCCACGAGGGGTAACAAGCGTAAGTAAGAAATAAGTGGTTCATGCAAATTCGATGTTTCATACAGTCGTTTTACAAAATGCGTTATTAATCATAGATGTAGTATGTAAAAGATTAAAATTTCTAATTTTAATACTTGAATTCACGAGACGTTTTAAACTAGAACATCAATGAAAACATGGAAGTATTAAACGGCCGTCCTGTCCTAGTATGGAACTCCTCAGTAGTGCGCATTCACAATTCGGCACAAAAATGGATTCGAACCCAGGACCGTCAGTCTCGTGTGTAAACGTCAAAACCTCTAGACTACTGAGTCAGCATCCAACGGTGTTAATGTTTAACTTCAGTTAGCATTATTTGTGTTAAATTATATTTCAAGTAATCTCACTGTTTGAAGTTTAAATAATTCCAATGTTTCGTCCAGCAGACGTGTCTGAATTTCTATCAGGGTGATAAAAAAGGGATCAAAATTATCAAAGACTATAGCTAGTCAGCTACAACGTAGGAGAATACAGTGATCTTGAATGCTGTTAGAGGTATGAGAGCAGTTATCATTTCCCGGTTGCCCACACCGTGTGAGGGTTCTTCTAGAGGTACCTGAAAAGAAAATCGGATTAGAAGTGGTCTTAATGACCTGAGAGGGTGACCGCAGTGCCCAAGGGACAACTACTTGAGGTCGGTCACGCATAACCTTTTTGTGGGTAATTTTTGTGTTAGCTCCGTACTTTTTGGGACCTTACCGCTGGAGATTGATATCCGTGGGATAGGGCGAGGTGTGCATTTTTAGGGTTGACCTTTTCCAACCCCATCCCCCTTGTGGGAAGACAGCATCGCTGTTATGCTGGTTGTCTGAAGGAAACACCTTACTGCTGTCAAACGTCTGTACAGTCAGCAGATCACAGACTATATACTGTTTAACAATCAAACAAAATCCCCACTAAATGCTTATTTAATCATATTCTTTCACTTATTTTCACATTGCAAAATTTTACATGATTCACATCTTACTGATAAGTGTTATGCTAATAGCTGAATTCAAAAGTTAATCTAAGCTTGGCCACCATCGAAAACCTGTAAGTATTGTATGGCTGTTCTATCCTAGTGCGGAACTTCGCAGTAATATTCATCCACGATTTTGCATGTGGGACTCAAACCCAGGATTTTCAGTTTCTCTCACAGACGTCATACTTCCAGACTACTGAGTCAGCATCCAATAATGTTATTATTTTATCATTTTTAAAGTTAATTAAAGTGATTAATCATAGCAGATAAAAACATTCAACGGATTATCATCACTTCATTGGAAATAGTTGATTTGAATTGGGGAAGACATTTATTTCTGATCTATCAAATATGATTAGAAATTTAATGAATATCTATGATTTACATAATTTAATTTAATTTATGCGTGAATATATGTGTTATAGATCATTGTACTATGTCATAGTTACAAAATCATTCATTATATTTTATATAGTTGAGATCATGTGTCAATTGAAGCTAGACCACCCCGGAAAACTTGGAAACAATGAACGGCCGTTTCGTCCCGTTGTGGGACTCCTCAACAATGTGCATCCACGAACCCGCCTCGAGAGATTCAAACTCAGGACCTACCAGTCTCGCGCGCGAGCACTTATCTGATAGACCACTGAGCCAGCAATAACCAGTGGAGTCCAACCAAGTCTGTTTAGAGATAGTAACTCATTGAAGACATTGGTGAATGGTTGCTTAATTTTGTAAATTGGTTGAAGTTAGACATTAACACCGTTGGATGCCTACCAGCTCAGTGTTCTATCGGTCAAGTGCTCGTGCGAGAGACTGATAGGTCCTGGATTCGAATTTCGTGAGGCGAGATCGTGAATGAGCACTGCCGAGGAGTCCCACATTAGGACGAAACGGCCGTCAAGCAGTGCTTCCAGGTTTTCCATGGTTGTCTAGCTTCAATTGACTCATGATTTGAACTATGAAAATAACAAAAACTATTTTTGCACTGTTCGACAATAACAAATTGTACATAGTGTCATTTAGTTCTTTAATAACAATTCCTTATCAATTTCCTCCGACCAAATAAGACTGAACCACAGCGTACACGATATTAAGTCACTTACACTTGCGTTCACATCGCAATTTAATTGTTTCAACAATATAAACTAGATAATCTATGTAGAAATTTCAGCCTAAATAGAACTAAACTGATGTTCAAAGAAGAAATTCTTCAACCCATTTCATTTTAGATCAGAAGGGGTTTTGTGGAGATTTTAGTATTTTCATGGTTGAAATCATGAGTCAATTGAAGCTAGACCACCATGGAAAACTTAAAAGCACTGGACGGCCGTTTAGTTCCATTCTGGGACTCCTCAGCAGTGCTCATCCACGATCCTCCCTCGCGAGATTCGAACCAAAGACCTGTCAGTATCGCGCACGAGCACTCAACCTACAGACCACTGAGCTGGTAGGCATCCAACGTTGTTATATCTAACTTCAACCAATCAGCAACCGTTCACCATTTGACACTGGTATTTATCAATACCATTAATGACTATTGATCAGTAATTCTGTCTTTTATTAATTTGTCTTCAATTAGATCTACCACCAGATACTTTGCATCAGGTTTGTGTTCAAGCTTTACCATCGCCAATTAGTATACAAGAATCAGCTCAACAATCTCCACCTTGGATTAATACTGCTTGTAGTGGTGTATACACACAGAAACTAGCTGCTTTTATAGAATTTCGTACACTACCTATAGGTACGTTCATGAAAATCTTGTTATATTTGTTTAAATTTTACTCAATGGATTACTGATTCGTTTCATCATTAAGTAAAGGTGTGATAGGTGGAGTTCAACCATATCAGGAATCAGAAAAATATCAGATATTGTATGGAATACTTTTTCGAGTGAATCACAAGTTGGTAGAAGTCGAATATGTAAATCACATGATCTCGATCCATTATTCTGAATATAACGAACTCATTTTGAGACCTCAAGAAATTTGTTCGATCACTGGTAGGCAAAATACAAGGCTATTCATCACACTAGGACATAACAGTTTTCCAGTTCTTACTTACTTACTTACTTACGCCTGTTACTCCCAATGGAGCATAGGCCGCCAACCAGCTTTCTCCAATCCACTCTGTCCTGGGCCTTCTTTTCTAGTTCTATCCAGTTTTTGTTCATTCTTCTCATGTCTGTCTCTATTTCTTGGCGTAATGTGTTCTTGGGTCTTCCTCTTCTCCTTTGACCTTCAGGATTCCATGTGAGGGCTTGTCTTGTGACGTAGTTGGGTGATTTCATCAATATGTGTCCTAGACAACTGTTAATAAACACTTGTATCTTCTGGATAATGACTTTCGTAGTTCTCCACGTCTCCGCCCCATACAGTAGAACTGTCTTGACATTTTTATTGAAAACTCTGATTTTGGTGTTGGTTGACAATTGTTTTGAGTCCCAGATGTTTTTCAGTCGTAAATATGCTGCTCTTGCTTTACCGATCCTTGCCCTCACATCTGCATCAGATCCACTGTGTTCATCAATGATGCTGCCCAGATATGTAAAAGTTTCCACATCCTCCAAAGCTTCTTCGTCAAGTGTAATTTGATTGGTGCATGTTGTATTGTATCGGAGAGTCTTGCTTTTCCCTTTGTTTATATTGAGACCTACTGCTGCTGAGGCTGCTGCAGCTATACCGGTCGTTTTCTCCTGCATTTGTTGTTGCGTTTGTAATAGAAGAGCCAGATCATCTGCGAAGTCTAAATCGTCAAGCTGCATCCTGCCTGTCCACTGTATACCGTGATTTCCTCCGGATGTTGACGTCTTCATGATTCAGTCGATCATTTTAATAGGCTTTCTGGATGAGGTCAATTGGTGAAGAAATCTTTTCCGGGAAATATTTAGTCCAGTCACCTTTAGACGAATCTTATTAGTCATCAAATAATAGTACCTAGTTAATTAAGCCTGCTATCCCTCTTAAGGCATAGGCCGCTAACAAGGAATCTTCAATTATATCCTCGACTCTCAATTCTAGTTATTGCCAAATGCTATTCATCCTCTTTATATCTTTCTCTGATACCTGAAGTCAAGTACTATGTGATCTGCTTGTTTTTCTTTTACCTTGGTGATCTCAAATTAAAGATTACTTTGTGATGCAGTCTAATGTTTTCTGCTTAATATGTCGTATCCACTTTCAGCATCTTTTCCTACTTTCCTCCTAAACTGGTATTTGGTATGTTCTCTTCTACAGAGATTAACAACTGATAGTCTCTGGTCAATAGGTTTGTAAAATCTTACATAAGCAGCTGTTTACAAATTCATGTACCTTTTTGATGATAGTTATAGTAGTTCCCCACGTTTCAGTTCCATGCAGTAAAACTATTTAAACATTTATGTTGAAGATGGGTTGTTTTCTCAATAAAATAACAATTGTTTAATTATAAGTGTAACTAAAACAAGATTAACATGGGAAGATGATACAAGGAGGCATCAGCTTTATATGCACCGCACAAATCTCATCTCTTAGAGAGCCACACCTCCAGCCTTTGACCTAAAGATCTGATCCACAAGGCAGTGGAGCACCGTGAGGAAATGCAGTCCCATGGTAGCTGGTGACTAACAGTTGGTTCATACGCCATTTGTTCACTCAGGATCCTAGAGCCCATGTGCACCATTGATTTGGAATGAGGGTTTTCCAACTCCCCTAGGTGGACTTTCCGTGTCCACCAAGCGCTGGATATTCGCTTTCGTTCTCTCAATTTCGTAAACAACACCTGTGATGCGAGAAGGCAGTGAGTAGGACTTCCCTGTCAGAGGCTATATACACGTCGCCATGTGAGAGCATTTGGAGAGGGAGAGCGAACTTTCCCCACTCTCGGCCGCACCACGGCATTTAGGGGCCTTACTTACTTACGCCTATTACCCTTCGTGGAGGAGTATAGGTCGCCCATCAGCATTCTCCATCCAACTCTGTCCTGGGCAATCTTTTCCAGTTGTTTCCAGTTGTTATTCATCCTTTTCATATCTGCTTCTATTTCCCGGTGTAATGTGTTCTTTAACCTTCCTTTATTCCGATTCCTTTCCGGATTCCAAGTTAGTGATTGTTTCGAAGGTGATATACTAAGAAAAACGAAAATTCAAGTAAACTTAATGATAAGAGTTACTTTGGAAACCAAAAAAAAGAAAATGGAATATGCGAATAAATATTATCAAAATTGATTACTTCCTTCTTACAGATTAAACAAAGTTTTATCGTTATATTATATGTATATATGAAAGGTTTTCATAAATAAACACACACATACGTACAAACCCATCAACGAAAAGACTTTACAATGCCTTCATACATGATGTCGTTCATCCCATCAAGATCATCCATCAAGTTGGTCAAGTATTTTTTTTTCCTGTTCTTTTTAATAAGATGAACTGCAGTCTGTCATAAAACTGATTTTTACCATCTTCTTTGTTATGACTGACAGATGTATAGTACTAGATATCATCCATTGTAATTTCTTCCTTCTTTGTTTTGAAGAGTGGTTTTGAAATTCTGGAACCATTAGTTTTCCACCTAATAAGTGCTTTTTGTGTATTTTTGGAGCGCATCAATACAAATCCTTGTGTCTCTGTGTGTAACATTTCTTCTTTACGCTTAGAGTACAATAATAGTTCTCTGAAGGCTAATATTTTCCATCAAGAATATGTACAACGAGTTTTACTCATTTCGAGAACATACACTTTGTATCTTCTCATTTCTGTGGATATTTAAATGATCCCATGGTGTCCCACATGTCCAGACAATCAATGTACATATACCTATGGTAGCTTTGATTATCAGAAGAGACACAAATATCAAGGCTTCATAAAAAGTTGGACATGAGTCTTAATAACTCTTCTATAATAAAGATCCTTCAACTCCCAGAGCCGAATATAAATGGTTTAAATGATTTTTCTGGTTAGAATAATACTTTAATGCAGTAGATTACTGAGTAGCAACCAATATCATGTTGTCTTTTTATAACGTTAATTGAATTCTGCCTATAATTATAATCTACTTGAAGTGTTACTGAACTCATAAACCAATCTAAGATGTGCTACCAATGAAAACCTGGAAGCAATGGATAGCCACTTCGTTCCATCGTGGAATTTCTCATCAGTGCCTATCCAGGATCTCATACGCAGAACTCAAAACCTGGGCTTTCGTTTGCTCACGCAAACGCTTAAACTTTAGATCAGTAAGTCGGCATGCAACGGTATCAGTGTCTAACTTGAATCAATCCATGATCTTGAGGACGAATTCCATACTTGAACGAAATGACGTCTAGTACTTCCAAGTTTCAATTGTGGTCTAATTTAAATCGGTTTATGATTTCAATGAAATTCGTCAATGTTCATAACCCCCTACTGAAAATACTTGAATTATATTTTACTATCTTGTGACAACTTTATCATTTGTTTTCTTCTTCAATATGAAGAATGCTATAAATGTGATCAAACTAAACAGATTGATTTGAAAATATTTTTTCTTTTAAATAATATACTCAGGTCTACCAGATCCTCCAAGTCATGTACAAATTGAGGCTGGTCCTCAAGATGGCATGCTACTTATCACATGGCTTCCAGTTCCACAAGATAAAAATGCTGTAGAAGCTGTTACAGCTGCCGGTGCTAGTAGTACTTTACCAGTACAAGGTTATACTGTTTGTTTAAATGGTCAAGCAATTATGGAATTGAAGGGAGCTTCAAGTAAATTTTTTTTAAAATTGGAATTAATGTTATAAGATTCATTGTTAATGAAAGTTATCTGTCCCCCTTAGAAATACGAAAAGAGAATGACTAAAGTGAACTGTCATAAAACCAGGTTACTTGTATTCATTTAGTTTCTGGGGTAAAATTATACACTAAGTAGTTATCTTTAGTGATTTTTTCATCACAGACTGAATGATATTAATTAGACAATTAGGAATACTCATTTAGCTTAGGACACCTTAATATTGTACAACGGTTTGTTAATCATAAATAATGGAATCCAATATACTACTTATTTGTTACTCTCAGAACTCGTACTCTACTAGTCACATATAGATTAGTATCAAATTGAGGAGAATTCAGTGAACAATCGATCGAGGAATGATAAACAAAGAAACTATCAATGATTACAAACATTATAAACGATTGTATAATCGAAGTTTGAATAGTATACACAGTGATTTAGTAATGTGGTATGTGCTACTTATATTGTCATAAGTAGTATATAACGATAATTCGGAATAGAATGTCTGTCAGCAGAAGCTCAAGAAGATTAAAGAGGAAAAAAACAAAGATACAAAGCATTTGGTATAGAAATAGAGGAACATTGAAGTATGAGACGATTGACTGATATTTTTTTTTTAAAAAGGAACAGTCAAGTTTGAGACAATTTATGGATATTTTCCAAATGAACTATTTACTGTATGGTATATAGATTGGTTGAAGTTAAAAATTAACACCGTTGGATACAGGCTCAGTAATCTAAAAATTAAGAGTTCATGAATGAAATCAAAAGTTCAGGGTTCGAATATTGTGAGAGAGATTGTTGATGCTCACTGTTGAGGAATTCCACAATGGGACGAAACGATCGTTCAATACTTGTAAGTTTTCCATGATGTTCTAGCTTCAATTGACTAATGATTTTTAACAATAAAAACTATTTTATAAACAATTTTCAATTCTTCACTTCTTTCTCTCTTTTGTTTTAATGATTATTTTACTTTAGGAGATCATGCTATATTGAAATTATCAACAATTAAAGATCATATACAAAAATTATTACATAATTCAATTCAATCACCAACAGATATGTATGATCATAATACTAGTCATTTATCAAATTCAAACCATTCAAATAAATCTACAACTAAATATCATTCAATGATTGAATTATATATTACTGTACATTCAACTATTCCAAATGAATTATTATCTAAACAAGAAATTAATATATCAAAAGAATGTAAATTAATAAAAGGTTCTGAAGGTCCTGCATCAAAACCAATCCATTTAACAGCTAGTTTATTAATTTTAGCTGCTGGTTCCTTGGAAACAGCTTATAAAATATTTGGTTTAAATCTTGCAACTAAACTTGGTATAGTAAGTTTACTTGTTTGTTTTGTTTTGTTTTGTTTTTCTTTTATCTCTCATCATAATTCATTAGCATAACAAGATGAACACTGGATTCAGAGTAGTAGTTAATTTAATGATGGTAAAGACGAGGTATCCATCTATCTATTAAGGGACGAGTATACTGTGTAACAGTTCGCTCTGTTCTACTTTACGGCTACGAAACATGGTCATTAAGAGTAGAAGATACTCGTAAGTTACTAGTATTTAACCACAAATGTTTTAGAAATATTGCTCACATCTGCTGGGATCACCGGGTAAGTAATAGTGAGGTTAGACACAAGGTATTAGGGAATGATTGTAAATCAGTCGATGAGGTGATGAATCTTCATCGACTGAGATGGTTGGGCCACATGTTACGTATGCGTGAACACCAATTATTAAAACGCGTCACGCTGACTAGTGTAAGAGATGGTTGGAAGAGAGTTATGGGCAGCCAAATCAAAACTTGGCATCAGAACATGAAGTGACTAAACTTCTAGTCTGAGCCATGTTGGTAGATCAAAATTACTTGATTGGGGTCAGCGTGACTATCGTAACCAATGGTTGGAGACTGTGGGTGACATGGTAATTCATAGAGAGGATACTGTGCTAAAACTATAAAAGCTGTTAACGATTTGATCAATTGAATTGTATCTGAACTACTCTACAAGCTTTGAATGTGATGCTAGAAGTTGTAGATTGACATTTTGATAGAGCCGTTTATTTCCTTTTCACATTTCAGACTCTCATAGAAAGTATAAAGTAAAATGAAACACAGATCTGGGAGTTTCTACCATTTACCACTAATTATTTAATCTTAATGAAAGTACACAATGATATCGCGTTAACTATGAATGTGATAAAAACGTAATTTAACACAAGAAAATAAAACAAAACTAATGACTAGATAACATAACGGTAGTTCCATACTTACTTACTTACGCTTTTTACCCCTCGTGAAATCGTTTAGGCCGCCCACCAGCATTTTTCATCTAATTCCGCCCTGGCCAATTCTTTTCCAGTTGTTTCTAGTCGCTAGTCATTCTTTTAATGTCTTCTTCCGATTCCCAATACAGTTTGTTCTTTGGTTTTGATCTTAATCTTTTCCATACACTATTCCAAGTTAGTACTTGCCTCGTTATGCAGTCTGATGATTTCCGTAATGTATATCCTATGAACTTTAAGCATCTTTTTTATTTCTCTCTTCACCAATAAAATCATAGATTCAGTAAAATTCACTTAGTATTGTTTGTTTGAATCTTCCCATTGGTATTTAGGACTGCAACTTGTCAGTCTCTAATTGGAATATATGCATAGTGAGCATATTGCTTCGATATTGCCTTAATTCACAAGCATTATAAGCAAAGATGGATAGTGGCTAGTAGTGGAATCTAAATAGAACAAAATGTGAGTCCTGGATTCCACTGCTTGTCACTATCCATCTTTGCTTACATACATTCAGTAGTTTATTTGTAAATTCTTTATCAATTTTATTGAACTTCTTTGTTCCTTCATTTTCATAACAAGTACTCTCTGTTCCCGTTCCCTTCGGCTTGTTCTTCCTAACCTTCTACTGCTAGGCATTTCATTTCTGATTGATGTTATATACTACTTATGTCGACATAAATAGCATAAACCACAATATTTCTGAACTGCTCAGTTTGATTTAGATAATGGGGAAAAATACTTAACTAACACCTACACCCACACTAATAAAAAATCAATGTTTATACACAGTTGGATGCCGGCTCAGTGGTCTTTCGGTTAAATGCTCTGGCGCAAGACTGGTAGGTCCTGGGTTCGAATCTCGCGAGTGCGGGATCTTGGATGCGAACTGCTGAGGAATCCCATGATAGGACGAAACGGCCATTCAGTGCTTCCAGGCTATCCATGGTGTTCTGGTTTCAATTGACTCACACTTTCAACTATGGAAATACTAAATCTCCACAAAACCCCTTCTGATATATGAAATAATAAACTAAAATTTTCTTTGTTTATGTTCTGAATTGATTTTTGTAAAATTATCTTTTACTCTTTGTATTTCAACCAATGTAAATACCTACTTTTAATAAGAAAACAATTAGATATAGAATACTTCCCATAAACATTTAATAACAAATCAGTGTTACAATTAATTTATAGTTTCTATGGGTAATATACAATGTATTTCATTTACTTGATATTGTTTGTTTGATACTTCCCATCGATGTATATCACTGCAATTGATCAGTCTCTTATTGGCTTATGTGCATACTATGCGTATTACCTCGATATTGCCTGAAGTCACAAGCATTGTGAGCTAAGATGCATACTGGCTAGCAGTGGAATCCAGTTTGATGTGCGTTTCATCCTATTTGGGACTCGTCGGCTGCAACTTGCACAAGCAAGTGGCTATCAGGGCTCAGTAGCTGAATAGATAACGCGATGAATTTTGAAGCGAAAGGTATTGGGTTCGAGTTCCAGAGTGAACATCAACTCTGAGATGCAGGTACATCCAACTGATGAGTTTGACATAGGACAAAACTTGCTTCCTGGATTCCACTGCTAGCCACTAACCATCTCTGCTTACCATCCTTGTGAAATAAAGCTATATCGAGGCAATATGCACATATGCCAATTAGAGACTGACCAGTTGCAGTCCAAAAACATCAATGGGGAAGATTCAAAAACAAACAATACTAAGTTAATTTAAATAAATTTTCATTTTCAAATTCAATAATAATTGGACAAAATTAAATAATAGTAGTTCAATGTCCAATTTTACAATCCAAGTTGTTCATAGTACTAATAATCAATAGTATTGTTATTATTATTATTCTTACTATTAACAACGGTACTTCAGAAGCAATAATAATAGTCTTAATCATAAATGCTTACATATATACATAATTACTTACTTATTTGTTTACTTACTTACTTACTTAGATACCTACTGACTGACTTACTTACTTACTTACTTACTTACTTACTTACTTACTTACTTACTTACTTACTTACTTACTTACGCCTGTTACTCGCAATGGAGTATATTCCGCTGACCAACATTCTTCAATCCAATCTCTACCCTGTGTCTAACACTTACTTACATACACTTTAAATTAAATCATTTGCATAAAAATTAAAAAAAAAAAATTTATTTACTTCCTAGAAATTTTAACTAATCTAATGGAGTTTGATTGACAGGAATCGTTTATTGTTATGTGTGTTTCTTTTTTTTCTCCACTAATTCTCTCTTCCATTAACTACTATGCATTTTCTTTACTTTACATTTCTATCCCTCTCACTCTCACTCTCTTTCTCTCTCTCTCTCTCTCTCTGTCTGCTAATTTTTTTACTACGACTAATTATTTCATAAATGGTTCAATGTTTAATTAAATGTTTTATACTCTTTTAAATCATAGCCACTATTTGTTTGGTTCCGAAAATTGATTATTATGAAAGCATTCTCCAACTCATTCTGTCTTGGGTCTTCCTTTCTAGTTCTATCCAGTTTTTTGTTCATTCTTCTCATGTCTATCTCCATTTCTCCGCGTAGTATGTTTTTTGATCTTCCTCTTTTTCTTCGGTCTTCAGAATTTTATGTGATGGCTTGCCCTGTGACGTAGTTAGGTGCTTTCCTCAATGTGTGTCCTATCCACTTACAGTGTTTCTTCCTGATTTCTCCCTCCACTGAAATCTGATTTGTTCTCTCCCACAGTAGAATGTTGCTGATAGTGTTTGGCCAACGGATCTGAAGTATTTCGCGTAGATAACTGTTAATAAACACCTGTATATTCTGGATGATGGACTTTGTAGTTCTCCATGTTTCCGCCCCATACAGTATAACTGTCTTGATATTTGTACTGAAAATTCTAACTTTGGTGTTGGTTGACAATGGTTCTGAGTTTCATATATTCTTCAATTGTGAATATACTGCCATTGCTTTGTCTATTCGTACCTTAACATTTCTATCAGATCCCCCGTTTTCATCAATGATGCTCCCCAGATATGTAAAGGTTTCCACATCCTCCAAAGCTTCTCCATCAAGTGTGATACGGTTAATGCGTGTTGTGCTGTATCTGAAAATCTTGCTTTTCCCTTGGTGTATGTCGAGACCTATTGCTGCTGAGGCTGATGCTACACTGATAATTTTCTGTTGCATTTGTTGTTGCATGTGTGATACGAGAGCCAGATCATCTGCGAAGTCCAAATCTTCCAGCTGCATCCTAGCTGTCAATTGTATCCCATGCTTCCCTTCAGATGTTGACATCTTCATAATCTAGTTGATCACCAGGAGAAAGAGAAAGGGTGACAGTAAGCAATCTTGCCTGACACCTGTCCTTACTTTGAACGAGTCAAAGTAAATTGTAAACTTATTTTACCAATGTCTCGATATTACCACTTTACGGTAGCAAATTTATCAAACATCTAGAAATTCATAAGATAATATAAATTACTATTTAAGGATGTTATTTTCTGGCAAATAGAAGTCTTTTATAAAAAATATACTTTTATCAGAAGGGGTTTTGTGGAGATTTCAGTAATTTATAGAGTTGAGATCATGAGTCAATTGAAGCTAGACCACCATGGAAAACCTGGAAACACTGTTTTACAGTTGTTTCGTTCTATTGTGATACTCCTCAGTAGTGCACATCCATGATCTGACCTCGCGAGATTCAAACCCAGGACCTATGATATTTGTTCCTTAATACACATCATGGACCCGCCATATTCTCTTCATTATCATCATACAAAAACTATGATAAGAATGGTGAAGTTCAATTCATTGATCGACAGTAATTTAAACAATCAACAATACAATACAATACAAAATACAAATTATTGGGATATTTGAATCTACTCAAGATCATAACTATTCTAGTTTCTTCTCATCTATTCATCATCATGAAAGAAATTGAAGTAAACAGGAGTTAGCCTCTTCTCATTTCTCATGTTTAGATAGTAGATGAAAATGATTCAATTTGACCTGAATCAAACAACTCATTTTCGTCATCATCATCATCATTAGGTCAAGTAGACTTCAGTTTGTTAGTGGTTTATCTAGGTAAACTTGAATGAAATATTTGTTCTAATAAAACAGTTATTTGGGTTGTTTGCGGTGATTTTAAGTAATTTTTATATATATAGTTAAAATCATAAATCAATTGAAGCTAGACCACCATGGAAAACCTGGACGCACTGGACAGCCGTTTTGTCCTATTGTGGGACTCCTCAGCAATGCGCATATAACATCCCACCCCGCGACATTCGAACAAAGGACCAACCAGTCTAGCGCTAGAGCACTCAACCTCTAGACCCCTGACCTCGCCTGCATCCAACGGTGTTAATGTCTAACTTCAACCAATCCACGAAATCATGCGACCAATTTCCATTATACCTGTCTCTACCTGACATGGATTAGCTCCACTGGTCACGACTTCTTACTAGAACTTCAGGAATTACATCATGGAACCAGTCACTATTGAGCATATGATCATTATCAGAAGATGATTTCGTTTAGTTGAATTCACATATAAATTCTGTGATTTCATTAGTGATTCCCATGTATCTTTTAGTATAATTAAAATTAATTTATCACTATTAACATATATGCATATTCAAAAGGGGATTTGTGAAGATTCCAGTTTTTTTCAAAGTTGAAATCATGAGTCAATTGAAGCTAGACTACCATGGAAAACGTGGAAGCAGTGGACGGCCTTTCCAGGTTTTCGATGGTGGTCTAGCTTCAATTGACTAATGATTTCAACTTTGAAAAATACTGAAATCTCCACAAATCCCCTTCTGATTATAATCATACGTTCACTAGTGACTGACTTCAACATACACGTCCTGGAGTTCTAGTGGGAAGCAGTGACCAGTGGAGTTGAACCACATCTGTTGGGAGATAGTAACCCACTGTAGAAAATTGGTGAATGGTTGCTCAACTTCATGGATCAGTTAAAGTTAGACATTAACACCATTAGATGGCAGCTCAGTGGTCTATCAGTTAAGGGCTTCGGCTCGAGACTAGTAGGTCCTAGGTTCGAATCTCGCGAGAGCGGGTTCGTGGATGCGCACTGTTGAGGAGTCCCATAATAGGACGAAACGGCCGTCCAGTACTTTCAGATTTTCGATGGTGGTCTAGATTCAATTGACTCATGATTTCAACTTTGATATATGCATATACCATCTTCTTTGATAAGAACTATTACTGAAAAATCGATTGATTATTATTCTTTTTATTTTTTAAGTTCATCTCAATTTTTTTGTTTTTGTTTTTTGTTTTTTTTTTTTGTAATTTTTTGTATTTTTTATTTTTCTTGTTTTTTTTTGTTTTTCTTTCGCCTCACAATTATTTAATTTATTCTTCTTATTCATTGATATCATGTTTGTTTATTTGTTTACTTGTTTAGATTTTTCTTTGTAAATTCTTTTTTTTGTTGTTGTTGTTTTTCTCCCTTTTTATTTCTTTTAAACATTCAAAACCCTCTAATTGTATATCTAATTTGTTTCATTTTGATTACAATCAAATTAAATATAAGTTAGTTTACCATTAAAAATCTGAAAGCACTAGATGGCAGTTTCGTCTTTGTATGAGATTTCATCTGTGTAGAGTGGAGACAATTATTCACTACAGATGACAGATGAAGGGTTGTGCACGTTCATGGATGCCCTGGTACGGCCGAGAGTGGGGAGAGTCACCTCTCCCTCTCGAAATATTCTCATGTGGCCAGCGAATATATAGCCTCTGCCAGGGAAGTCCTACTCACTGCCTTCTTGTGGCATTACTGTTGTTTACGAAATTGAGAGAACGAAAAGTGAATATTCGGCTCTTTAATCGGGTTGGTGGTGGATACGAAATGTTCACCTAGGGGAGTTGGAAAATCCTGATTCCAAACCAGTGATGCAGATGGGCTCCAGTATCCTGAGGGAACAAATGGCGTACGAATCAACCGTTGATCACCGGCTACCATGGGACTGCATCTCCTTACGATGCTCCACTGCCTTGTGGATTAGACATTCAGGTCAAAGGCTCTGGGTGTAGCCCCCTAAGAAAACCACCTGCTTCAGTCTGGGCACCCTGGCAGTATCACAGCCCTCACACAAATCGAATGAGATTTGTGAGGCGCATATTTATCTGGTGCTTTCTTGTACCAATATTTATGTGTTTAAATAAATAAATAAAACAAAAGACATTGTTACCGTTGAATGCTGACTCAGTGGTCTAAAGGTGAAGCGTTCATATGTAAGACCAAAGGTTCTTGTTCCGAATTCTTATGGTACGGGATCACAGATGCTCACTGTTAAAGAGCATCATACTAGGAAGGAACGGCCGTCTGATCCATCCAGGCTTTGGATGGTGGTCTAGTTTGGATCGCAACAGGATCAGTGATCATCAGTGTTAACTTGTGATATCATATATTCTCTTTTTATTAACAAACTTCCGCTTACTACTAACTGTCTTTAGACAGTCTTTCGAAAGCTATATCTAATAGAGTTCAACTACCTCGTAGTTTGAATAGATAACAAATTATGTTAGACAATAACTGTGCAATGACACTAAGTATCTGAATTTCGAACTATGTAAACTATTGGATTCGAAATCTAATACACAATGCTGTATATTCTTCTTGCTGTAAATCCATCCCATTTGGAAGTAGTAATAGTGGATTGTTGAAGATCTCAACAACTATTCAGTGTTACCAGTTTCGAATAGTTCTTCTATTGATATCAGTCTGTGATAAGAACTAAGATTTCTGTATTCTTACTCCATATTTCATTTATAAATTGGTTGACTTTTTTCATTTATATTATAGAATGAAAATACAGCTAAACTAGCTGGTGTATCTTTATCACTTGATGGTCTACAAGAGACAACTACACTTGAAAATAATCAAAATGTAGAAAATATAAATTCAGATGAAGATCATGGATTATTAGTTGTTTCAGCTGAGAATGTTGCACGTAAACCTAGTCCAACAGCTGATGCTTTAGGTTCAGCTGAAGTAAGTCCTAATCATACAGACTTTTTTTTAAATATACTTCCTTCTTTTTCCAAAACTGTTGAATTATCTAGTAGTATGGAGGAGGATTAAAACAGTAAATACAATAGAGCTGAATTTAATTTGATTAGTTTACTTATGAACGATTCAAAGTTATGTTCTTTTTCCTAGTTCATCAAAGAAATTAGTTTTAACTGCTATTGTCATAATGGTTTAAATATTTTTTTTTCTAGTTAGCGTTTTTTTTAGCGAGTTGGTTTTCAAAGAGACGGGGTCGCTAACCCCATGCCCAACCCTCCTCCTTTATCTGGGCTTGGGACCGGCAGTAACCCCCGGAGGAGGTACAGGCGGACATCTGGAACTCAAAACAATTGTTAACCAACACCAAAGTTAGAATTTTCAGTACAAATATCAAGACAGTTATACTGTATGGGGCGGAAACATGGAGAACTACAAAGTCCATCATCCAGAATATACAGGTGTTTATTAACAGTTATCTACGCGAAATACTTCAGATCCGTTGGCCAAACACTATCAGCAACATTCTACTGTGGGAGAGAACAAATCAGATTTCAGTGGAGGGAGAAATCAGGAAGAAACACTGTAAGTGGATAGGACACACATTGAGGAAAGCACCTAACTACGTCACAGGGCAAGCCATCACATAAAATTCTGAAGACCGAAGAAAAAGAGGAAGATCAAAAAACATACTACGCGGAGAAATGGAGATAGACATGAGAAGAATGAACAAAAAACTGGATAGAACTAGAAAGGAAGGCCCAAGACAGATTGAGTTGAAGAATGCTGGTCGGCGACCTATGCTCAATTGGGAGTAACAGGCGTAAGTAAAGGAAGTAAGGCTATTGTCAAGCCAGAATAGAAGGATTATGACTGGCAGCAGAATTTAGATCACGAGTTTCATCTAAAGTAAGACTTGTCAGATGCATACACATTCATTCCAGTGTTCTAGTTCACACAGAGTCTTGAATTCAATTCATTTTACTTCAAGATGAATGCGAAGAGCAGAAGACTGAATAACTGTTCCTTTGAAAAATTTCTAAATAGAACGTTGCATGTGAAAAAAAATGATCTTTATCACGTTATATCTAGTTGACACTGAATTGCCTATTTATCTTAACGTAACTCATAAATTTAACTACATGACTCCACTCAACTTACTCTATGCTTTGATAGTTTACTCTTTACATACATGAACATTAACTACGCATTCATCAAAATTGTTGCTACGGTGTAATTTTGTTGTATCATACTATTTATTTTTACGGACGAATTATCCTATCTTCTGGTAAGTGTTTATTTGAGGACATTGTATCAAGAATTTAGATTTTCAGGCTACAATCATATCAGACTATTGATCATATATCTCTCACAGTTCATACAAATATAATCAGAAGGGGTTTTGTGAAGATTTCAGTATTTTCATACTTGAAATCATTAGTCAATTTAAGCTAGACCACCATCGAAAACCTGGCAGCATTGAACGGCGGCTTCGTACTATTGTGGGACTCCTCAGCAGTACGAATCCATGATCCCACCTTGCAAGATTCGAACACAGAACCTATCACTCTCAACCAATCCACGACATTGAGAAACCGTTCACCAATTCCTTTCAGTGAGTTGTTATCTCACAACAAACCTGGTTGAACTCCATTAGTCACTGCTTCTCACTGGAACTCCAGGACATATATCTTAAATTTAGTAACTAGTGAGCATATGATTATAATCGTAAGGGGTTTTGTGGAGATTTCAGTATTTTCATAATTGAAATCAGTGCTTCCAGGTTTTCGATGGTGGTCTAGCTTCAATTGACTCATACAAATATATTTTACATGAGATTAATGAAAATTTATATGAATGATTACATAATCAGGAAATGTAATCCATATAAACTTAACATAAAGAGATCAAATCAGTTGATGTACCTGCATCTCAGAGTTGATGTTCACTCTGGGACTCGAACCCAGTACCTTCCGTTTCAAATACCATATAGGACGAAACGCGCGTCCTGAATTCCACTGCTATCCACTATCCATCTATGCTTATAATGCTTGTGAAATAAAGCTATATCGAGGCAATACGCACATTATGTCCATACGTCAATTAGAGACTGACCAGTTGCAGTCTAAAACATCAATGGGAAGATTCAAACAAACAATACTAAATGAAGTTAACTGACTTAGATACAATAATTTCATGTAAGTTAACACGTAATTATGTAACCACCAGTTTTTGATTATTATTACTATCGCTATTATCCCTTATTATTGTTATTATTATCTGACTAATTTCGCACCATCGATAAGACTATAATTTATGAACGAATCAATCAGATCTAAGGTAGAAAATTTTAGATTTAGGGCGCCAAATTTATTCATTCATTTAATCAAATAAAACTTTGACATTATAGCTGATATTAAAACAATAAAATTAATTATTAGAAAGGAGTTTTGTGGATGTTACAGTAATTTTATAGTTGAATTCATTAGTCAATTGAAGGTAGATAACCATGGAAAAAGGGTAATAATATTCATTAACTAGTTGAATAAATAATATTTTTCTGATATTATTCTACATATGCAGACTAGTGGCTGGTTTCAACAGGTATTTCCTAGAGTTCTACTGAGAAGCAGTAATCAGTGGAGTTCAATCACGTCTGTTGGGAGATAACAACTCACTCAAGACAAATGGTGGACGGTTGCTTAAACTTCGTGGATTGGTTGAAGTTAGACATTAACACCGTTGGATACCGGCCAGCTCAGTGGTCTAGGGGTTAAGCACTCGCGCGAGAGACTGATAGGTCCTAAGTTCGGATCTCGTGAGGTGGGATCGTGGATGAGCACTGCTGAGGAGTCCCGTAATAAGAAAAAACGGCCGTCCAGTGTTTCCAGGTTTTCCATGTTGTTTTAGCTTCAGTTGACTTATGATTTCAACTATATAAAATGAAATAAATTCCTAACCCTAACATTCCACTTTAAATCATAAATTTATAACCTTAATTTATTCATAATAAGTAGGTGAACATTCTCAAGTCACATTTTGACCTTATCACTTATTCGATTATTAACCGTGAGTGATTTTTTTGATATAATCGTATGTATGTTAATTGCTTGCCCTATTTATTATGCGTCTGTAACATATTTTTGTCCGAATATAATTATTGGTTCACATATTATCAAATGGAGTTGGCTTACTTGACTTCGGGCACTCTGTGTCATTTTGTTTCATTTCATTTCACTAATTGTCTATCTGGATCAATTATTGTATAGAATATACTTACTTACTTACTTACGCTTGTTACCCCCAATGGAGCATAGGCCACCGACCAGCATCCTTCAACCCACTCTGTCCTAGGCCTTCCTTTCTAGTTCTATCCAGTTTTTGTTCATTCTTCTCATGTTTATCACCACTTACCAGAGTAATGTGTTCTTTGGTCTTCCTTTTCTCCTTTGGCCTTCAGGATTTCAAGCTAGGGCTTGCCTTGTGACGCAGTCCTATTTGCGACTCGTTAGCTGGATATACCTGCATCTCAGAGTTGATGTTCACTCTTGGACTCGAACTCACTACTTTCAGCTTCAAATGCCATCGCATTATCTTCAAAAGTTATTTTGTGTTCGCTCGACGAGGCTTCCAATTCTGTGGTGGTCGATATTCGATATTATCCTTAAACTTCGTATATTGTTCGTCCCGGTAATTGTTACTTGATAACGCCCCAACGGTGTATAGATCAGAAAGCGAATACGAAGGGTTGATTGCGTTTATTATTGGACCACACACAGATATCAAAAATTAAAAGCACGTTAAGCAAGCATGAAAGAGTAGTGCCGTAAAGGAGACGAGTGAGCGTGAGAGTAGAATGAGTGAGCGAGATCAATTGATCGAGTCAGCGAGTAAGCGAGTACAATGAACATGTACATATACATACAAATGGAAAAGCATGAATCATCGAATCAATTAGGTGATTAATAGTAAGGCTAGCAGAATGAATACATGCGTATGTAGTAAGCAATGCTCAAGCGTACTAACTAAAAGTACAATCGTATAGAGCTTAGCCACATTAGATGTAAACAAACTCAATTGTATGTGAGCTGCTATATATTATGTACATTATTTGCACATCTTCCATCAGTTATCTCTTACAGACTTCATCATTCCTTCATTCTTGTTGTTATTACAATAATTCTCTATTTAAAGCCTTCTTCTTTTCAATTAGATCTACTTAATCTTCTATTGTTAGGTGTTCAACTACTAATTTGTGTTTCATACTACTTATATCTGTCAACATAAGTAGTATGCACCACAAATATATTACATAAAAACACAAGGAAACTAATTAATTAGTTCATTCCATTCACTGTATCGTTTAAAACTATATATATAAATGCTCTCACATGGCCACGCGTATATAGCCTTTGTCAGGAATGTCCTACTCACTGCCTTCTTGTGGCATTACTGTTGCTTACGAAATTGAGAGAACGAAAAGCGAATATTCGGCTCTTTAATCGGGTTGGTGGTGGACACGAAAAGTCCACCTAGGGGAGTTGGAAAACCCTGATTCCAAACCAGTGATGCAGATGGGCTCTAGTATCCTAAGGGAACTAATGGCGTATGAATCAAGTGTTGGTAACACGCTACCATGGGACTGCATTTCCTTACTAAGCTCTACTGCCTTGTGGATCAAATCCTTAGGTCAAAGACTCCGGGTGTAGCCTCCAAAGAAAACCACCTTCTTCTGTCTTGGCACCCTGGCAGTATCAAAAACCTTAAACAAATGAAATGAAATTTGTGCGGCACATCTATATCTGTTGCCCCTTTGTACTAATATTCATGTGTTTAAATAAAATAAAATAAAAATTGATTGAATTTTACCTTCCGTTACTGGATTGAAGCCTATCAATCAATCAATGTCAATGTTATTATTGACTTATTCTTGAATTTTTTTTTCACTATCTAGGCATTATTACTTCGTCGTAAGTTAGAAAAACAAGAATTAAAGGATAATGATAATGATGATCATGATCATGATCATGATCCCCATTTATCCCCTGATCATAATCCAATCACTGAAATAAGTAATTATAGTCATACTATAAAACCTAAAAATAATTTATATCAATCGATTTGGGATACGTCACATACACAAAAATCACCAATTAATCGATATTATCAATATCAAAAAAGTCATTACCCTCGAAATAATCAAGAGTCTAAATATAAATTACGTCAAGCTAGATCGATTTCAGATGATTATGAATGGAATTTAAGATATGGTCCATCAAAAGATGTTTATTATAGTGATGAAGCTTCATTGAATAGTTCAGCATCAAGTGAATCTTCAACAGCACCAGATAATAATCGATGGTTTCGTACATCTTCATCATATAATTTAACAGCAGATTATCCTAATCGACGATGGAAACCACGTGGTGTTATAAGAAATAATATAGATAGAGGTTATCCACATGAATATCATGAATCTTTTACAATAGCACGTTTAAATAGAAGGGAAGGAATAAGACGGAGACATTTAAATCATCTTTATGATAGTAAAATGTATCCTCTTTATAAAAGTCAACATTTTTACAACTTACCTAATCATCCACAATCTTTCAAAAGTCATACTTACAGTGGAAGAATATCACCAGAGAATAAACCAACCATTTTATTCAAACATGGTTCAAGACGATTACTTGATCAATATCCATATAATAAGCATAGAAAACATGAAATTCTTCCAATGTCTTCATCATCCAATGAAGAAAAATATCCTGATTCAATGTTAAACAATCGAAATTATTTCAATCAAATGGATCATTTCAATAAGATTCCACTACCTGAAACATGTTTAGTAAATACACGAAGTCGTAGTACAAGTCCTAAAAGGATTCATAAACTTAGTGGATTGTCTCATCCATTTAGAAATACAGAAATAGAATATAATATCGGAAATGTACCTATTCATAGGACTCCTAAACATTATCGTCCATTACCTATAGGAATTGAAAATCGACGATGGCCAATTAGAGAAAGGGTAAACAAAAAACACTTCCACATTATGAGCATGAAAAGTGTTGTCAGAAGCACAGTATTGTCGTTATTACTGTCATTGTTGTCTTGAAATTTGTGTTGTCAATTATACTTCTTAGAATGGGTTATATGACGGTTATTCTATGGTTGTATGGTTGAATGGTATCTTTTATTTCCATAGTTGTTTCTAATTGATGCTTTCATTTCAGTAACAATATATGAATTTATTGGGAGATGTGGAAACATTCACATACCCGGGAAGCATCGTTAATAAACAAGGAGGATGGGATGCTGATGTAAAGGCGAGAATTGACAAAGCAAGGGCAGCATTTCTACAATTGAAGAACATATGGAACTCAAAACAACTGTCAACTAATTTCAAAGACAGAATCCTCAATACGAACGTCAAGACAGTCCTACTGTATGGAACTGAAACGTGGAGAACTACTACGACCATCATCAGGAAGATACAAGTATTTATAAACAGTTGTCTATGCAAAATATTCAACATCCATTGGTCGGATACTATCAGCAACAGTGTTTTATGGGAGAGGACAAACCAGCTTCCAGCTGAAGAGGAAATTAGGAAAAGACGTTGGAAGTGGATCGGACATACATTAAGGAAATCACCAATGTGCATTACAAGGCAATCCCTAACTTGGAATCCGGAAGGGAAGTGGAAAAGAGGGAGGCCAAAGAACACATCACGTCGGAAAATAGAAACAGATATGAAATGGATGAATAACAACTGGAAAGGAAGGCTCAGGACAGAGTTGGATGGAGAATACTGGTGAGCAGCCGATGCTCCTCGACGGGGGCAACAGGCGTAAGTAAGTAAGTTAGTATATGAATTTATAGAAATCCAAAATGGATCCATAAAACGAAACGATCATCCAGTACTTTCAGGTTTTCAATGATGTTCTAAAATTGTACAGTTCATTATCTCAATTATAATATCTCATCTTATTATTACTATTGTATGGTGAACTGAGTCATATTGGTAGGTGTAAACTATGTGGTTGGGATCTACGAGATGATAACAACCGATGGTAAGAGACCTTGAATGACATGGCTCAAAATCGTTTGAGATGGCGAAGGTGCATCCACTCTTTATGTTCTACCAAATTCTAATCTTTTGCATTGTTCATGTCCCTATCTTTATTCTCTTTCCAAATTTATTTCACTGGATTATACTTCTTGAAACCCTAATCTTTCAAATGACTGTTTATACTCTTACTACTTCTACCACTATGGGATTTGAATCGACAACTAATGTGGTATGGCAACTCGAACTGTTGTACGCATGTACGAAGTTCTACGTTGTGACTGACTTGTACACGTGATTTTTGTTTAATAAATGTTAACATATTATTTGCATGTCTGTTAGATCTATATCAATGAAGTTATGACATTTTATTACCCAGTTTTTGCCTTATTTATCTGATTTTGTCATACCTCTTTTTTTTTAAAAAAACAGTATTATTTTGGTCATCGTAATCCTCATGAAAATCTCTCACTACCAGAAATACGTAAGTACATCATATTTAATGTTGTCAGTTTTATATGTTTATAATGCTAACATTATGTAAAATGCATATATATGAATATTATGAGTTCAAATCCCGCGGATGGGATCGTGGATGCACACTGCTGAGGAGTCTCATAATAGAACGAAACAACTGCAAAACAGTGCTTCCAGGTTTCCCATGGTGTTCTAGTTTCAATTGACTCTAGATCTCAACTATGGAAATTTCACCAGTGATGATGACCAATTTAAAAATGTGTTATTTGTGGAGTTCTGTTTGTAGATTGTAATCAGTGTAGTTTGAACATGTATTGTGTGTATCAGTTATGCATGGAAGTCAATATCAGATAGTCACACTTCACGGTCAATTGATTTGAGTAAGATATGCACACGATTGACTGTCATTGTATTGTTGTGAGTAATGAGTGTTATCCGTGGATGGTTATGATTATGATTTCCATGTTGATTTGTGTATGGTGAATGAGCACTGATAATAATTTTCATGGTGAGAGGAAACAGTTATTCAGTGGTTAGAAGTGATGGATAGTGGCTAGCAGTGGAATCCAGGAAGCAAGTTTCGTCCTATTTGGGACTCGTCAGCCGGATGTACCTGCATCTCAGAGTTGATGTTCACTCTGGGACTCGAACCCAGTACCCTCGCTTCAAACGCCATCGCGTTATCCACTCGGCCACTGAGTCCTGATAGCCACTTGCTTGTGCGATGGGGTGAAGTTTAAATTCAACTTAGTATTGTTTGGTGGCCGAGTGGATAACGCGATGGCGTTTGAAGCGAGGGTGCTGGGTTTGAGTCCCAGAGTGAACATCAACTGTGAGATGCAGGTACATCCAGCTGACGAGTCCCGAATAGGACGAAACGCGCATCCTGGATTCCAATGCTAGCCACTATCCATCTCTGCTAACCATGCTTGTGAATTAAGGTACATCAAGGCAATACGCACAGTATGCACATATGCCAATTAGAGACTGACCAGTTGCAGTCCTAACAAATCGATTGGAAGATTCAAACAAACAATACTAAGTTGAAGTTATTCAGTGGTTTGTGGTTCTTGATAATTGTCTAATTGATCAGTTCATGATGAATTCAATAAATTTCAACAGCACGAAGATATTTTCTATAAATTTGATGATGTAATGAGCAAATAATCTTGAGTTTCATATCCTGTATTTCATATATTTTACAAAACAGTCACTTCATGAATGACATAGAACTAATACTTTAGATAGGCTTTTCTTCCTTCAATCTTACAATGTTTTCTAAGCTTTAAATTGAAACCTGGAAGCATTGCATGGCCGTTCTATCCTAGAATGCAACTTCTCAACGATCCAGCACCAAAGGGATCCGAACACAGGACCATCACTCTTGCGCACAAAACGTCAAACCTCTAGACTGCTGAGTCAGCATCCAACGGTGTTAATGTCTACATTTAATTGATACATGATAACTATTCATCCCTCAGCTGAGATGGTTAGCTGTCTCACACCGTACACCGATTGAATTTCACTGATCACGGATTCTCACTAGAACTCCAGGAAATCCATCTTGTAGCTAGTCATCAGTGAACCCGTAGTTATTACCAGTATGAGTCCCATACTAGGACGAAACGGTCGTCTAGTGCTTCCAGGTTTTTAGTGATGTTTTAACTTAGACAGATTCGTGAATTCAACTATTAAAAATTACTACAATATCCACATAATCCCATTCTGATAATAATCATCATATGCTCACTAGTGACTGGCTTCATGAGGCATTTCGTCGAGCTCTAGTGAGAAGCCGTGGCCAAAGGAGTTCAACCATATCTGTTTTGGAGGGAGATACTCACTAAAAACAATGGTGGAAGGTTGCGCAATATCGTGGATTGGTTGAAGTTAGACATTAACACCATTGGACGCCGGCCAGCTCAGTGGTCTAGAGGTAAAGCGTTGGAGCACGAGAGCGAATGTTCTGAGTTTTAGTCCCACATGCATGATCGTCATGTACACTGCTGAGGGGTCTCATACTAGGACGAAACAGCATTAAAACAGTGGTTTCAGGTTTCCCATGGTGGTTTAGCTTTAATTGACTCATGAATTCAACTACCGAAAACTGTGGTTCAAATGTTCATAACACTGTTGGGACAATCAAATGTACTAATTACAGCACTAATTACATACTATCTCATTAAATTCTGATATCCATACAGTAAACAGTTAATTTGCAATATAACATTCAATGGTCTCAATCTTTACTGTTCCTTTTGCAAATATCAATGCGTCTTCTATGATTACATTGTTCATGTATTTTCGTACCGATTGCGCTTCATTCCTGTTCTTTTCTTATCGATCTTCTGCAAAATACATTCTATATCCAACCATCACCATTTACTACTTATATGGATATAAGTAGACCGAACCACAATAGTAATACAAAAATGTACGTTAATGACAAAAATAAAACAGCTGTTTTGCCCATATAATTCAATGTCCATCGATTATTTATTATTATCATTTAAGCACATAGACATTGGTACAAGGCGGTATCAAATATAGATGCGCCACACTTCTTTATTCTATTTGTGAGTACTGGAATACTACCCGGGCACTCAATCTGATGCAAATTATTTCTTTAAGGGCCCAATCCTCGAATCTTTGACCTCTAGGTCTATTACACAAGACAGTGGAGAAACGTAAGAAGATGCGTTTTCATGGTAGCCAGTGAACAACAAGAGGTTCATACAACTTTAATTCCCTCAGGGTATTGGAGCCTATGTGCACTATTGGTTTGGAATAAGGGTTTTCCAACTCCCCTAGATAGACCGTCCGTGTCCATTTATCCAGTTAAAGAACCAGATATTCGCTTTTCATCCTCTGAATTTCGTAAACAACACTCCCGCAACGAGAAAGCAGTAAATATGACTTTCCTGGTACTGGCTGTATACGTGAGGCCATGTAGGGACAAATCGAGGACCTCAGTTAAATAGTAACTAAGTTAAGACTACCTCTCTTCCTTTTGCATTTGAACAAGGACAAGCCTAACTCGTGATGACATTCGCAGTCAACAGCTCAACTCAGCGTATCTAAGACAGTCTCAACAAGCCTGTTGAAGATGAAGCTGATCAGATGTTAAATAGGTCAAATTAAAATATCTTACGCAAGGTTTTGCCAGCTTTTCTATATATTACTTATCCCTTATAAAGTGAATAATCTCTTGAATACTATAATTTTTATGCACTCTACTGGAAATTTTATGAAAAGTCATTTTCAAATCAATGTATAATGACCGATATTTATTTTCTGTTACTCAGAAATAACACGGAATAGTAGCCTATCAGATAATGAACCTCAATTTCAAGCAAATGATCAGTATCAACAACAGACACGGTATTCCTACCAGGATTTTCGTGGACCAACTAGACCTATTCGATCTCGTTTTATGGATACCAGACGACATGGTTCATATGATCCTCAGATGAATACTGCTAACTTTTCAACAACACGTCATGATCCTGACTATTCACGTCCTGTGGTACCATCAGATTCATATACACCTGGACCGAAGAGACCGTTTCACTTTAACATGCCATCACCAGCATCCGGTCCAATACCTCAACATGAATACAGACCTTCATTTAATCAAGTCAACATTAAAAGCTGTAGATCAGGCGATCAAGGAAGTGGTTTAAGACAATCAGTTGTATCACAATATTCACGACCAAGTAAATCATTTATACAAATTGAACAACAATATGGCAGAAATCAAAGAAGTAAGAATTACTATTGCCCATTTTAATTATATAAACTCAATTAATTAAAAGCGTGAGTAAATTGAAGCTAGACCACCAGGGAAAACCTAGAAGCACTGGACGCTTGTTTAGTCTTATTGTGGGACTCCTTGAAAATACTAAATCTCCACAAAAACCCCTTCTGATAAACTCTATTACACAGCAATTTATACTTGAAAATTTTGAATATCTTGTCATTCTTTTAACAAGTGAACTTCTATAATTTGATCCGGTATTATATGAATAACAAAGGCTGGAATTCATATTTCTTAATGGGAATTGGGTTATGACTTGTATAGATACTAAAATAACATTAGTAAAAACAAGATTACGTAGTAAAGAAGTGAACAATGAAGCGTATATTTTTAAAAAAGAGGGGGGGCTGAAGAAAAACAAATGGACAAAAGGTATGGAAATTAATGATCAATAAAATCTTTTATTCAAACTGATTAACCTAAACAAGAGATAAAGATGTTCCGAACTTCTTATAAATACAAAGGCTTGGAATGTTAGCTCGAATCCCTATAGCTTCTGCCATGTGTAAGAGGTGAGATCGAATCGCATAAAGAAAACTAGTAGGAATGCCATAAATCATATTAATTGATTTATCTCTATCTATCATATGACTACTATCGATCAAGTGTGATAGAATAAAGGTGTGTATTAATTTCATTCGGTATTGTTTGGTTGAATCTTTCCATTGATGTTTAGGACTGCAATTGATCAGTCTCTTATTGGTTATATGTGCATACTGTGCGTATTGCCTCGATATTACCTTAATTCACAAGTATTCTAAGCAAAGATGGATGTTGGCTAGCAGTGGAATCCAGTTACGCGCGTTTCGTCCTATTTATGACTCGTCAGCTGGATGCACCTGCATCTCAGAGTTGATGTTCACTCTAGGACTCGAACCTAGTACCGTTCGTTTCAGACGTCATCGCGTTATCCGCATTTAGCTACTGAGTTCTGATAGCCACGCGCGTCCTGAATTCCCCTGCTAAACACTATCCATCTTTGCTTATAGATCTGTATATAGTTTTGACGATACTCATTAAACTTTAATTGTAATCATAAATTTAACTTTACTTTCATTCATTTTGATTTCTACTTAGATATTAATGATGATTATTCAAGTCGAATAAGTCATAATGAACTAAAACCAATACAAGTTGTAGTAGCTTTATATGATTATGATCCAACTACTATGTCACCAAATATTGATGGTGCACAAGAAGAACTACCATTTCGAGAAGGACAACTTATCAAAGTAGGTTAAATTATTTTTATAGAGTTGAGATCATGAGTCAATTAAAGCTAGATCACCATGGAAAACCTGGGAGCACTGAACGGTTAACTCGTCCTATTGTGAAACTCCTTAACAGTGCGCATCCACGATCCCACCTCACGAGATTCGAACACAGGACCTACCAGTCTCGCACCAGAGCACTCAACCAATAGACCACTGAACTAGCCAGCATCCAACGGTATTAATGTCTAACTTCAACCAATCCACGAAATTGAGCAACCATTCACCATTGTCTTCAGTGAGTTACTATTTCCCAACAGACCTGGTTGAACTCCATAGGTTAATGCCATCCAGTGTATCTAGGCTTTCCATGATAGTCTATCTTCAATTAACTCATGATCTCAACTATATACCATAATATGTCAATAATAAATAATATCCACTAATGAATTCATTATTTCTATTCAATTCATTTCTATAATATTTATTTAGATTCTTACTGAATGTGATGAAGATGGATTTTATCTTGGTGAATGTAATGGTCTACGTGGATTGGTTCCATCTAATATGGTTTCTGAATTACAATCCCATTCATTAAGATCACAGAAAATCAATCATTCTATAGATTCACATTCAAATTTAATAAATAATAATTATTTATCATCAGATCAACTTAATATAATTCGTTCAACAGATATGAATTCACCAATTCAAAATTATTATTATACAACTAGAAAATATGATCCATTCATTTCACAAAGTAATACTACTCCACGAAATGTAAGTAAAAGTATATTTCATAGAGTTGATGTTCATTTTAGGCTTCGAACCCAGTAACGTTCACTTTAAACGCCATCGCATTGTCCACTTAGTTATTGATTCCTGATAATCACTTGCTTGTGCAATGGGGTAAAGTTTAAATTCGCTTGATATTGTTTATTTGAATCTTCCAATTAATGTTTAGGTCTGCAATTGATCAGTCTCTTATTGGTCATATGTGCATACTGTGCGGACTACCTTGATATTGTCTTAATTCACAAGCATTGTAAGCAAAGATGATTAGTGGCTAGCAGTGAAATCCAGGAAGCGCAGTTCACTGCTAGCTATTATCCATCTTTGCTTATGAAATGTTAGTTACTTACTTTTTTCTTACATTTACTAACAATGAGTTCATTAATATAGTTTGTTTTATATTAAACAACCATAATCTTTAAAAGACCCGTTTAGGAATATATGATTATGATTCATTAAGAGACGAGATCACAATGTATCGGAAAACGATTTTTTTAATCTCAGTATTGACATGACTAGGATAACAAGAATGCAAAGTGATTGGTTTATGATTGATGAACTGTATTTCTAAATAATAATAAGAATTTCGATTTTAATCAGAGAGGGGTTTTATGGATATAGTATAGTAATTCATGAGTCAGTTGAAGCTAGACCTCTAGTGAAAACTTGGAAGCACTGGTTGGTCGTTTCTTTCTAGTGTGGGACTCCTCTGCAGTGGGCTCCCACGAGCCCGTCCCCAGAGAACTAAACCCAAAACGTATCGGTCTCGCACGCGGACGTTTAACCTCTAAACCACTGAGCCAGGATCCAATGGTGTTATTGTCTAACTTCGACCACTCCACGAAATTGTGCCACCCTCTACCATTGTCTTCAGTGAGTTATTATCTCGCAACACACCGGGTTTGAATTCTATAATTCATAAATACATTTTGATTACATACAAAATGATCCTTCTCCGAAAAAATATAGCTACTTGAATTTCAGAATGTTTTTCCAGTCTTCTTGTTAGCACGATTTATCCGTGTACGATTTCTCAATACTCACTAAGAGGATTGATGAACTTTCTTTGATATTTACATCATAATACTCTTAGATCAAAGGTCCTGGGTTCGAGTTACTTTGGTTCGAGATCGTGGATATGCACTGCTGAGAATTCCTATACTAAGACGGAAAGACTTTAAAACAATGATTACAGGTTTTTAATAGTGTTCTAGCTTACATCAACTCATGGATCGAATGATTAAAATAACTATAATCCTCACAAACCTCCATTCTAATAATATTCTTCAGTTATTTATACATACTGTTTAAATGGTTTGAATTATTTTTTCTGGTAAGCGTTTTTTAGCGAGTTGGTTTTCTACGGGATGGGGTCGCTAACCTCATATCCAACCCTCCTCCTTTATCCGGGCTTTGGACCGGAAGTCACACCCGGAGGAGCTACAGGCGGAGTTTATACATACTGTAGTTTATGAATAAACATGAATATGTAATGTTTAGAAATACTAAATTAGAATGAAATACATAGATATTGCTTATCTAATTTTAAAGGAATCCCCAATTATAATCAGTTAGAAGACGATATATATCATCAGAATATAGTTATTTATTTACTACCATTAAAGCAACTACTACTATGGACTAAATATTCATCTTGTTGTGTTAATAAGGTATGTCAACATGACGGTTACTTAATTACGCCTGTTACTCCCAATGAAGCATAGGTCGCCGACCAGCATTCTCCAACCCACTCTGTCCTGGGCCTTCCTTTCTAGTTCTATCCAATTGTTGTCCATTCTTCTCATGTCTGTCTCCATTTCTCAGCGTGATGTGTTCTTTGGTCGTCCTCTTTTCCTTCGGCCTTCAGGATTCCAAGTGAGGGATTGTCTTGTGACACAGTTAGGTGATTTCCTCAATGTGTGTCTTATGCACTTACAGTGCTTCTTCCTGATTTCTTCCTCCACTGAAATCTGGTTTGTTCTCTCCTACAGTAGAATGTTTCTGATAGTGTCTGGCCAACGGATCCAAAGTATTTTGCTTAGACAACTGTTACTAAACACCTGTATCTTCTGGATGATGGCTTTCGTATTTCTCCATGTCTCTACGTGTATGAGACACTAGAACTGTCTATGTCAACATGAACTGATACATATATGTATACCTAGCCCTACCTTGTAGTTAACTGACTGACTGATTATCATGTTGATTGGTTACTTTTTTATTCATAGTTTATTTACTACTTAAAAAGATTATGTAATTATTGTATTTTTTTTATCATTTATAGACAGATTTTATAAATGAACAGGTATATCAACAGCAACAACAACAACAACAAATGACAATCCCTGATTATTCTGATATTAAAGAATTACATAATAATGAATTAGAACAAGAAGGTTATTCACAATCACAAACGAAATATACTACTGAAATCAATCCAAATACAATTAATCAAACATCAAGTAAATTAGAAATAAATTTCCAAAATTTTTTTAATAATTTTTTTTTAAAAATTTTAGATAAATCAATGGAATCAGTTCAGCAACAGCAGCAGCAGCAGCAGCAGCAACCACAGCAACAACAACAACAACAACAACCTAATCAACAATCAAAAATTATGATTGCTATTTATGATTATGATCCTCATGTATTAAGTCCTAATGCAGATATTGATGTAAGTAAAGAAAATAATCAACCTATATTCTCATTAGTAACTAATGTTTTGATAGTGAGAATAAATGATCTTTTGTAGTTGTGCTAGCTTGGATTAGAGTAAGACAATGAATGACATTAGTTGAAATCACTGAATATATATACATAGAACTGAATTCCAAACTGGTGATTTCTCAGTGTTCTACCGATTATCTTTTGTAGTTGTGCTAGCTTGGATTAGAGTAAGACAATGGATGACATTAGTTGAAATCACTGAATATATATACATAGAACTGAATTCCAAACTGGTGATTTCTCAGTGTTCTACCGATTATCTTTTGTAGTTGTGCTAGCTTGGATTAGAGTAAGACAATGAATGACATTAGATAAACATAGAACTGAGCTCCATACTGGTGATTTGTCAGTGTTGTACCGATGATAAAACTTGAAATTATTGAATTTAATTTTGTATAAAGTGGTCACTCTACAATATTTGATGATTATTAAACTAAAATAATGTTCCATATCATTCAATTATACCACAGTTGATATTGTAGTGTACCAGAATACAAGTGAGAACAATCAAATGTATTTGAATACAATATTACAGTATATTCTAGTAAAATTTGAGATCTATACAGTAAATACTTCATATGCAAAATGTCAACCAATCGCCTCATACTCCATTGTTCTTTCGTTTCCGCACCAATCATTCTCTGTTCTCGATCTCTTTTCTTCAAACTTCTTAACCTTCTGCCTTCAAGCGATTCACTTTCTCTTAATGAAACATACTACTTATATCTATCAACATCAGTAGCATACACCACATAATTAGCGTGTGACAGAAAAAATCCGTTAAACACTTTCAAACCACCTACTGTTTAAATATTTTAGTTTATCATTCTAGTTTAGATTTGTTGGAAATGAATCGTGTTAAATGCTAACCAAACGCACATATAGACTATTTTAATAAGCTTATATATCATGAAGGTACTAACGAGTGGTAAACTCAAACGAAAACACTTCAATTATTTGTATATCTTCCTCTTAGTCTATTTTGTAAAATTTTTAGATTCGAATACATGATTATTAGTGCATTTATCTTATTGGGGTGTTGTCTACTTAAATCCACACAAGTAGTATATAACGATTGTCAGTCAGAGAATGTAATTCAGTAGAAAATCGATAAGGATGAAACAGGATTGGGACACAATTGGTATGAAAATGCATGAACAATAATCATCAGAAACTATGAAATGATATTTGCAGAAGGAACAGTTAAGATTGAGACAATTGATTGATAGTTTGCAAATGAGCTGTTGACTGTATGGTTATAAGATTTTAGTGAGATAGTCTGTAATTTTTTATCCAAATTCATTCGATTGTCCCCACTAGTGCTCTTGTTCACTACACTACAGACACTCAACAATAAAGACATTTATATATATGATAAATATAATAATTTCAATATCTGGTTAATGGGAATTCGTTGTACTATTATCTCATCGGTACTAAGAATATCTTACTGTATCTAAAATTTATATTTTAATAGTTGAGATCATGAATCAATTGAAACTAGACCACCATAGAAAACCTGGAAGCACTGAACGGCCGTCCCGTCTTATTGTAGGACTTCTCAGCAATGTACATCCACGATTCCGCCTCGCAAGAATCGAGGTTTTCCATAGTGGTCTAGTTTCAATTGATTTATGATCTCAACTATTAAAATTACTATAGTATCCACAAAGCCCCCTCCCGATATTAAAATTTATATAATTAAATAAACCCTTAGTGGTACTATGTTTGATCCCAGTTACATTGTAGAGAACAAAAGCACCAGTGGGGACAATCGAATGTATTTAAGCACAAATTACAGACAATCTCATTAAATTCTGATACCATACAGTGAACAGTTAATTTGCAAAATAACAATCAATTGTCTCAATCCTAACTGTTCCTTCAGCAAATATCAGTCCATCTTCTCTGATTTCATTGTTCATACATTTTCGTACCGATTGGGCATCGTCTCTGTTCATTCCTTATCGTACTTCTGCCAAAATACATTCTATGTCTGACCATTACCACATACTACTGTAATGAACAGAACACTGGTTGGGGACAATCGAATGTATTTAAGCAAAAGTTACAGACTATGTCAGTAAATTCCGATAACCAAACAATGAACAGTCAATTTGCAAATTAATAACCAATTGTTTCAATCTTCACTGTTTCTTCTCTTATTCCATTGCTCATGCATTTTCCAGACGATTGCGCTTCATTTCAGTTCTTTCCTCATCGGTCTTCTGCGAAAATACATTCTATGTTTGACCCACACCATATACTACTTATATAGATATAAGTAGACCACACCACACTACTTATATGGATATAAGTAGACTACACGACAACATTATAGGTCGATTGTTATCCAAATATACATGGTATCAACCATTGTACATTTTTATCAACTTCATTCATGTTAGAGTATAATGGAATAAAATAAGTCAAATACGAAAATGAACTTTTGAATATGTATATTTTGTAAATTCATTGAAATGAAGTAAAGCAAAATTGAAAGAAAGTGATGCTCAGTGAAGAAAGCGATTGATCTAATATGATTTAACTAAGCATGACTTTAATATTTATAGTTAAACTAAAAATAAAAAACAAACATTTAATAATTAGATCAATCAATTAACATACATATGACATTAACACCGTTGGATGCCGACCAGCTCAGTGGTCGATCGGTTAAGTGCTCTGGTGCGAGACTGGTAGGTCCTAGGTTCGAATCTCACATTTTTGTCAATAACTATTATGAAACCATTATTCAATCATTGGTTATTAGATCATTTACTTTTCAAAAAACAATAATGAAATTGTATAGGGTGAATAAAACTCCTCCTGTAGCTCTTCTAGATTTACTGCCGGTCACAAGCCAGATTAAAGAAGGAGGGTTTGACATAGGGTTAGATACCCCATATCCCGTAGAAAAACTAACTCGCTAAAAGAACGCTAACCAGAAAAAATAATTTAAACCATTTAAACTTTGCCCTGGGATTTGAAGAAAGAATTATGACGTCTCATGATGAAAGCCGAGATTCTTTGGAAGTCATGAGGCCGATGCACCTTCTAATAACCAGAGCAACACACTTTATAGGTACATGGAACGTCCGAACAATATGGAAGACCGGGAAAACCAATAAAATAGCAATGGAAATGAGGAGATACAACTTGGAAGTACTCGGAATCAGCGAAATTTATTGGACACAAGCTGGACAACAAAGGCTAGGTACGGGAGAGATGCTGTTGTACTCTGGTCACGAAGTGGAAAATGCTCCACATAAACAGGGAGTTGCTCAGAGAAGCACGAAATGCACTTGTATGATGAGAATCTCATGGATCCAGGATACTCAAAGCATCATTCCAAACAAAGAATCACAAAGGATCACAATGAATGTTATCCAATGTTATACACCCACCAATGATAGTAACGACGACAATAAAGATCAGTTCTATGAGAGGCTGCTCAAGGAAGAACCTCACAATCATGATGGGATATAGGGTGAATAAAATTATAAAAAATTGTTAGGTATAAAAAAGCTGAACAGTCAAATAAAGTGTAATCAATCCATTAAATTGCACTACAGTTTTCTATTCTTTGAAGTAGATACCTGTTTCTACCTGACACCGACTAGCTCCACTAGTCACAGCTTCGCTTTAAAACTACAAGAATTCTCTCACGATGCTATTCGCTAGTGATCACATGGTTATTATCAATATAGAATTCTGAAGATTGTTAAGTTTTACATTGAGATCATGAATCCATTTATGTTAGACCACCATCGAAAACGTGGTAACACTAGACGGCCGTTCTGTCCTCAGCAATGTGCATCCACGATCTCACTAGCTGAATTCGAACCCAGGACCTTCGGTCTCGCCGTGACCAGTGAAACTAATTCATGTCAGGTAGAGACAGGTATCTTCTTCACACAATGGAAGACGATCGCACAATTTCGTGGATTGGTTGAACTTAGACAGTGATACCATTAGATGCCAGTCGGCTAAGTAGCGGGATCGTGAATGCACACTGCATCCTATACTAGGATGAAACAACCGTCCAGTGCTTCCAGGTTTTTAATTCATGATCTCAATCAAAAAGTTAACGATCTACACAACGCCAAACTGATGAAGCGTAAACACTTGATAGAGATAGAAAATTTTAGTGACATACTAAAATATGAGTATAAATTGATAGAATTGGTTATTTGTTACAGGAAAATTATCATACTAAACAGTATTCGAAACTATTTGTTTCTCATGATGAGAATGTTGTGTTTGTTGGGATCTCTAAACTGAATGGATTAGTTGTGAAGCTTAGATTGTTCATTTAAACAGCATCATCAATGCATACTTCAAAGAGAAGTGATCTATTAAGATTTCTCAATAACTGAATAACAGATTGTCCTGATGACCGGAAATTGGATTGATCATTATTCATAATTTCTTGGTCATTGTTTGAATGTTCGTTTTGGTTGTTTGATTGAACCCATTTCCATAGTCATTCACATCCATTAATATGAACGAAGCTTTATTTTTTCGTTTAACAGGTAACTAATGTTCCTGTAGATGTTGACAATGAGAACTGCCACTTTATCCTTTATAGCAATTGTCTAAGTTTTTACAATTTGTCATGCATATAATGTTTGGCTACCCTTAGTTTGTCACTATGTACTTGGATTCGTACAGTATTGTTTGACAGTGATTTTATTGGCTTTTGGGACATATCTAGTTTTAGTAATCTGTTCGTTTACTTGAAGATTTATAACATTCAATTGAATATTTGATTAACAGAACGACAATATAAAGGAAGAATAAATTCACTTAGTATTGTTTGTTTGAATCTTCCCATCGATGTGTTAGGACTGTAACTGGTCAGTTTCTAATTGGCATATGTGCATACTGTGCGTATTGCCTTTACATAGCCTTAATTCACAAGCATGGTAAGCAGAGATAGATAGTGTCTAACAGTGGAATCCAGGATGCACGTTTCTTCCTATTTGAGACTCGTCAGCTGGATGTACCTGCATCTCACAGTTGATGTTCACTCTGGGACTCAAAGATTTATAACATTCAATTGAATATTTCGTTAACAGTATGACATATAAAGAAGACTACTCTATTTTTTCTTTCTTTTAAAGGCTGAATTATCATTTCGAGCTGGTGAACTAATTACAGTATATGGTAATATGGATGATGATGGATTTTATTATGGTGAAACAAAAGATGGTCGTCGTGGTCTTGTGCCTTCAAATTTTTTACATTCTTGTACAAATGATACAAATTATTTAAATAAACAAAAAAATTCTTCAACTATTTCAACTCAATTATCTTCAACAAATATATCAATCAATCATAGAGATCAATCATATTCAATGGATCCTAATAATTCATCAGTTCGAATGCAAAGTCGAACGAATTCATCACAATTTCACAATGTTAGAAATAATAAATCAGAAGTAATTGTATATAACGCGATTAAATATTCATATTTATTACCCTTATAAATAATCCTGACCATTGGTGCTACTTTGATGTAGTGATCGGGCTTGATGAACCAATAGAGCTATACTGGCTGGAGCAATCGCTCCTCAAGGTCTTACTATGCCAGACAGGTCGGTTGAAGAGCGGTAAGACTAAAAGCAACAAACCCAAGGTCAGAAGGCGAAGTTGTACTACTGACTGTACAGAAGTGCACTGAGGGATTCTTGCAAACTCATTCCATCAGGCTGTGAACACGACGAAGAGCATAAACAAATCAGACTAAAAGTCTAAGGAACGATCGTAAGCAGTGGTGGGCAATGAAAACAAAAGAGATGGAAAAGACAGCGGCTGTAGGTTTCACCAGGCAACTTTTCAGACTCATAAAAGAAACCAGAATTAAGAAGTCAAGTGTAAGTGAAACAATCTTTGAAAGAGACAGAACCCTTATCTGATCTCAGCCCAGACGTTTAGAACGATGGATAAAACGCTTTAGAGAACAGTTTGGCTGGTCTTCAGCTACTCTACAGTTACCCTTCATTTTTAGACAGTCTGAATGGAACATTGAAGTAGGTCCCCCGACTCTAGCTGAAGTTCAAAAGGTTATAGCTAATCTGAAACGAGGAAGAGCACCTGGTCTAGATGGATTGGCTCCGGAGGTCTTTAAATATGATGGTCCAATTTTAGCGATTAGGTTGATTAATATTTTAGCTACTAGTTTTTGACCACAGGTGCCTTAGAAATATTGCTCACATCTGCTGGGATCATCGGGTAAGTAGTAGTAAGGTTAGACACAGGGTATTAGGGAATGATGGTAAGTCACTTGATGAGGTGATGAATCTGCATCGGTTGAGATGACTGGGTCACGTGTTACGTATACCTGAACACCGATTACCACGACGCGCTATGCTGACTAGTATAGGGGATGGTTGGAAGAAAGTTAGTGGTGGCCAAACTAAAACGTGGCATCAGTGCTTTAAGTCACTAACTTCTAGTCTGAGCCATGTTGGTAGATGCAAACTACTTGGTTTTGGTCCGCGTGATCATCGGAACCAATGGTTGGAGACTCTAGGTGACATGGCTCAGAATCGATCACAATGGCGTAGGTGTATACACTCTTTATCTTCCCTTAAACCTTGAGATTAAAATAATAACTTTCTTCCTTCCTGTACTATATTCTTATATACAACCTATCTTTTATATATTACCACCACCACTAAATTAACTACTTCTATGAATTTGGTGTTCATCTTGTTGTGCTAACGAGGTATGGCAACCGATGCATATATGTGCCTGATCCTACGTTGTGGCTGACTGACTGACTGAATGACCAATATCATGTATGTCAGGTCCTTCTTAGTACACATCGAATCCTATCGACCAAGTTGCAATGTAGCCACTAGTCTAGGTGACTCGATATTGCGTGCACTATATTGAGATAAGATGGTGGTGAACAAAAAGAACAAATTTACTTACTGAGTACTTTGTTTACAATTTCAAGATAATTATAGAAAAAAATCAGAAGGGGGTTTGTGGAGATTTCAGTATTTTCATAGTTGAAATCATGAGTCAATCGAAGCTAAACCAACATGGAAAATCTGGAAGCACTGCTTGACGGCCGTTTTGTCTTATTATGGGACTCCTCAGTGGCAGTGCTCATCCAGGTGCTTTCAGGTTTTCCACAGTGATCTAGCTTCTATTGACTCATGGTTTCATTCATAAAGAAACTTCTCTATCTATGAAAGATTATTCTCTATTTTGATTATTTCTTTGTTAACATTTTAGCCAAATTCTGATAGAACTAAACTGATGCATAATAATACACGACCTAATTCACCTTGTACACAAACAAGATTATATACTACTAATAATAGTAGTGAAGTAATAAATACAAACATCAATTCAACTGCTTATCATCGTGATGAATTAACTATGAATGGTATGGAACGTTTTCCAGAGAATGAAGAAAATCCAATCATTGTAATGGATTTAAATCCGATATCAAATCATTCACATGTAAGTTAATAAGTCCTTATTTTGGGGATTTTCTTTTTCTTCATTAAAAAGGTATCATATGAAAAAATTCAATTGTGACAAGTTTTCTGTCTATATAAGCCCCCTTAAATGCCTTGGGGTACGGCCGAGGATGAGGAGAATTCGCTCTTCCCATCCAAATGCTGACTACCATGGGAGTGAATCTTTTAATGTTGCTATAATGGATTGTGGATTAGATCTTTAGGTCAAAGGCTCCGGATGTGGCCCCCTTAGGAAATCATACACTTCGGTTTAGGCACCGGGGTAGTATCACAGCCCACACAAAAATCAAGTGACTTGTGTGGCGTACATGTATTCAATGACGCTTTGTACCAATATTTATGTATTGAAATAAATAATACCACAGTAAGAAATGAAACATTTGGTAGTGTAAGTATCGTAATCGACAATTAGTCAACAAATTTAAATCTTTCCATCTAAATTGTATATTCAAATAAAGATTTATATAAATACACAAAAGATTTCTCTTTAGTGATTAACTGTTTTCAATGGTGATTTACTAGAGTTGTAAAGCAAACACTTTTCACTTTATCGATAATGAGTATTTTCATAGTTGTAAGCATGAGTCAATTGAAGCTAGACCACCAAGGAAAACCTGGAAGCACTGGACGGCCGACTCGGTGGTCTATCAGTCAAGTGCTCTGGCGCGAGACTGATAGGTCCTGGGTTCGAATCTCGTGAGGCGGGATCGTGTATGCGCACTGCTGAGTAGTCCCAAAATAGGACGAAACGGTCATCTAGTGCTTCCAGGTTCTCCCTGGTGGTCTAGCTTCAATTGACTCATGATTTCAACTATGAAAAATCTCCACAAAACCCCTTTACATTATGTTTAAGAACAACGTCTGCCTACTTGAATACCTGGAGCTACCTATTCCTGGTATCTAGATATTTCAACAAGTTATCCGTTTTCTTATTTGTTTTAACACATCATTATGCCTATTAGTCACATAATCTATTCAGGTGTGTTTGTAAAAAGTTTACTACCTTTCGCTGTACAAGTTACAAAAGAACCCGAAGGCATCATAGTTGCTGACCATACGCATCAAAAAATATATATATACATTATTCACATGTCGATTCCTAAACTGCTAATATCTAACTGGTAACCACTCAACATTTATCTCAAGAGGGGATTTTGTGAAGATTTCAGTATTTTCATAGTTGAAATTATGAGTAAATTGAAGCTAGACCATCAAGGATCAGTTAAGAAATAAGAAATGGAAACTTGTTGAAATACTTCTTGGTGAGAATTCTATATAGAAGTTGAGCAAAGGGATCTCTTTTCAATGTATTTATTATCAAACTGTATAATCGTATATACATATATGAAAATGTTTTGTTAAAGTACTACAAGAGTTAAAAGAAATCGATTAGGAGTTCTATACTTGAACACCTAATCGACTGCAATCATTCTACGAATCTACAGTCTGATTTTAAGGTTGTTTATATGATTCATTCAAATCTACCTAGATTTCTTCGTATGAAACTCCTAAAAAATTAGCCGAAGCTCTTACCATTCATGAACTTCAACCAGAACTATGCGTACAAAAGAAGTACGTCTTAACATTATCGTTACCATAGCCTTGTAGTGAACAGAACACTAGTTGGGGACAATCGAATGTATTTAAGCAAACATTACAGACTATCTCGGTAAATTCTGATAACCAAACAATGAACAGTCAATTTGCAAATTATTAACCAATTGTTTCAATCTTCACTGTTTCTTCTCTTATTCCATTGCTCATGCATTTTCCAGACGTTTGCGTTTCATTTCAGTTCTTTCTTCATCGGTCTTCTGCCAAAATACGTTCTATGTCTGACCCACACCATATACTACTTATATAGATATAAGTAGACCACACCACACTCGTCCCCCCTTTAAAGCATTCGACCATGCGGTGGTTCTGCTCACAACGCCACTATCTTCTTTCACTGCAGTCTGTGCCAAACACTCCGTCAGAATGTCGAGTCTGCGGCGCGCTGACCTCCATAGCTCCGTCGACCTGCCGGGGCACCAACATCCGCATCCACCCGGCACCTGGGACGTTCAACACCCGTACTCCACCGGCCTGCTGAGCCATCTACATCCGATGTCCGCCCAGCAGCCGCACGTCCCACTGCTCCTCTCCGTCGACAGCACCCGCTACAGCCAACGCCGCCCCGCCAGAACACTCCACTCGACGCCACCTCTCCTCACCAGACTGCCCCAGCTAGCACCTCCACTCCAGACCCGCAGCGGCGTCCGCAGAACAGCACCCTTCCTCCTCCTGGTTGGCAGCGACACCAAATGTAGCGAACAAAACACCAGTTGGGGACAATCGAATGTATTTAAGCAAACATTACAGACTATCTCGGTAAATTCTGATAACCAAACAATGAACAGTCAATTTGCAAATTATTAACCAATTGTTTCAATCTTCACTGTTTCTTCTCTTATTCCATTGCTCATGCATTTTCCAGACGTTTGCGTTTCATTTCAGTTCTTTCTTCATCGGTCTTCTGCGAAAATACATTCTATGTCTGACCCACACCATATACTACTTATATAGATATAAGTAGACCACACCACAGCCTTAATATTGTTATTATTATCATTCTATTATTATTACTACTGCATTCCCCTATTACTTATGTCCTATATTCTCATTATTTTATTCATGAGTATTCATTATATCACCTTATTTATTTTTACACCTCTATGACCTTTAATTATTGTAACCAAAACATTTTAATCATTTTATTATACTCACTAAATCTATTGTTATTTATCATATTACGTAATCTAGTATTCTAATCTTGGTTACTACGTTATCTTGGTTATTTGTGTGTCACATTTCTTCATGGAATTAGTGGTGAACGGTTGCTCAAACTTCGTGGATTAGTTGAAGTTAGACATTAACACCGTTGGACGCCAGCCTGCTCAGTGGTCTATCAGTTAAGTGCTCTGGCGCGAGACTGGTAGATCTTGGGTTCGAATCTCGTGATTGCGATATCGTGGATACACACTGCTGTGCAGCCCCACAAAACGGTCGTCCAGTGCTTCCAGGTTTTCGATGGTGGTCTAGCTTCAATTGAGTTATGATTTCAACTATGTAAATGAGAATTATATGCCAATTCGATATAGTACCAAAAATATAATATTGAATAAAGCCGCTAATGATAATAGCAATAATATTACTTATTATGTATATGTATATATATATGTATTTACTTTATATTTTTTAGAGAAAGGGTAATTCAACTAAAGATTATGATACACCTTATATTCATCAACATGATACTGATATTAGTGATAATTATGTAGCATCAACTGGTCCTAGTTACAATCAACGAAGACGTTCAACTATACGAAGTTTATTTAAACGAGAATAAGTTCGAGCTCTTACTCTTAAAGCAAAAAAAAAAAGAAAAAGAAAAAAACAATAATTGTTCATTATAATATCATTTAAATAAAATGAAATGATCAATCTTTACTGTGATACCTTGTTCCATGGTGGTGTTGATGGTGGTGTTGTTGTTATATTCATAAACAAACTGTATACAAACTGTTTACTTATATTTTTTTTTCTAATATGAACAATATCAAACTGTGTATTGATAAAAATAAACAAACAAACAAAAAATAAGAGAGAAAAGAGATGAGTGTTCCCCCTCCCCTTTTTTTTGGTGAAATTAAATTGATTATTTACAATTCTGTATAAAAGAAAAAAAAAGATTCCCCCCTTTTGATTTGAAAATTAAAGAAAAATAAAAATGAGAAAACAATTTAACAAAACAAATGGATTAAAACGAAAAAGAAAAAAGAAACAAAAAGAAGCAAATTTGGATAACAATAAGAAACAAGGATGGATATATATATATATATACATTTGCCAATTGTGTTCCCATTCACATCCGTTACCTTCCATTCATTCATTAATATCAATCTTTTTTGTAGAATAAGAAAAATTTTTTTACAGTAAAATCAAATTCAATTTGTCTTGTTAATTTCTTTTTTTATTTTTGTATAATATTGTAATGGATATATGTAGTTTTACTTACTTACTAACTTAAGCCTGTTACTCCCAATGGAGCATAGGCCACCGACCAGTATTCTCCAACCCACTCTGACCTGGGCCTTCTTTTCTAGTTCTATCCAGTTCTTGTTCATTCTTCTCATGTCTGTCTCTATTTCTCGGAGTAATGTGTTCTTTGATCTTCCTCTTCTCCTTTGACCTTCAGGATTCCACGTGAGGGCTTGTCTTGTGACGCAATTGGGTGATTTCCTCAAAGTGTGCCCAATCCACTTCCAGTGCTTCCTCCTGATTTCTTCCTCCGCTATAATTTGGTTTGTTGTCTCCCACAGTAACTTGTTGCTGATAGTGTCTGGCCATCGGATCCGAAGTATCTTGCGTAGACAACTGTTAATAAACACTTGTATCTTCTGGATAATGGCTTTCATGTGTAGTTTTGACTTATATATATATAGTTGAAATTATGAGTCAATTGAAGCTAGACCACCAGGGAGAACCTGGAAGTACTGGACGGCCAACACGTCCTATTGTGAGACTCCTCAGCAATGCACATTCATGATCCTGCCACACGAGATTCGAACCCAGGACTTATCAGTCTTGCGCGTGAGCGCTTAACCACTAAACCACTGAGCCGGCATCCAACGGTGTTAATGTCTAACTTCAACCAATCCACGAAGTTGAGAAACTATTCACCAATGTCCAGTGCTTCCAGGATTTCTGTGGTGGTCTACCTTCAATTAACTCTTGATTTTAATCATATAAAATTACTAAAATCTCCACTAAACCCCTCTTTTAATAAGATATAGTTATAGTTGAAATCATGAGTTAATTGAAACTAGACCACCATGGAAAACCTGGAACCACTGAACTATCGTGCAATATCATGGATTGGACAATTTACACTGTCCATTTTCAGTTTAACGTTTTAAAAGTAATATTTTTTGTCCTAAAACCTAAAAGTCAAATATATATGTTCTACAATACGGCCATACATAAGTACTATTAAGAAATCTTGTATAAGAACAAAATAGTTGAAATTAGTTTCTGAAGAACATTGTTTGCATGATTAACAGAATTGTACGTAGTCATTAGGAAAAATAAAGCAATTCAAAAACAAGGGGGTTTTGTGGAGATTTTATTAATTTTATACAGTTAAGACCATGAGTCAATTGAAGCTAAACTAAATAAAATCTCCACAAAAACCCCTTATGATAATGATCATATGTTCACTAGTGACTGGCTCCATTAGGTAATTCCTGGAGTTCTAGTGAGAAGTCGTGATCAGTGGAGCTAATCCATGTCAGGTAGAGACAGGTATCTACCTCAGTACAATGGAAGTTGGTCGCGTAATTTCGTGGATTGGTTGAGGTTAGACATCAACACTGTTGGATGCCGGCCAGTACAGTGGTCTATCGCTTAAGTACTCTGGCGTAAGACTGATAGATCCTGGGTTCGAATCTCGCGAGGTGGGATCGTCCATGCGCATTGCTGAGGAGTCCCACAATAGGACGAAGCGGCCGTCAAGCAGTGCTTCCAGGTTTTCCATGGTGGTCAAGCTTCAATTGACTCATGATCTTAACTATATACAATTCAAAAACAATTGAGTGAATAACAACGAATATTTCATTATGTACAACGTTAAAGAAATGTTCTATCACTTTTCTTTCACAAGACATAGATAGAACTAATGAAGCCTCATCTATGCATATAAAGGCAACGAATATGTTAAAAGGAGAAATCAATAATTCTGTGCGTAGCATAGGTACTTTATAATCACCTATCATTCTTATCGTGTATGATATCTTCTATGATAATCCTTCCATTTTCCTACTTAAGACATCACATTTGATGATGATAGCTATAAAATAAAAGTGAAATATCATTTTTATGTCTTTCAGAAAGGGTTTTTTCCGATAATGTAGTAATTTTGAAAAGCTGAATTCAAGAGTCGATTAAAGCCAGACTACCTGGAAGCATTGGATAGCCGTTTCGTCCTAGTGTGGGACTCTTCACCACTACCCATCCACGGTCCCGCTCGCGGGATTCAGCATTAAGCTAGCGATACTACTCAAATGTCCAGATAGAATTAGGTAGGGTTTGATTTAATCCTGTATATTATTAGTTCCGAATTCGAAAGTTTTAACCACTATTTAGAATAACGATTACACGAAATAATAATTCATCTGTAAAGTTAGTTTATAAAGCAATTGATAGAGGCCTATAGTTTTAGTCAATAAGGTATAAACTACCAAAATGTTTAAGGATATAAGAATAATGTTTAAATTATAGAAATATGATGACAGAAGTTGATTCAATGGGAGTAATGTGATATTTTTTAACATAGACGTAGAACTACGTTAATTTGGATTAGTGTCTCAGTGATTAAAATGTAAGTAGCACTAATTATTTTGTTCAGCGTTCTAGTCCATTCAGTCAGTCAATCAGCAACAACGTAGAACTTCATACATACCTACATCAGTTCGAGTTGTCATACCATATTAGCACAGAGATGCAGCTGTCGATTCCAATCCCATAGTGATAGAATTAGTAAGAGTATAAGCAGTAATCCGAAAAATTAGGGTTTAAAGTTGTTATTGAAGGAGTATAATCCAGTGAAACAAATCTGGAAAGAGAAAAAAGATAGGAACATGAAGAATTCAGAAGATTGGAACTGGAGAGAACACAAAGAGCGGATGCACCTTCACCACTGCAAACGATTTTGAGCCATGCCATTCAAGGTCTCTAACCATCGATTGCTATCATCTCGCGGATCCCAATCAGCTAATCTACATCTACCAACATGGTTCAGTTCACTTGTCAGTGATTTCATGGATTTGTGCCACGTTTTAGTCTGGTCGCCCTTAGCTTTCTTCCAACCTACTCTTATAACATAAAACATCACACGTCGGGGCAGTCGGTGGTTGAGCATACGCAACACGATTTCCTATCCATACCTAGTAGCCGTTTACTAAAAACTGCATTACTTACTCGGTGGTCAGAAGACTCTTCATTTTGTCAGCGTTTTTATCGAATAGAACTATGCCATCGGCATATTCTAAGTCAACAAGTGAATCTCCTGGTATAAGTTCAACCTCTCTAAATTTGGATGATGAAAAGTTTATTTCAAAAAGCTCGTCTACGATAAAGTTAAACAAGAATGGAGAGTGGACAGTCCTGACGAACACCACTTGAGATGATCAATTCTGATGACATTTCGCCATAAGCTCTAGCTCAACCAGTTGTGTTTGAGTAGAGAGCCCTTATGAGGTTAATGTACTTCTTTCGTACTCTTTTCAGTGACAAACACTACCATAGAACCTCACGATCAACAGAGTCAAATGCCGCCTTAAGGTCAAGAAATATTACGTCTGAATGTAAGTCTGTGTTCTAGGACCTGACGTAGAGTGAATATCTGGTCTAAACAACTACGTCCAGGTCGAAAACCAACCTGGTTTTCTCTAGTCTGCTCTTCATGAGCTTTGGTTAGGCGTCCAAGTATTATTGAAGCTAACATTTTAGACACTATATTAGTCAAACTGATTCCTCTGTGATTGTCACAAGGACTTTTGTCCTTTCTTATAGACCAGCAGTCAGTGATTGGGACCAGTCAGATGGAATGACGTCCAGTTCACAGATTCTACCTAAGACCTCAGTCGATTTCGCTGCTAGTACTGGACCGCCATCCTTAAAAATCTCAGGGGTAAACCTGTCAGAGCCTGCTACTCTTCCTCGCTTCAGATTTCCTATAGCTTTTTTCAACCTCGTAAAGAAATGGTGGACTTACATTAACTTGCCATTCAGGTCGATTGGGGTTTGTAGGAAACCGAAGTGTGACTGAAGGCCAGTTGAACTGATCCCTACAGTGTTCTGCCCCTTGATCCAATCTCCTGGATTAAGGATGGATGATATGTCCATCTTTTTCAGACATAGTTTCGCTGATAGTTGGGTTCCTTTGTTGTGTTCAGAGCCAGATGGGAAGAGTTTTCGAGCATCTATCAGTGTGGTAGATGCTGCTGAGATCCATTGTTTCTCCCTAATCTTATGGTTCACCATACTAACAGATATCACTGCTGTTTTCACAGCTTTTCGGATGTCATTCCATGCTGCTTTGGGGTGGGCACAACTTACATGGCTACATAACTGTTTTCTAGTTGTTCCTGAAATATATTCTTAACTTGCCTATCATTAGGTAGAACCCTAAGAGGCTTCTTGCAGCGTCTTTCCTACATTCAGTAAGATGGAGATAAATACGTGCTAGCACTAGAGCATCATCTGAATCTAAGCATGTGCTCCAGAATGAACGACAGTCTCCTTTCGAACCCCTTTATCGGTGGTATGTGTGACCACACACACATTTAAATTGGTAAACGCAGTGGGATGTGACGCAATCGTCTTCATGTCTTTTAGGTTTTGAATGAAGCATGGACCTCGTTCTTTCTTTGATAATGATGTTCGCTGCACAACACGTTTTGTTGATGATAGATTTAAGCCTTTGTTTCAATAAAAAGCTATTTGAATCACCTCTAAATGATAAGGTGATGTAGACAGGCTTTTTCTCTACCAAGGCTACAGTAGGTCTCGTTGTACCCTGAACTTTCCATCTATTGATAAATTTAGGCGGATAACCATTCCCGATTAATGTCTTGGTTAACAACTTAACATCATCATCATCATCATCATCATTATCATCATCAATAGCGTCGTTTGTGCAAATACGATCAAGCCTGTTTTAAAAAGACACTTTACCAAACCACGTTTGTATTGCACAAGGCAATTTTTACTATTGAAATCATTAACTGATTAAAACCAGACTGCTATAATATTTACATACATTTACTGTAAAAAAAAAATGATCTCATCTTTAATTATAAAAAGATAAACAATCCAAGAGAAATAGACAGTTAAAAGGATACTACTACTAACATGTACCATAATCTTAGAAACAAATTTCTAACCATTATCCATTCAAGTAACAATCAAATAACAACATAGAAACATACCTTACATGAATAACTCCTTAAATTAGAGAAAACATAAATGTTACATTGGGTGTTTATCCTTTTATCATTAAAATTGAATAAGAAAGAATGAAACAAACAAACTTGTATATCAGCCTATTTACAAGATGTTCTTATTTAGTATCCAACATATAGAAATAATTACATAACAATAATAATGTTACAATGTTATTTCATTTATATACAATTAATAATAAATGTAATACAATACACACACACACACACAACATACACACACACACACAAGTATTCACATATTTTTTTTTAATTTTTACATTAAATTCAAGCTAATTTTTGTTTTTTCCAAATAGGTGTATCATCTTTTTTAACTTCTTCATCTGGATTATGAAAAATCGGATTTGGTTGTGTTCTGAAAATAATAATAATAATAATAATAATAATAATAATAATAATAATGGATATGAAGGTGTTTTTCATATTTGAAATCATGAGTCAATTGAAGTTAGACCACCATGGAAAACCTGGAAGCACTGATTGATGGCCATTTCGTCTTATTATGGGACTCCTCAGCAGTGCGCATCCATGATCCCACACTCGCGAGATTCGAACCCAGGAACTATCAGCACTTAACCGATAAACCTGGGTTCGAATCTCGCGAGTGCGGGATCGTGGATTCGCATTGTTGAGGAGTCCCATAATAGGATGAAGCGGCTGTCCAGTGCTTCCAGTTTTTCCGTGATGGTTTAGCTTCAATTGGTTCATGATCTCAACTATATAAAATTACTGTAATATTCACAAAACCCCTTCTGATGTAATGCAGAGTTTAGAATAAATTTGCATCGATTTAAATGACCACAAACAGACAGATCAAGCATATTTGTCAAAATAAACAAATAACTATGAAATTTTACATTTGAAGGTAGAATATACGCATATGCTGTAAACAGTTGGATAACAGAGTGATTTTGATCCATTACTTACATATTGTGGGACAACTATTACTTACTTATTTAGACACAGAAATATTGGTACAAGGGGGCACCAGATATATATTCGCCGCACGAATCTCATCTCTTACGTGCACCAATAATTTGGAATAACTGTTTTCCAACTTCCTTAGGTGGACCCTCCGTGTCCACCAACCCGGTTAAAGCGCCGGATATGCGCTTTTCATCCTCTCAAATTCGCAAACAGCACCCGTAGCGCGAGAAGGTAGTGAGTCATTTCATTTTTCATTTAAACACATAAATATTGGTACAAAAAGCACCAGATATATATGCGCCTCACAAATATCATTCGGTTTGTGTGAGGGCTGTGATACTGCTCAGGTGCCCAAATTGAAGCAGGTGGTTTTCTTGAGGGGCCACACCACCAATCCTTGACCTAAAGATCTGATCCACAAGGCAGTGGAGCATCGTAAGGAAATACATTCCCATGGTAGCCGGTGACCAACAATTGGTTCATACGCCATTTGTTCCCTCACGACACTGGAGACCATGTTCACCATTGGTTTGGAATCAGGGTTTGCCAACTCCCCTAGGTGGAACCTCAGTGTCCACCAACCCGGTTAACGCGCTCAGCATTTGCTTTTCGTCCTCTCAATTTCGTAAACAACACCCGCGGTGCGAGAAGGCAGTGAGTAGGACTTCCTCAGCAGAGGCTATGTACGCGTGGCCATGTGACAGCATTTGGTGAGAGACGGTGGACTACCCCCCACTCTCGGCCGTACCAGGGCATTTGGGGGCAAAAAGCACCCGCAGCGCGAGAAGGTAGTGAGCAGGACTTCCCTGACAAAGGCTATATACGCGTGGACATGTGAGAGCATTTCGAGAGGGAGAGCGGACTCTCCCTACTCTCGGCCGTACCATGCCATTTGGGAGCTGTGGAAAAACTAACAGAATAATAATAATAATATCATATAAGTACGGTAACTACGTAAAGAATGAAATATGATGATGAGATTATGAACGACTGTTCACAAAGATGCTTGGGACATGTGTTACATATATTTATTAAAGCATATAAAATCTGGTACAACAATGCAGAAAAAGATGGAATGAGGCACAAAAATTATGGATAATATTGTGGGAAAAAGATAGTAAACTTGGAATGAAAATAATATATAAAATAATAAGATGGGCAATTTGTGAAGGCTGTTGTATTTTCACAATTGAAATCACGAACTGATCTTGATTAGACTACCACTGAAACCCTGGAGGCACTAAGCAGGCGCTTCATCGTAGAGCGGGACTCCTCAGAAAAATCATGGATTGAGTGATATTAAACATTAAAACCGTTGGATGTCGGATAAGTGGTCTATAGGTTCGATGTTCGTGGGCAAAACCAAAAGTCCTCGGTTATATTGCAAATTGCGGAGTCCTGAATGCGCACTGCTAAGGAGTCCCACATTTGGACGATATCTTGTAATTTTATTTTGCTTTGTTGATGTAGTGTGACTAAATGAATCGACATGAATTTGTTTCTGAACCTTCACAGTTCATGAATGAATGACAGAGTGGTAAAATGTATGAAATCATATTAAAACTCAGGGCTTGAAGGGAGATAAAGAATAAATTTATCAGTTCCAAACGTCAATCGGGGTCTCTAACTTGTGGTCGCAAGTTAAGATTATCGAGTCTATCTATATACACAACTCAATTTAACCGATAATTTACTTTATAGCCTGATGCCATGTAACTCACTAAGTACAAATTTTTGCACTCAACTTTGAGCTGCACTAGTTGTGTGAGAGTTAGTGCTACTCCTGATATCACATTCCTAGTTTGAATGTGATATACAAAATTACATTTCATGTAATAAACTGAATGATCTTATAATAATAGTTCACATGACGGAGTACTATTCAACCAAGTATATTATTACGTGTAGTTGCTTTACCAAAAAAAACCAACCAAGGACTATAGTGGGTCTATAAGATATACAGAGAATATATCAACCGGTGAATGGATAGGTGATGTATGCCAACAATGAACGACATTAATTCTCCTATACATTAGGATATGATTTGATAATAAGACAAGTGACCTGTAGAAAATTCTCATAGAATATCTTAACTGAATATTGAAATAGAATCAAAGTCATGCACTTAAACGCCTATATATAGATAAATAGATATATATTACTTTAGATAAGCTCTAGTCCAAAAAGGTTGTTTTTTCGCTTCATCAGCGTGACGAAGAATAGCTCCACGTATATCTTTTTCGGCTCGTTCATCAGCTTCATTCTTTTTTAATACAATTTGTTGAACCATAAATTGATGTAGACTTCCAACACGATTACCAACTGATTCTTCTCTATTTGGAACACGTTGTTTTGCTTCATCTTCTTTAGCAGCTTGTATAGTTTGATGATCTTTTTGTAAAATTGCATTAACTGCAGCCATTGCAAGTTCTGAATCAATTTCTGTTTGATTAAGATATTTTTTATTTTTACGTGCAATACGAACTGCTTCTTCGTCATAAGTTAATATAATTGGTTTCATATAAGCTTCACCAGTACCAGTATGACGTCGACGACTTGATGTAGTTGCTTGTCTATTAGCGCACATTAAAGCACCATTATGACTAACTTTTGAATCATAATATACATTAGCTACACCATCAGAAGAACTACAGAATACTTGATTTAATCTATGATGCCATGTTAATCCAATAACACTGCCATGACATGGACTGAATTGATTGATCAGCTAAAACAGACAATATATATTAGATTATAGTGAAATAAATATTAATTAACTTATTCACCAGGTATTTGTAAATGAGCTATAATGTAAGTATGAAAGCTAATGATATTATCTGATTGTCCAAACTGAAGTAGGTGGGAAGGGGTTTGAATCTAGGACTCGGTGACTGAAAGGTAAACTCTTACATTCGGTAACATCTATGTGTATTTATGGGTTCACTTACTCTTGTGAATAAGGTTATATAGACCGCACAAACCGAACGCTTTTTAAAATCATCTCCGAACATTATCCTGAATGATTTTCGAAAGGTAACTGTAAATCAATCAACAGTTCAATATTAGAACATCTTGTAAGCTTTGGTCATATCGCTTCACCTAGTAAGTCTTAAAATTATCAGTACAGTAAGATTATTTGGTTCAAGAAGAGTGTAAATTTATAATTTATGCACTACAGAGGCGCTAGTAAACTATCTTTTCAAACATAAATACTGTGTGTAAAAGGGATAAATGCAAGCAATTATTCTTCCATGGCCCTAACACAATTTTCATGAACGGTAATTCGACTTTATACTCGGTCAAGTGAACAATCATTCCTCTCATATATAATATGATTTAAGCATTCTCATATTTTTCAATACACTATTTTATATATGTATTATTTATTTATCTATTTATTTAAACATATAAATATTGATACAAAGAAGCACCAGATACATATGAGCTGCACAAATCAAATGAGATTTGTGTGAGGGCTGTGATACTAACTGGGTGCCCAAACCGAAGCAAATGGTTTTCTGAAGGGACCACATCCGGAGCCTTTGACCTAAAGGTCTAGTCCACAAGGCAGTGGAGCATCGTGAGGAGATACAGCCCCATGGTAGTCGATGACCAACGATTGATTCATACGCCATTTTTCCCTCAGGACACTGGAGACCATGTTCACCATTGGTTTGGAATCACGGTTTTCCAACTCCCCTAAGTGAACTCGCCGTGTTCACGACCAACCCGGTTAACGCGCCCAGCATTTGCTTTTCGTCCTCTCAATTTCGTAAACAACACCCGTGGTGCGAGAAGGCAGTGAGTAGGACTTCCCCGGCAGAGGCTATGTACGCGTGGCCATGTGAGATCATTTCGAGAGGGAGAGCGGACTCTCTCCATTCTCAGACGTACCAGGGCATTTGGGGGCATTATAACAATCTATTTCATCTAATAAATTTTAGTATTTCTCGGAACTATATTAAACTATAAAAATAATATCAAGCAGAGATGGATTACTGGCTAACAATGAATCCAAGATGTGTTAACTCATATTTAGTACTCGTTAGCTGAACATACTTGGATCCTAGAATGGATGTTCACTCCAGGACGTAGTAATAGTTTTAAGTGTATACTTTAACGTTCCAGAAACTGGTAGTGTTAATTTAGCTAAAACTGGATGATTTATTTAGGATGCTTTCTTCTATTGCAGACAACATTATTAATATCTCATCTTATGGTAGTAATAATCATGTACTCTAGAAGAATTCCAGAATTTTTAAGTAAAGATTCTAACAATATGTAGAAGTAAAACTCATGATATTAGACGGTGAATTGGATTCTGATTAAATGAGTTTACTGTAGTAACTGTAGATCTCAGAGATGAGTTTTTAATGGGATCTCAAACTACGATGTAAAAAAGTGTACTGCTCCATAAATTTAAATGATCCAACATTTGATGAAGAAAAATGGATATCAAATGGTAATTTTCCTTTGCCTGTGAGTTAACTTTACCATGCATACAAAGATTATATATTAAACACTCGTTGATAACAGTAGAATCGGTACAGACTATTGTATCTATTCGAGAATAGATATTTCTTTTTGATTGTTTTTCCCGCTAAGAAAAACTGGTATTTTGGGATTTTATTTATTTATTTAAACACATAAATATTGGTACAAGGAAGCACCAGATACATATGCGCCATGCAAATCCCATTCGATTTGCTTGAGGGCTGTGATACTGCTCAGGTGCCCAAACTGAAGCAGGTGGTTTTCTTAGGGGACCACACCCCGAGCCTTTGACCGAAAGATCTAATCCACAAGGCAGTGGAGCATCGTGAGGAGATGCAGTCCCATAGTAGCCGTTGACCAACAACAGGTTCATTCGCCATTCGTTCCATCAGGATACTGGAGCCCATGTGCACCACTGGTTTGGAATCAGGGTTTTCCAACTCCCCTAGGTGGACCCTCCGTGTCCACCAACCCGGTTAAAGCGCCGGACATTCGCTTTTCGTTCTCCCACTTTCGTAAACAACACCCCCGCCACGAGAAGGCAGTGAGCAGGACTTCCCTGGCAGAGGCTATATATTCGCTGGCCATGTGAGAGCATTTCGAGAGGGAGAGCAGGCTCTCCCCACTCTCGGCCGTACCAGGGCATTTGGGGGCATTTTGGGATACTGCAATTATACCGTTTCCCTTCAACTATGCCCTGGTAAGGTCGAGGGTATGAAGAGTCAGCTCCCCCTCTACAAACGCTCTCACATGGCCACGTGCATACAACCAATACCAATAAAGTCCCATGCACTGCCTTCTCGTTGTGCGAATGTTGTTTACGAAAATGAGAGGACGGAAAGAGAATGTCTTACTCTTTAACCGGGTTTTTGGACATGGACCGTCTATCTAGGGGACTTGGAAAACACTGATTTAAAACCAATGGTGCACAGGGCTTCAACACACTATGGGAATAAAGGGCGTATAAACCTACTGTTGGACACCGGCTGCCATGAGACTGCATCTCCTCACGATGCTCCACTGCCTTGTGGATCAGACTTTTAGGTCAAAGGCTCCAGGTGTGGCCCCTCAAGAGATGAGATTTGTGCGGCGCATATATATCTGGTGCCCCCTTGTACCAATATTTATATGTGTTTAAATAATAAATAATAATAATTCGTAATAAGGTTAACATTTTTTTAGTGATCTGTTATCAACTTTTCTTTAAAACGAAACAATTGAATGTTCGAAGATTGAAAGTTTTTACATGAGAAAACAACAACTAACCTGAAAATTATCTCTTCTATAAAAGTTTATTTGACCTCCTTTAGGATCATTACGTGGTACACTAACAGCAACAGCTAATACATGATCATTTGGACTAAATGTTACTTCACTTTGATTAAATAATACAGGCAAATCTTTAAATACATGAATAGCTCCTTTAGATAATCCACGTGTGTCCCATAATTTCATTGTATCATCATTCATACCACGACTTATTAATTGTTTACTATCCCATGACCAACTAACACACGTAATATCAGTATTCATTGGATGAGCTGTACGGCATATTTGTGTTGTATTCACTAGAGGTTTACGTGTATCCCATATTTGAATAGAACCATCTTGGCAACCTGCAGCAATTAATTGACCATCTCTTTAAAAAAAGATGAGAAGAATGAAAGATAACTGCTACAGAACAATACAACTAAACAGATCAACAAACATAATTTACAAGATTTTTGATATTTCAAATTACTCTGTCTTAGTTAGATATAGATTGGATTAAAGCACTTTCCATGCAGGATTATGTTGGGGATCACTAATTAGCTATTTATTACCGAATCAGAGCTAGTGGACACTCGAAGACTATAAAACCTTTTCATGTAAAAATTATAAATATATGAACGTTTCTCTTATCGTCATTCCTAATACCATACAACCTTTTTTATTTGGAATATAATTACGTTACTGTTCAACCGTGTTCTGATTTGGGGACATGTTAAGTGAAGTAGTGTTTAAGAATATTAAGCAATAGAAGTAGCTGGGCTGTTATAAGAGAAATTACAACACTCTATATTTCAGGAACCAATAAGTTTAGAAAACAACTAGATATTAGACATTGATGGAAAGTTATTGCTACTAATGGATAAATACAGTAGAAAATGCAGAAAAGCAAAGGATATTTAGGCGAATAATTATCTTAAATAACTTTATCATTAGGGACTCTATAGTATGACTCTTTATTTATTTAAACACATAAATATTGGTACAAAAAGCATCAGATATATATGCGCCTCACAAATATCATTCGGTTTGTGTGAGGGCTGTGATACTGCTCAGGTACCCAAATTGAAGCAGGTGGTTTTCTTGAGGGGCCACACCACCAATCCTTGACCTAAAGATCTGATCCACAAGGCAGTGGAGCATCGTAAGGAAATACATTCCCATGGTAGCCGGTGACCAACAATTGGTTCATACGCCATTTGTTCCCTCACGACACTGGAGACCATGTTCACCATTGGTTTGGAATCAGGGTTTGCCAACTCCCCTAGGTGGAACCTCAGTGTCCACCAACCCGGTTAACGCGCCCAGCATTTGCTTTTCGTCCTCTCAATTTCGTAAACAACACCCGTAGTGCGAGAAGGCAGTGAGTAGGACTTTCCCGGCAGAGGCTATGTACGCGTGGCCATGTGACAGCATTTCGAGAGGGACGGTGGACTACCCCCCCACTCTCGACCGTACCAAGGCATTTGGGGGCAACTTGAACTGATGCATATATATATATATATATATATATATATATATATTGTATGGAAATTTTTAAAAATGTGTATAATTATTTATAGAGTTATTTGATATAACCTTAAAAAGTTGTCAAGACAGTTCTATTGTATGGGGCGGAGACGTGGAGAACTACGAAAGCCATTATCCAGAAGATACAAGTGTTTATTAACAGTTGTCTACGCAAGATACTTCGGATCCGATGGCCAGACACTATCAGCAACAAGTCACTGTGGGAGACAACAAATCAGATTCCAGCGGAAGAAGAAATCAGGAGAAAGCGCTGAAAGTGGATAGGGCACACTTTGAGGAAATCACCCAATTGCGTCACAAGACAAGCCCTCACGTGGAATCCTGAAGGTTAAAGGAGAAGAGGAAGATCAAAGAACACATTACTCCGAGAAATAGAGACAGACATGAGAAGAATGAACAAGAACTGGATAGAACTAGAAAAGAAGGCCCAGGACAGAGTGGGTTGGAGAATACTGGTCGGCGGCCTATGCTCCATTGGGAGTAACAGTCAAAAGTAAGTAAGCAAGTAAGTTAAAAAGTTGTCATTAAAAGAGCAAGGTTGAGGTTTTCAAAATATAAAACATTCCTCAATAGAGATAGTGAATACAATTGTGAATTCTATTTTTTTTCACAAAAACAGTCAGTTAGTTATAATCAACGCTGAGCCTTGGAAAATTATGAATCAGTGTTATAATTGTTTTGCTAATAAACGACCCAGCTACTCCTATTGCTTAATATTCTTATACAATGACACTCGACAAAACCCCAAAAATCAGAACATGTTGAACAAGAATGAAATTGCATTCAAAATAACAAGGGTAGGTGAACAGCAATCAATCGTTAGAAAAACGTTCATCTATTTATAGTATATGCATAAGAAGCTTCTAGATGCTTCTCCAATAATCTGCCAGAGCCGATTGGTTTAGAATTAGTCAATCAGAGTGCGCCGTCACGATCATACACATAACGTGTCTTAATCTGGTTTATTTCCCACTAACAATCAATGTTATAAAATACCAGTATAAGATGAGATTATCAAGATGAATAACCAAGGTAGTAGACGTTTTCGTTGTTGTAAAAATGATTATAAAAACAATTAGGCTTAGAGAATATAATTCAAGAAAGAATTTACGGAATAAAAGGTACAAGATAATCTCGATGATCAAGATCTTAAAGGACACAGTGTGATGAATCTAGGCGATTGTGATTGATTCTGAACTACGTCATCTGAAGTCTCTAATAATCGGTTATTACAATCGCACGAACTCCAACCAGGTAGTTTACACCTGTTAACATGACTCAGACTAATTTTCACTCAACTACCTTACCTCCTATCGATAATTTATGTATTGGTCCAAACCCATCCTGAAGCAACACTGCACTTAAAGACAGAACGGCACATCTTATACGTGATTATTTACGTATTTTAATTTGAAAAGCCAATCTTCTAGTACGATCTATACTACACTATGAGAATTAATTGATTCCAAATAGACCTTTTCGTTTATGGTAACATTTTACTATTGAAAGATGGCAGGTCGAATTATGTCAAGGTTTTACTGAAATTAGCTAGGCTGTATATGTTTACTATGTTTTACGTGCCTCGGTTTACATTTGTTTAAGTGATGAATGTTTAATCGATTCAGTCCCCAGTTGAGTACGTAATAGTACTATCATGATGTAACAACACTCTACAACCATAAAGTATACACTGAATAAAGATAATTGATAATTCCTAATTACGGAACAGTCATAGTCTACACAAAACGATAAAGCTTTAACAACATAAGAGAGAGAATGCAATCCTTCAACTTACTTTGAATAAGCACATGATGTCGGACTAGTTTTTCTTCCTTGTGCATTACGTGTCTTAATCACAATTTTATGCGTAGGTATACGTGTTTCATTCATGACTGCCTCTGCATCATTTATATCCCATACACGCAGGGTTGAATCTTGAGAACATGTGAGTAGTTTGTTTGAATCCAGAGGGTGCCACATACCCCAATGCAATGCATGAGTATGACCTTTAGCACTAGCCGGGTCAGTAATATACTGATAACCTTTGTTTGTATAACATACAGCCTCTCCGTCTCGATCAACAATAAAAGCTTGGGCCGAACCAGATATGACCAAAAGATGTTCTCCTGTATAGATAGGTTATAAAACTAGTATTACTTGGTGCTGTCTCCATTTTTAAGTATTAACAAGACTCCATAATTAATTAGTAGATTAATAATAATAATAATAATAATAATAATAATAATAATAATAATAATAATAATAATAATGGCAATCATAAATAGCAGTCTGATTGATCATCACACTTTGAATCGATTGTAAATGAGTCTCGTACGTTCCTACTAAAGCCCTTGAAATTCAGAAACCTCACAAACGATAAGAATCATCGGTGAACGTCAAATATTGTATTTGAAGAATAATAATCATATAAACTAAAGTGTGTCTTCATAATCCTACCATTCATAGGTGAGTCAAATAGTCTAATATAGAAGAAAAAGCTGAAACTAGCTACCAATAGGACTAGCTATGGGCTCGAGGTCATTAGTATAAACAGAAAAGTTTATGGAGATGAGTTAACACCGGAGGGTCCACAAAGGTAAGAAGACCTTTTATACTCTACGATGAGGTTTGCAACAGATGCTTTTGATAAAACATATTTAAGATAACACTGAAACCTAACGAATGTCAGATGATATATGAAGTATATTAGCTGAACTGCTTCGAAAAGTTCAATAGGTTACCATTTCCAAACCCGCCTATTTTTTAATGAGTACATAAAAACATTGGTTAAACACTTACTAATGAAACTAAGACAAGGATAATTCACACAAAGCAATCTTAAAAATGTTTGATATAATAGAGCACCAATACATGAGTCAACTCAAACCATATGAACGATACAAGAAGAGAAAAGTTACGAAGGATTGGGCTATGTACAGTAACCTTGACCCACAGAACACCACAATCATTACAAACCCACCAAAGAATTCATGAAGAGCAAGATGATACTAATGCTGTACCTCATAACACTACACATGCCAGAGCGGCTTATACCAGTCTGGGCCATCTCTGGCGCCTTCGTGCTATTAATCTGGCTGTAAAAGGTCGGGTCTACAACGCGCTGACAACAGCAGTTTTGCTCTATGCTTACAAGACATGGCCTCTCCAAGTTGAGCATGTTAGATAACCCTCTGTGTCTCATCATCATTGTCTTTGGAGCATTGCTGATATCCAGTGGCGACACCATGTTGGCAATGCAGAGATTCGGCGACGTGTGTTCGGGCACAGTGACGATAATTTAATTGGTATCGCTAACTTGAAACATTGACTTCGGTGGATTGGACATGTCCTACAAATGTCGTCCCAGAGAATTCCACATCAGACATTATTTGCCGACGCTAGGGCCGGTTCAAAAGAACCGAGAGGTGGTCAGTGTATTACATTGTGTCGTGTTATGGAAGAAAGTTGTACAGAACTGGTTTCCGTTGGTCATTCACAACTCCCTGGTTGGGGTCCTAGAGACGGTACAACAGTGGCTTGAAATATTATCAGACATAGATCAGAATAGAAGTCAGTAATGATCCTGCTGTAACTTTCTTTTACTTTCTTCATAAAAGTGAACGTAACTTCTTCAAATGAAGTTCTTTCTGGCTATATTTTTCCTAAATGAACTGATTCTCCCACTATTATTATTGTTACTATTATTATTATTATCTCACTCTAATACACTAATTTTTATTCCTTGTTGTTCTTTTTCATTATATGCATTTTACATTCTCTATCTCTTCACAACATCACTTTTATTGTGTGGCGCATATATATTTTGTGCCCCTTTGTACTAATGTTTATGTATTTAAATAAATAAAAATAAATTGTAGACCAGGTTTCAATTTGACATCGACCACTTAGTTTCGATCTATTTTTCTATAGCCTTATAGCCAATCAATTGGACACTATCTATTGTAAATTGAATTGGAACGAGAGAACACAGTTAAGGATTGAGTGAGAAGAATGAATCATTGTATTACTTTCATTAAAATAACAGTTAAACACAACACCCGGTGGTTAAAAACGATATTAGCCCTTGACTAGAAGTTGAATCTTGTGCTCCATTATTATGAGTGGAGAAAATGACAAACCGTCAACTTGAGCACTTGATAACTCCTTAAAAAAGCGATACGATAATATACATGCTAACGCACTGATAATACTTCTGAGGAACTAACCACAAAATAAATTTATCAGAAAAGATTCATATAGAAGGTTAAGAAAATAAAACCAACCGGAAGGACTGAAATCCAAGTGCTTGATTTGGTGTTCTTCACAAGGACGAAAGGCCTTGAATGGACGACATGCGTTATCCATCCCACCGAAATCCCAAAGTTTCACATCAAAGTCGAAACCACCTGTAGCAACACGAGCACCTGCTGGATCAACACCTATTGCAGTGAGAGGTTTGCAACCATGAGAGAGAGTTAGATTTTGAGTAATAGGTAAATAATATGGGTTTTCGGCAGCCATATCTTCTGGTGAGGGACCAATGAATTCAGATTCAGTGTCTACGTTTGACTCCTCAGGAGGATCCATTTCAGTGGTTTGAGAATCATTTTCCGGAAGTAAAGCTAAAATCTATCGGAAAAATTGTAAATGGATTATTTTTCTACCCTTGCATTGGTCGCCTGATTGCGTTTTTGTGCTAATGAATAGGATTCCGAAAAAATATCCATAAAATCGAACTTCTTCGGAGCCACATTTGAGTTACGTGCTTCGGAGCTCATATTTCGAGAAACTAAAATTCACAAATTATTTAGAATGATGAATTATATGTAACATCCCACTTAATACAAACTTACTAGCCACATAATTATATTTCCACACATAAAAATTACCTGAAATATGTCCTGTGAATAATCAACCAACCATTTTTAACATTTACAAACAGTGTATAGATAGTGTGTTCACCAATGGATCGAGGTTTTAAAGCATCCATTAATACGGTAAATGATCTATAGCCACTGTATAGCCGGTGGTAATTAGGACGTAAATACAGTCTATTACTAACCTCATTATGAAGCATCTTCTGAATTTGTATCACTTCATTCATCTTAGCAACTCCTTCGAAATACTCAACAGAAGGTCAAGTTGCTCACTATGGGACGCGCGAATAACACAACTACACAGATCCAGCAACATTGAGGCGATGAATCATGAGTAGTATGAAATCTTCACCTTATAAAACTTATCAACAACAACAACCAAATCTCGATAATTTTCTCCGGGGTCCAGAAGCTAGAGTAACAATCTAACATTACTTTCTAACTAGACGATTACCTGGTATATTCTCTTTTACACAGAGCACTTAGGATTATGCAATTATAAAAAACAATCTAACCGAAAGAGTTCTGTTTTCAAAATCATATATTAACTTTTACGACTACTTACAGCTTTGTTATTTAATGAATGGTAAAATGTTTAAGTTGCCCTGTTACTAAAGTTCGGCTACGATGATTGAGCTGCTCTATTATAAACGATTTACCCTAACTGAAATACATTGTTCTCAAAACTACCAAGGTCAGGTCGGGTTGTCCCAAACAACTATTTGTTGGAATAAGAGCCACCAAAATGCCCTGGTACGGTCAAGGGTATGAAGAGTCAGCTCCCCCTCTACAAACGCTCTCACATGGCCACGTGCATACAACCACTACCAATGAAGTCCCACTCACTGCCTTCTCGTTGTGCGAATGTTGTTTACGAAAGTGAGAGGACGGAAAGAGAATGTCTGACTCTTTAACCGGGTTCGTTGACATGGACCATCTATCTAGGGGACTTGGAAAACCCTGATTTAAAACCAATGGTGCAAGAGGCTTCAACACACTATGGGAATAAAAGGCGTACGAATCTACTGTTGGCCACCGGCTACAATGAGACTGCATTCCCCAACGTTGACCCACTGATATGTGGACTAGACGTCGAGGTCACAGGCTCGGGGAGTGCCCCCCTAAAAACAAACCACCTGCTTTGGTTTGGGCACCCTGGCAGTATCATAGCCGTCACACAAATCGAATGACTATGTGTGGTGGATATATACTTGGTGCCTCCTTGTGCCAATGTTTGTGTTTAGATAAGTAACGATAACTCGTGGGCTACCAATATCATTAGTGTTCTTTCTTTCTGACAAATTTAAGTCATAAAAAATTAACTCCCAATACAGGACATTGCATTCTAGTCAAAGATTTCTGACGGCAGCATTACAGTTTAAAAAGCATAGGAATAAAGAATATTTTCAAAACGGTTCTTACAGCTTATAAGAGATCGTTATGTGGTCAAGTCTTAAGCTTGAAAGTACCAATGATGCAATTATTTTTCACCAAAATCGCTATTCTAAAAGATAGAAAACATCCATAAGTCGAGAGTATTGACCATGAATGTCATCGAAGAATTGTTAACACAAAATGAGACCATTGGATAGCCATTAATGCTTTAATATGTTTAAGGCTTGGACATTCAAATCTCAAATTATGAGGCTTGAAGAACATAAATTTTGTTTCGTAGATGTAAGACTCAAACTTAAGTACAGTAGCCCCTTTTACAAGAACAGATCTATGTACTCGGATTTGAGTAACACTTCGTTTAAAGACTTATAGTACATTCTAACTGACCAGATGGAAATCGTGGGATTTGAACCACTGAACGCCTGGACCAATCATAAACAACTATACTATTTGTTTTAAAATGGGTATTCCAGATCATGCTTATACCATTGAGTGACACTCATTTTTAAGATCCTATCAAGACATTTAGAAAAATGGTCCTATCTAAAAGGTGTTACCAGAGGGCCAAATCTTAGCTACCGTGTGAAGATTGAAAATGTTGATGTTCCTGGAATCTATTGGTTTTAAAATCTACCTGGGCAGGACAGTTGGTCCCTTAGGCAACTTATGTCTTTTACACTGAAGTCTGTGACCTTAGAGAAAAACTAGTGCCACGGAGATTCGTATAGGTAAATTGTCCGGATAGTCGCTATAGGAATTATGTGCATTAACACATTAGGACGGTGAGACTATAATTTATGGACGAGTAATGAGATATCCCAAAGTGACCTTGAGGATATACCCGGACCTACTAGAATTAAGAGAGGGTTATAAGTTATTATGAAAAGTTACAATCAGATGGATGCATCCATCCATGGATACAATCCATTAATATTGGCATATCGTATCCTGAACGATGACCTTGGTACTAACATGTCCTATCTTTTCCTCCCGTTTAGGGCTGAGCATTTGAGAGGACATTCAAAGAAAGTCCAAAAACCGAGATCAAATCGTCTACGTCTGGAGTTTCGTTTCTCGTACCGAGTAGTGAATTACTGGAATTCTCTACCAGAACACGTAATATCAGCACCTTCTGTTGATATATTCAAGACGAGATTGGACCTCCACAGTGTAACAAACTACAAGGATTAAAATAGGTCACTAGACCTTCTATCCTTATTACTGAAGACTGAAGGACTAAGAGTTGTAAGTTCGCGTTAGGACTTTGCGACAAAGTCCGAAAGTCTAAATCTTTGATCTTATTCATTCATCAATGAATTATAAACTTGCCAAACATATTTAACTTGTCACAAAATCACATCCGTAAGCCGCAGCTTCAATCTAAGTGCGTACGATATTACTAACGTACGCGTTCATCAAGGTCACGATTTGAACAAACCTCATTCTTCTTCAGTCAAATGGTTCAAATGGTTGCGGACGGAACAGAAGAAGCTTTCGCTTAACGGACTTCCGTGTCTAGTAGGAGTGGATCACCAATACCTCCAGGCAAAAATCTAGGTATATTAACGATAATAGAGGAAAAAATAATTTGGTAAATCATAATAATATGTTATCCTTAGTCCTTAAGAATAAGTCAAGTTTCCTCTTAAAGGACTCAGTTTCAGTTTCAGTTTCAGTTTGGAAAGGACAGGAGGCTTGATGGCCTGTGTTAGTCCTGGCAATGATGCTTTTTCAGCTGATACAACTTTCTTTTGAAGGAGTCGACGGATGGAGCCTCAACCACCTGCTGAGGTAATAAATTCCATTCGTTGGTTATTCGATAAGAAAGTCGGTAGTCTGATGACAAGTAATTAGTTCTGGGCTTGTTAACTTTTTTGGAGTGTCCATGTAGAATTTCTGTTTTGGAAGATAAGAAAAATGAGGGCATATCAGGTGCAAATTTGTCACTAAGCAATTTGAAAACTGTAATCAAGTCGCCTCTGATTCTTCTAAATGACAGAGGGAATAGGTTTAGCTTGGTCAGTCTAGTACCATACGGGAGCTTCGCTATTCCGAGAATCACCCTAGTTGCTGTTCTCTGAACCCTTTCCAAGAGTTCACTGTCTTTTTTAGGCAGGGGTTAGCTGCTTGTATGCAGTACTCAAGTTTAGGATGCACGAACACTGTGTACAAAGTCAGAAAAGTTTTAGCGTCGAGATGACTAAAAGCCCTATGTATGGGCCATAAAGTTCTAAAACCTTTGGCGGCTATTGTACGGCAGTGTACAGTAGTCTTTATGTCTTGACTAACGATGACGCCTAAGTCATTGTGTGTCTGGATAATAGGTAGCTCAGTGTTGTATGTATCTGTACCCTGGTGACCAATATGCATCACAATACACTTGGAAGTGTTTATCGGCAATTGCCAGGTTTGGGACCATCCAGATAATCTCTCCAGGTCATTTTGAAGTTCTAAGCAATCGCCCTTGCTTTGTATCGCTCTCCATATATTGACATCGTCAGCATAGAGTAAGACCGATGACGATAGTAGACGAGGGAGGTCATTTACGTACAGGAGGAATAACACTGGCCCCAAAACTGTACCCTGGGGGACTCCATTAAGCACAGTTTCCCAGCTAGACAACTTGGAGTTCACCCTTACTCTTTGTTGACGCCCAACTAGGAAGTCTTTTATCCACATCAATAGATTGCCTCCAATCCCGACATTCCTTAGCTTATATAACAGCCGGTTGTACGGAACTTTGTCGAAAGCTTTTCTGAAATCGATGTAAGCTACATCTACAGGTAACTTTTGGTCCTTAAGAGCGCAGCAGCTTTCACGAGCGACTAATAAGTTTGTGAGACAAGAGTAACCTGTTCTAAAACCATGCTGCTTCCCCGAGAGGATCTGGTTTTCATCGAGATACTTAAACAGCTCCTTCCCAATAATCTTTTCTAAGATTTTAACAACCACACTAGTTAGGCTAATGGGTCGGGACTAGCCCAATCGGCAGCGAATTCCAGCATTTGACAACTCTTACGGAGTAGAAGTTGTGTCTGCAGTCTGTTCTGCTATGTTTGGTCTCCAGTTTCTGGGTGTTACCTCTTAGGTTAGTGTTGTGATTAAGCTTAAAGAGATGTTTAAGGGGATGACCAGAATTGTTAAGGATACTGTAAGCCATAAGAAGGTCATCTCCAAGACGCCTTTACTCTAAGGGGTAAAGGTTAAGTGATTGGAGGTGCTATTCGTAAGGTTTGCATTTGAGTCCTCGAACTGATTTCGCGGCTCGACGTTGGATACCTTCCAGAGTGTCCTTATCCTTTTGGAGGAGTGGAGGAAATACTATGTTTCCGTACTCTAAATGGTGACGAATAAATCTGTTGAAGATTATGTGGAAGGTTCTCCCGTCAAACTGGCCAAAAATGCGCTTCAATGTTACCAGTGCAAGGTTTGCTTGAAAGGCGTTTTTGTCACACATAGCGTAAGACTTCAAGTCGTAGGGTACAAACACTGCTAAATCTTTTTCGACTTGGGAAACTTCTGTAGAGGATAGATAAAAATGTCAGCCGATCTATATAAATTCTCTCAATAGGATTAAAGTAAAGAACAATCATTCGAAGATGAAAACTTTAACGTATTATTTTGTGCTTTTTGATAGTGGTCACAGAAAAATTCCAAAGATCTTGGCGGTGGTCATATGTTCCACATATGTCGTCAGTGGTATACCACGAGGGTGCTGAAAAAGAGAGGAAAAAGTGAGTGGCAAGAAGCAAGACAGATATTGTGCATGACTAGTGAAATTTAGTTATCTGTGATGGAATAATTAAGGTATGACTACCAAGACTCATCTTTTTTTATTCGGTCGATTTCTGAGCAATTATATTTTACCAGGTTAAAGAAAACAACACAAAGTGTGACGTTAGATGAAGAAAATATTATACCAATGGAAGTGATTTAAAAGGGCTGACAGTTTAACATTGTGTATTTTGAAAATTTAGCAAGAAAACAGTGTTCCAATGCTGACTGGCACTTTTTCGTCAGACTTATTATAACCCATCTCTATTGGTATAACTTTTGTAGAGTAATGAGTACAAACCTTTGAAGCATAATTGTCAAGTTCTGTTTGGAATAGGAATTCTTGGTAGGAAGTGAGGCTGATTCAAGGTTACGAATGAGCCGAAAAGGCATTTATCATGTGAAATTAGTATCAGCACCATTGGTTTGTTACATTTCATCTTCTCTAAATGTTGATACACTGATATTTATGCTAACTGATGATTTCTTCGTACTTTACTGCACGATTTTTACGAATTCCAAACAGAATACGTCTAGTTGTGCTAAACTTGTTCTTCTTGCCTTAAGTTAAAACATCGCTGGATGTCATAGTTAGAAAGCCGTTCTGAATACTTCTGGTTACTATAAATACATGAGGTGTAATCTCATTTTTCAACTAGTGGAGTCTCAACATGTTTCTATCACTATGGAATTAAATAGGTTTGAATCGATTAGAATAATTCGTGGACGGCCTTAATAAACAATTCTATGATATTCTTGATTTTTTATTTGAAATATGGTCACCATTTTCCTGGCAAACGGAGATTTTTAACCACTCAACAAAGGTGACCAATTTGATTAACATTTTACCCGTGTTTCACCACAACAATAAGTATCGTGTGTGCGAATACAGTAAATATAATTAAGATCATCCTCATTGTCATTAATATTCGGGTTAATTCAAACATGGAATCAATACACAATGTTGACCGGTTTATCTTTCATTTAACACGATATTTACTCATATCGATGAAGCAGGATGGTCCGAAATTTAATTCCGTTCAATTGGCTGTGTGATTTGATTGGAGACGATAGAACTGCAAGTCATTATTCCTATGCTCCATATGACCGTATACCAATACAAAACGCGTTAATATACCTTGAATAAAACAGTGTTATGTCAATCGGTTCGATTCAATTATGAGGCAACACTCCATATACACAACAAATCCAACTCTACCCAGAAGTGACACGACTGAGTAGAGCACAGTAATCCCGGGCGATGAAACTTGCAGACTGAAAAGTTTGATGTGAGGTGTGAATGGAATTGAAGTAATGTATGTGTGTCTTATAATTTTGTGATATACATGAACTTGTAGTAATAATGACTCTGAAACGCACGATGCTTGAAGCCGAACATGCGATATCTGAGAAGATTCACATTCGACACTTAAGCAACAGAGAACATCAGAAATGGTGAAAGCGGAAGCGTCAAATTGATGTGGCATAGATCGATCATACAGGCCTGGTTAAACTACGTAACTTGTTCCTTTCTAAATAAAATACGTTATTCTATCCTCAGTCCAAACGTGTTTTCCAGAGATGTCAAGCAACATATTTCCGACCGTCATGATAGAACGAGTTAGTTTAGACAATGAATTGACTTTCACGTACAACCTCGTGGGTCAAGTATTCACGTCATGGAAAATCTACAATTTTGGGATTAGGCTCATTGTTCTAGTAGCAAAGAGAAATGCATTTAATACCGACCTAGACCACAATTGCACGAGCTTGCTGAATACATTTGATCAATATTTAACTTGTTCAGTGATATGACGAATCAGAGAGAACAATAAGTTTTCTCGAAGCAGTCAAAAAACCCGTTTGCTCAGATATGAAGTTTGCACGGGCAGGAAATTCAAATAAAGTCCAAGATTACCCTAATGAGTATGAGGCAGATGCATGTTTTCCATTTGCTTGTGTTAGCAGGTGACTCAAGCTTAAATGAATCACATATGTTAATTACACATATCAATGTACACTCATCTGATGACTGGAATAATCGCCTTGTGTATGCTTACGTGAAAAGCAAAAGGAATACACATCATATTTTTTATGCAAGCCAAAGTCCCATGATGAAGAGACTCAAACTATACGTCAATGTGTATCTCAAAAAGATTCAAATTTAATATTCAGTGTATGAGATATAAGGGGATAATGCATTTTGTGATATAAAGACCCTACATTATTTCTCGCAAGACGATAGTGTTGGACAGTCTGTGGTTCAAATTCTAGATATCAGTGATTTCAGTACACAGCCGACGCGCTTATCATACATAGTTTTAGGACCCAGGTGAGTCTGTTCCTATTTCAGTTGTTAATTTTAATACTAACGACTATATTCTAGATCATATGGGGTCTATATCCAACACAGTCTGAAAGACATACGATGAACTTATTAGGAAGATGTTTAACTAATTACAGTAACTAAGATTTCAATTTCAGTTGTGGCGGTTATGTTTATACGAACTAATGATCCCTTAATGACTACCTGATTTTAAATTCTAAATACAATGCATTCGTTGGTGATCATCTAGTTCTGTTTGGTTTAAGTTGCTCTCTTTTTGTGATTCATATTTCGTATAATAATTCATTAGCATAAGCATTAGCAAAATATGAAA